AGTAGGAAGTATCCATCGTGTTTGCCAATGTCTGTATTCCACAATGTTTGTTTTAAGTACCTTAACACCGACATAGGCTTTTCATTTCACCTTGAACGGCACTCCATTAACAGAATCTTTCATTTAATTAAAGGAATATTTCACTTATTTAACAGCACATAACTTACTCAATCTTACCAATTAACAGTACATCTCAATTCATTAACATAATATTACAAACAATTAACAGTATATCTCAATCAATTAACAGAATATTACACACAATTAACAGTATATCTCAATCAATTACCAGAATATTACACACAATTAACAGTATATCTCAATCAATTAACAGAATATTACACACAATTATCAGTATATCTCAATCAATTAACAGAATATTACTCACAATTAACAGTATATCTCAATCAATTAACAGAATATTACACACAATTAACAGTATATCTCAATGAATTGACTGAATATTACACACAATTAACAGTATATCTCAATGAATTAACTGAATATTACACACAATTAACAGTATATATCAATCAATTAACATAATATTACACACAATATTACACACAATTAACAGCATATCTCAATCAATTAACAGAATATTACACACAATTAACAGCATACCGGTATCTCAATCAATTAACAGAATATTACACAAAACAACATGTCTCAATCAATTAACAGATTATCACACCCAATTAACAGCATATCTCAATCAATTAACAGAATATTGCACACAATTTACAGAATATATCAATCAATTATCAGAATATCACAGTCAATTACCATAATATCATACTCAATTAGTAAATATCACTCAATAACCAGGATCGCACTCAGTCAACGAAAAATTGCATTCATTAGAAGGTTACACTTAATTGCCAGAAAATCACACTTTATACTATAATACATCACTCGATTACCAGAATATCAAACAAAAATCAAAAGTATTCACTCTATTAACAGAAGATTCCACTTAGTTGACAGAAGTTTATGATCAATTAATTCTAAAATATAATCACACTTTATACTCTCAATTTTACCAGAGTATATCACCATTGACTATTGGCTCAACTACGAATATATCAAACTTAATTACGTAATGCACCATTCGGCCAATAGAGGCTCAAATACTCAAGAAACGGAATACCACACACCCAAAACACAGAAGTTCACACTAAAAAACAGAAGTTTACAATCAATTGACAAAAGTTCACACAAATCAACAGAGGTTCACACTCAGTCAATAGAATAGCCCACTCAATTAGGAAGGTAAGTAAACCTTCTAAATAATAACTTATTATTCAAAGAGACTTCTCGGCCAGCAGCCTCTCCAAGAATATTCTCACAATATTGAAACTGTTCCAAACCTACCTTTGGATGTGGAGACACTATCACTATTATGCCACCCAAAGACATAAGATAAGAAATTACCCCCGAGAACAGTGATTAGTCCCCGTTAAGTGTCACCAAACTATGGAAACGCTGTTATGCTCGTCATGCTTGTTTATGTTTTCTTACATAAGTGGCTGAGGATAAGATTCTGATCGTAGACATGTCACCCTGACGCAGCAAGCCTTTAGACTCAATGGAATGTGTTCATCTAATTTAATTTGTAGATATGAATGGTGATTTTTACTTTGACGTAACGTGAATTTCCGTGTGATATGGTTAGTAGATTTAGATGACATGGCGTAAATTATGAAAAGCGATAAGTAAACTGGGATATAGTTAGAGGTTTCCTAAAAATCATTCAATGAACCCTATAGGAATAAACATAGGGTATGCTATTGATGTATGGGAATAAACTTAATATATTATCAATTGCGCTCAAATTTTGATTAGTATCATTTTAAGTCTAGTTTAAAGAATTTACTAAGGTATAAAATAAAATATATTTCTCCAAATTACTGCAAGTACTTAATTTATACTTAGGATTTTACAGAGATTTAAAAAGTTGACTCTAATATTTAACGCTTACAAAATACTTTAAAATAGACCAATGCAACAGAGCATACAAGGACACTTGGACATAAGTTTCCGCTGTCGACGTTGAATGGAAAATCTTGGTCTTCGTGTCGTTGAACCCGTGAAAATATCGGTCAACGTGTCGAATGCGTTGTAGCGATTCACCTTTTGAAACACGCTACAATTAAACTGAATTTTTCTAATGTACTGATTGAAACTGAAACTTTAGTTAGTATTTTCGCCACTTCTAAAGGGTCACCTTCCGAGGACCATAACCCGATAACACTATGTTCAATATGACTGCTATTATAAGAGCAATATTTTGGTGTATTTAAAACGGCATTTCTATAGTTTAACATGCTCAACTAACAAAACAAAATATATAAACAACACTTTTTGTAATAAAAAATGTCCCTAATATTTTATCGTTCAATTCTCATCCAAGCCAGAAAATGTCTAAAATCGTACTATTATTGAACAGCTTAGTTTAAAGAGTCAATGGGACAGTTTCAACTTATGAGTTTTCATACCAAAGAATATAAAACCAAAATTAAGTTCACTATACTTAAAACTTTTACTCGTCCTTGAATCGCTAGATTGGCTACCGTTGCATGTATTATGGAATGACCCGGTTTTATTCTTAACATCTCAGCGTCACATGGTGATACATCCGCTGAGGTGTTTTGTAACGGAAGTAGCCAATAGCAAGGTTTGTTTGCGAAGTGGGTGGATCTGCACGGGCAAGGCCGCGGATGCCCAGAAGCTCGGTTGCGAATTACCCGGGCACTAGGACAGCCTTGGAACCGGGCAAACAACGGGAAACCCAAGCATTCCACCGACCCCGATTTTTTGACACCGATTCTCAAATGTTTGCCGGATTGTTTTTATCGCTTGTTATTTTGTATTACCAGATTTGAAAGCAGATTCTTGTTAGCATTGCGATTACTTAGATGGCAATCGTGTTGAAAGGGAAACCTATTTTGAGAGGGTATTACAAGTGTATAGAAATATAAACCTGTACATAACATTGTTGAAGATGAAGTTTGTTCTATTGAGTTGTTTTAGAGAAAGGTTTTAAAATATTGTCTTTTCAATATGTATTAAAAAAATACAACCTAATTTGTAAACATATTTTAACATTATTTTAGTGCTACTAGTTTTAAAATATTATGTGGTAGCTATAACTAATTAAACTTAAAAATAATTAAAATAACATTCACAAATGTATATACATGGAGGATCAAATACAAAATAATATTATCTGATCGTAAACTTAATTACTGACACATCAATACATGGGATATTATATCAGTTTTGGCAATTTCAAAATCTTCAAAATGTACGTAGTAAAATTACAATCCTAAGGCGTCTCGTTTTCTTAGCCAGATTCTTTACCACACTGGTATTTTTGTCAAATTGTGAAACAGAAAATAGCTTTAATTCTATATCTTTGATAGTATTTTGTATAGGTAAGATAGTATTGCTGATGAAATTTTAACCGTTTTCCAGTCCCAGCAGACTGGGCCTACCTTGTAACTTTTGAGTCTTAAGTAATTTTTCAGAGGAATTTCAAAAAACCAAATAAGTGTATAAATGATCAATAATAACCTTGTTTTACCTTATTAGCGTTATATTTATTCATTTTAAGATTATGCCCCTATACACAGCACTATTATTATTATTAACGAATGAGGTCATAGATTATTTGAGAGATTTTTGAACTCTTGATAAACTCATCGATTGCTATGAAATTTGTTAGTGAAAAATATGCATGTTTAATGAAACTTTATTTCATTAAAAATTGACACAATATTGCAGTAAAATATCAATATAAAATTACATAACGTGACTATTTATGACAAGAGCTCAAGTTTAAGATACGAGGCGACTTCGAGGTCAAAAGTTGATCGAGGATCGATAATACACTAGTGTTTACATACGGAACATTCTTTTTGAAAAAAGTAATGCTTACAACTTAAATTTCGTACATTGTTGATCTTTATATATCTGTTTCTAAAATGGTTTCTGTATTCATAATACACGAACTGTTGTTGCCATGATTTAGATGTATTATTGCGTATTTATATTAAATGAATACGTGTTATTCCGCAAACAGATAAATAAACTCATATTTAATAATATCTTTTACATTTCAATCGGTCTGAGTATCGATAGTGAATACGATAGTATTTTTCTCAATCAAGACTACATTCATTCTTCGACAAAACCAAGAGACTAAATTTGCAAAAGATAATAGTTCCGATTGATAAAAATATTATCAAAACGTTTTGTGGTTATTATCGTGTCACATTGTACAGTGTGTTAAAATACAATACAAAACAATTGTAAATAAATAATATTTCAATGTATTATCATGCTGGTGGAGTATATTTTGTTATTTCTAAACAACGGTAAAAGCTGTTCGCATACAATAGCAAACAAGACAACAATAATCACATGAGATAAATGTAAAAATTGATGAAAAATAATAGTTTTGAGATTTAGTTAGCTTAAATTATGTATCAGTATTGTTTTTCGCACGGGCCAGAAATTATTTCCAGCCTTCACTCATATTCCGACCTCGGCTTCACCTCGTTCCTTGAACTTCATCTCGTGTCGAAAAAGAGTCACTGTACGCCCCAGTGATTAAATATATTTCGCTGCGATATAACGAAAATATTTTTAAATGTTGACAGCTTAACTATCCCTCTTTTAAATCAGGACCTAAACTATAATATTGAATAAATAAATAAATAAACTTAGGCCATTTTATAAAAATAACCTCAAACTTCTTTAAGGCATCAACGTATCTAATATTAAATTTGAGATCACAACATTGCAACTTCCAATTAAACTTCCACCTCTCTGTAACGAAACCAAACGAATTCGCTGGCAAATTTGCATACGAGCAAAACCCCTTGGCAAGCCGTTCCATAAAGTAAATCAGACGACACTTGTTGATATATGACCCGGTTAAAATGGCTGCCATAATTACGTATACACCAGAGGCGATGCCTGTAGACTCTGGAAGAGTAGAACTAGTGTCAGTCGGTGTTCGGGGTTGCTACGGTAAACACTGTGAACTGGACACCATCTCGCTCACACACAAGCATACGGTAGACGGAATCAGCTGTTTAGAATGGTGAGTCGTGTATGAAGCTGTTTTTATCTACTAATGTTTTTAATTAATGTGTGGCCTTTTTTAATGTTTAGAACAGATGTTTTAAAGGGTTTTTACGTTTCTCATTTTATTCATGATGTTTTTAATTCGATGTTGGACTTTTTCGTATTTATTTAATTTGTGTATACATTTTATATACTTGTGAATTTTGTAGATTATTAACTTGTGTGTCTTTGGTTGGGGTTTTAAATTTTTGTTTATGTTTTTTTTTTACTACATTGTGGTATACGTTTTTGTTTTTACTTCATTGGTATATACATGGTACAAACCTATGACTTTTGGAGATTAAATTATAAACTTGTGCGTATGGTTTGTGAGTTTTCGATTTTCGTACATTTTTTTTGTGTACCTACTTAAATTTTATTAGACATTTTAGTAGTTTAGATATTTTAGTTTTTTTTATTCCATTGTTATTCTGATTTTGTAAAACTATTACTTTTGCAGATAAAACTACTACCTTATGTAATGTTTGCATGTTTACGATCTTTATCCAAATTTCAATACAAATTTCAGTAATAATTTTCGAAAATGATTTAAATAAGTCGGTATAATTTTTGAACGTAGTAAAAAATATACATGGCTAAAATTAGTGAGAAAATTAGTTTTTAAAGCTTATAAATTACTTGTTACCTAAACTTTTGGTATAAAAAGCAGTGTTTAAATCTAAGGCTTAAATACCTTACAATCCAATTTGTTTACTTTGGAGACCTAGGTTTCAACGTCGTAACGTTATCATCAGTCCTTTTTTCCTAGGTTTAGTTTAACTGTTACTTTTAGAAAACTTATGAATCTATTTCTAAAAGTAACAGTTTAGCCTAGGACCAAAAAGTTTTCCTAAGGACTGATGAAACCTAGGTCTCCAAAGTAAACAAATTGGATCGTAAGGTAAGCCTTAGATATTAACAGTGTTCAATAACAATCCAAAGGCTATATCTCCAAAATACTGTAAATAGTATACTAACTATTTTTTATTTGTGTTCGACATTTTCATCACGAAACTAAAACTACAAGTAGAATGTATTTACTCTTCTCTATGAATCATAGTGTTATAATTTTCCAAATGACATGTTATAGACCTTATCATCGATTTATTTACAAAAACACATTTCTTTTGTTAACCATTTCACTTTTAAAATAAAGTAAACAATGTTAAGAGAATTTAATTTTCATGAATATTAAAACATTACATTTTTCGTATACTAGCTTTCTGATAGAATCTACCGTAAACAGTTTTGTTATTTTATAATAATAACTTCTTTGTTCCGGTTGGCCCAGTTTTCCTGAGAGTAAAAGTGCTAAAGATTTTAAATATGGAAAATCTATGGAAAGTTAGGAAGTTTAATCTGGAAATAGAATACATCACAGATTTGGAAAACAAACAAGGCTAATTCGTCTCAACGGTTATCTACCTGAGCTTAACTTGGGTAAGGCTTGCATCACATATGTTGTGTACTTAACTTTTACCAAATTAACACTGTAACTTTTAATGAAAAATATCACACGGCAAGCGTATACAGGCGAATAAAATTTTGTTTTTCGTAACAGGGAGGGAACTGTCTAGTAGAACACGGGGCTTCGGTCCTCTAGGTCCCGGGTTCAAACACAGTAAATCACCAATGTAATTTATCTAAGTGGTGATTCTGCGACCTCTAACATAATGCTTGGAATATAACAAATCAAGCAAAGAATTGTCTTTCCGTTTTACAAAGTAAAAAAAATTAATACCACCGTGGGTTTAGTTTATTTTGTTTAAATTAATTCGAACAAAATACCTATAGCCTAATAATAGACGGACAAGAGCTATTTCAATTTATAGAAAAAATGTAAAAAAGAAAAATGTATAGTGCGATCGCGGATCACAAAACCACCCTTTTTTAAGACGTATGAAATCAAATACTTCTCATTGCTGTTTATGTAATATACGTTTTATACTTTTAATACTTTTCTTTCTTTTAATACTTTCTTACTAAATGGCGACCATACAAAGTAGGTATTTTCATATACGGAATACTACCGTTGACCTTTGAACTTAACCGTTTAAAAGTGGTTCATGCGTTTTAAACATAGGCCTGATATAATTTAAGATTTATAAAATAAACTAACTTCAATTGAGATTTACTGATATTTATTCAGAGGCATTTATTTATAATCTATAATTATTTATTCAAAATTAGAAACAAAAAGGACGTGAATGAAAGAACATAACTTATACTATAAAATAAATAAATGTTAGAGTTCAAGATCGCACAGAGAAAAAAAGGTTATGGCAATGATTTGAAACGATTAATCTAACTGTATTATTTAATAACTAGCGTTTCACAACTGTATTTCTAACGGTTCAGGCGATTGGAGGTGAATGCGGGAGAAGGCATTTAAATCTTAAAACAGTTATATAAATCATTACAATATAGTCTTAAAACTATAACATAACTATTAAAACATATAATTTTATCATAATTACAGTTCATCCAGTAAGATAAAAAATGTATTCTAATTCAAATTTACATGTTTAGAATGTACATGACAAATTTAACTCTTACAACGTAAAAGATTTTTTTTTAATTTTTATAATATGAAATCAGTTGAATTCTAGAAACACTAATTTAGTAGAGCTATAGGAAGAGTCATAAAAGCTCGCCTAAGCCCAGCTCCCTGAAAGGCCTTTAGCTAGAACCTAAAAGGAGCAAAATCAAACTATTTTTTCACTGACTTCTTGTCCAGGTTTTTACAATGAAAAACTCTAAAATAGCACATTACATGGGATTAAAATATAGTGTTATCGAGAGGATCTTGCTGCAATCGTTTGTTGAGTTACCACACTACATTATTCCTGCAGTCTCTGCCTATAAAAACTGCCTGTTCATTTTCCTAATCAGGATATGATGTCAAGGTCTTTTTTCGTCGCAAGATGTTTTGTCGTACGATACAATGTCGGACCAATTATCGAACTCTTTGTAGGGTCAACATGACCTAAACCGGTAGATGGCAACTGGTCTGGTGGGGAAATCGTTTCATATCAGCCTGCGTGTCTCCTTGTTTCATTATTATTCATAGACTTGTCCCATTTTAACCATCCTGGTTATCGAAGATCAAGGTAATTTCGCCTCCAACGGTTATTCTGGCTGCATATTAACATCTGACAGGATACCGCGATTTTATTAGTTTTGCAAGTGAGCTTTTGATTGTAAGTAGAGGTTTAATACACAGAGAATATAAATTGATGTATATTCAAGTGGTTTGAAAGTCAAGATAAAGGACGACTACGAGATAAAAGCGAATTGTAGAAATTTATTTAGCTTGATAACTTTATATCCAGGATTATCTGCTGCTATCTCAAAATATGTACTTAAACAATTTGTAAAAGTATTTTGTAGAAAAAAACAAATATCCGATTGCAAGCCACTCTTGAAACTGTATTAGAAGTGATGGCCATGAGTAAAGGTATTGTTTTATTCCTCCTTTAATCGAAGGTTCTTAAAACTATCCCGGGTGAAATTCATATTCTTCAACTTTATTCAAATATGCTGCTATTCTTTTGTAAAATTTACACTCACAATCATGTATACGTGGTCACTTAAAACTTTGGAGGGTCAAATTTACCACAATTCCTTCAAAAGATAGTTAATTATGAATTTCTATCCACAAACGAAAGCCACATCAAACTTTTCTGTAAATAATTTTTAATGTTCAATTTTAAAATGCAATTTATGGTTTTAAATCATTCCTGAAAGTGATAACAAAGCTAATTTAGTTTTTAAACTAGCATGAGTGAGCGTTTACTTCATTTAATACTATAGTCCTAGATACTATTTTTGCACAATCAATCACAGAGCTCGCCTAAGTGTATATCACTTGTTATGCTCAAATTATCTGACTGATCAATTTGGACCTTCCAGATGAAGTTACCAGCCTACCTACTGTTGGTGGTGGTGTCTTGTGCGTCGGCTTCCTTCGGGCCTCTGCCCCCCTCGCTGGACATCGCCCGTCTGGAGTCCCTGGAGCCGGGATGCCAGGAGGATCTAGAGAAGTTACGGAGAGGGCTGGACACTGGGCAGAGGTGGGCGCAGACCAGTGAGTATTGCAGAAACCTCTACTTTGGTTTAGATTCATACCATTACCCTCAATACTGCTTATTTTAAGGCGAGCGTGAATGGAGTATTATAGTTCGGCCGCTTAGAAAGCGACCTCCTTCAGCATTGGTTTAGCATTAGCGCGCGGGTTGTTTTCTAAGCGGCCGAACTATAGTGTTAATGAAGGTGACTTTGTTACTTACTGACCAAAATCAGCTGATTTTTTGGGACCATTTCTCTAAAGTACATCAAGGTCAGATGGGTTCAGTTTTCCAGCTGGGGTTCAGGACCAAAAATAAACTTCTGACTTTTCTCAGGATCGAGCCGGCAACGCTATGAGTATTCTACCATAGACAAAAATAATTGAATATAGACTGTCAGCCGTGCTGCGGTTACCATGGTTACTAAAGGTTCTGGCGCACACCGCTGGGAGCGCCGTGTAGTTTCGTAGCGCGTACGCCGTAACTACATGGCCCTCCCAGTGGTGTGCGCCAGAATCTATGATAACCGCAGCACAGCTGACGGTATGTATTCTACCTATTCTACTCAAGTTATTTCTTAGGTACCGGTAGTAGTGGGATTAGCCCACTATTTTTGGTGGAGTCTCATAAGAAGATTGTATATACTTAACCCTTAGGTAACTTGAAGTGTAGAGAAACCAACATATATTTACGTAGAATATAAACCAATCATAGAATATAAAACATAGAGAAACACGCCAAAACCCCTAAACAACCTCTTTAACTGACCCCACACTTTTTGATTTTCAGAGTTTACTCAGGAAAAAATCTGTCATTTTTACTCAAATCAATTTTTGTCATAAGTTTTTCTCAAAAAAATACTCTAAATTTCATACAATTCAATTCAATTCAATTCAAATGTAGGTTATCAATGGCACTGATAGGTTTACCGCGGGGTTTCCATTGACGTAAGTTTACATAATATTACAGACACCGACTAGAAGATTCACCGCCAGACATTTGATGACAGTCATTTGGAGAAGTATTTTCACATCTTTCGATTCCTCTGATAACATAGAGGTTGCTATTGTTTTCGTTGAGCGTGTGTCAACTGAATGGTGCTGTGTTGTTGGTTTCAAGTCCTAAACGGTGGTTTTAGCTCGTTAAAAAAGTAATAAAATTTACTTGTTTAGCAGAATTAACTATTTGTTTTGTTGTTGACAACCCAAATTACTACAAAAAACTAGCGCAAAATGTGTGAAAATAGTAGGCTAAATAAATAATGAATTAACAAAAAGTAATAATTTCCCTATTATTATGCTCCCTACAAAGCTTCTTCGTAAAACAACTACAAAGATATGGGGACATAAATTCACTTGAACCCCATATCGTTTGGTTAATAATTACTGCGTTATAGTTTGGTTCAAAAAATTTCATTTCCTAACATATATCTGTATTTTTTTAGTGTAAAATAGTTACTGAGAGAATAGGCCTACACAGTTTGTAGGAACATAATTACAATCTTGATTTGTGAAGTTAGTTCTTTGATTTAATAAATAGCTAGGGCTCATTTTGGTAGTTTACACATTCTTAGTGTATTTTTGCGCTGCTTTACATAAAATTCTTAAAATTCCTATTTAGTTAGATTTGGAATATTAAAAAGAATTAATAATGATCCAGGCTGTTACACATTTTTCATCGTAAACACAGTCATCCTTTTACAACATTCTCATGACAAAAAGTACTTACCAATGGTAAATATCTACAATATTTGACATTTACTTACAATATTATAAAGTTACAATATAATCTTACAATATACAGGGTGTCCCGTAACTCTCTGGACACATGTATATAGCGTTATTGCTTAGGTAAAGACAAACAAATTTCACCATAAGAACATGGGTCTGTGGTGTCTAGTTTACCGACTGTCGGCATTTATGTGTTCTAAACATAAACATTAATAACTCCTAAACGGTTTGAGATACAGCCTTGAGATTTTGCAGAAATGTTAATCTGATTAAGGCCTATTATCGTTAGAAATTATGCTAAAAAATCATTAACCGTTGGTTCAAAATGGTGGCCATTTAAAATATTTTATGCCTAATTTCACGAAAACCGTTAACTTAACGAAAAACTTGCATGAGACAAAAGTTTTAGTAAATTTTATGTAGTTTTCAATGATACCTTATTTGTTAAGAATGGATCAACAATAACAGATAAATGTCTTCTTTTCCAAATGCATGACCACTTTTCTCCATTCAAACAATGCTAAACAACGTAAAAAGAGTGTCCCTTCAACGATGGTTGAATCCAACCCGATATAATAACTTCGTAACCATGCTCTCCCTCACGCTGTTTGCGATGTTTGACAACAACACGGGTGAGTAACCCCATCAACATCTGCCAGGACAAGGTGAAAGTCGCCCGAGACCTTGGGTCGCCGACGTTGGTCCTTGAAGGAGTTCTCGGTCTAGGATGTCAAGAGTTTATAAAACTGTCATAACAATGTCAGTAATACTTTTGCGCGTGGAAACTCCGGGCCTTGGCAATTATTGCAGCTTGAAATAACTGTTATTGACGTTTGTCTGGGTGTTTTTATCTTTGTAAAGAATGGTCATCGCAATAGCATTTCAAGTAGAAGATTGTTTAATTAGTACAAACCAGTGTCATAATTGGCTTACTAGAGTTAATGTTTGGTTTAGTTGGTATTTAGTATTTACGTTTGCATCAATAAATAGCAGGCAGTGTCTTTTGAGGTGTTTCAAAATCAAATCGTTAGAATGTTTTAATATGATTTAACGCTGACAAGCAAGATCATAAAGCTTTAAATCGCCAAGATTTAAAAAATACTATACAAAATAAATATTGGATTAGCTTGATAAATGTTGATTAATAATAGTTAACATTACAAAAAGTTGGGGTTTTATTAAATTGTTGAGGTGATTTACGCATAAGCCTATATGTAGAGATGCATGAAATTAATTGAAAACTACAAGATTTATCTTAAAGAGACAGCTGTTTCGTGGTTCACTAACCATCATTTATATCGTAAACATCAGTGAACACTGTGTAATAATAATTCAATAAAGTAGTTTAAATACCTGCATAAAAGTTATCCACAATGTTGCTCACGGTTTTATGCAGGTATTTAAACCACTTTATTGAAATATTGGTTATCCGGAGGCTAAATCACAATGTAATAATAATTGCTTACCGATACCGAAGCTATACATTATACAACATGCAACCTATCTGAGCATGACACTTAATATAAAACAAAAACCTCGACCACCATTTCGAATTTGCCCTTGGATTGTGTTTATTTCCGTAGAAAGAATCTGCCTCCGGGAAATTCCAAGTAATATTTGTAAGGGTTTAAAACGAGTTAAAAGAATTGTTACATGAAAACAAATATTGTACGTGGTATTTCTAACGTACCGTACCTATTTTGTTCACTTCACAAAAACAACCGAAAATCAAATAAAAATGGTAATTGGTTTAATTTCATAATACAGATCGACACGTAAACGGTATGCATTATATTACGAGTGCTAATTATAGGACCGATTCAAAAGCTTTTGGAAAGTTATTATGTAAATTAGGAGAATTACTAGAGGTGTCAAATTCAAAGTGGTCAAAAGATGATTCATTGCTTCAAGGCTTAAGAGGTTTGATATATGAAAACGATCAATATACGATAGTTTGGGATTTACCGCTGACTTCTTAATACCGAAGGTTACCCGTTTGATTCTAAAAGACGACAAATTCTTATTGACAGTAATGTCAGTTCAAAATACAACTTAAGTGTCCTCAGTTGACTCATTAGATATGTAGGTTGAAGAATCAGCTGGTTTTTAGTCAGTAAAAAAAAGCTTATTTCTTTAATTTCTACACTCGTCCCTCATTCATCTTCACCCTAAATTGCGCACTATAGTATCGTGGTTCCACACCAATAATTCGGTACCGGTGACAAAAATGTTTAACTGGCGTTTATAGAACGATACAATGATAGCTGGGGTTAGGTTTTGGGTTAGCTGTAGGATTTCCCAACTTTGTAAGATTCGTAGTATATGGTAAATGATTTCAATGCCATAGTGAGGTTAAATTTTATTTAACAACTTGATATCGTAACAATGACATTGATGATTTTTTAACTGGTGGTCTGGTTCATTTCGAGGTCCAGATTTCTATGGTTCAAAATACTACCAGAGGGGTGGGGCTTGGTTAAAACACGGGACCTCTGTATTTAAGGCGTAAGTTCAAATTCCGCCAATATCCAAACACTTTTAGATATTCGATGATTCCGTGACTTATTGACTGAAGGGTACCTAAACAAAAAATAACATGAATCTCATCTAAGGGAATGTTTCAGTAATGAATAACTCCCTGCAAAAAACCATATGATAAATAATAAGTAGCATGCGTTTTACCCCTGATGTAGTCATTTCTTGTTTCAGTGTGGGACGCTTCGGTCAAATCTCCTGTAGGAATTCTGTCACAGACAGCTGTACAGTTCGGAGACTTTGACGAGTGTTTGACTGTAGAATCTCCAGTGGCCGCTCAGTTCTGTATGGCTGATGTAGCTCCGGGAAGAACTAACATCACTTTGGTAAGTGTATCAAAACATGTTGTATACAGCTGTTGGTCAGTCATTCTACTCCTAACCAGAATACGAAATACGTTCAACACCATGAATATATTACTTTAAAAACACAATTAACTAACCTTAATGGTTTCATTGCCTTCCTTCAAAGTGCTTGGAGAAGTATGCCGTTTAATTGGTAGTTTATTTCCATCATCCGGTGATAAGTCTCAACTTAAACTACTATATTTCAAAAGGATAGGTTGATTTATTTTTCTAATAAAAGTTTTTCCCGAGCGGAGAGCGGGTCAATCAGCTAGCTCAAAGTTAGTTAGCTGAATTCTATGAAAATACTAGAAGTTTTTTGTATTTTACCCATTGATTGTTACTTTTGAACCTTTCTGTTAAAACTCTGCAACATGGGTTTTGCTACAAAACCAATGAATCAACAGTAGTTTCTTTTATAAAGCAGTCGACATTGCTACACAATTTCTACGAACGCGTTGCAAGTTCTATACATCCCACTTACACAGATAATTTTCATCCTGCGCAACTCGTAGTATTCCATTGTTAACCTATAAAAAAATTAAAAGGAAGTGAACTGTGAGTTAGTTTCAACTGATGTTTTCCTATGTTGCATGACGATAATGTTTGAGAAACCCCTTCAGTTGTATGTAAAAGAAAATCTCACGTAAAGAATAATATCCGTTCTTATGAATAGTAATTAAAATTCCAGTTTGTTGCAAAACCTGATGCGTCGACATTGAAGCTAAAACTAGTCACGGTACGTTATACAACCAAGATGCACAATTGCCATTAATTAAATAGTGGATTTAAATTGCGTAAAGCATAAATAACTAGTTGGTCATGTAACAGCTTTATTATAGAATCCCCAGAGGGTTAAAATATGGAAGAGTTTGCATAGATCATAGAGATAATTTATCGCTTCCTCTATTCTGCATACTCTATTCTTTGGTGCTGTGTGAAAAGTGCGCTTTAGGAATCAAAAAAGATGTCATGTAATTTATGTTAAAAAAAGTCCATCTAGATTATTAAACTGCCTTTTTTGATGATTGTTTTAACAGCAAACTCAAAACCGATCGTGAAACATGCTCCAAGACATGCTTCAGATTGTAAAGCAGGATGAGAAGTATACACGCTGTGTTATTAATAGTAAAAATCTGGCTTCATCTAGTTGATATAGATGGGGTGGCTACTTTAAAGTCAATGATAGAACATTAAACAGTTACAGCCAAAATACAAGAGGTTGGCCACAGTCGCCTTCGAGGACAAATCTGGAGAATGTCCTTGAAGTTTGAATATCCCAGTAAGATTAGCATCGGAATAGTACGTAATTTATTTGAAATGTTTATTGCTGTAAGATTTACTAGTCAGGTATTCACATCACGATGGGGAAGTAATTACACAGTATCATCGTTTAGAATAATTTAATTGATAATTATGATATAGTGACTGAGGATTGTCAATTATACGGTATCAGTATTATATAAAATGGGAGGCACGATTTAAGAATTAAGAAAGGATGGCTTCTTACCTTGAGACTAAAGTTCAAATTTCTCAAATCGCCAATGGATCTATACTGAGTTGTGTATTTTAGGCCTATGTATGTTTACGTAAGTGTAAAGAAGAGAGTAATATTCTCTGCATTGAAGATCACCCCCAAAAAATCAAATGGTTAACATAAAGATTAACTTGATAAGTAATATAAGCCTGAGTTCCCCTCGGGTATAAAATTAAAAATTGATTTTTGTTACTATTTTGAGTTCAGCTACTATCTTGAACGTCACAAAGTAAGCACGTAAATGAACGCCCTACTCTGAAATTGTTAAACGTAATTTGGAATATTAAAACCTGAAGGTTGTTATTTTTTTAACAGTTATTGACTTGTTTACGGAACTCTATGAGCAGTATTTTGGCAACCTATGCCTTGCTAGCCTTGGAATTTATTTGGATTTTGTGATTTATTTCATTGAGGATAACATCAACCATCTCTATTTCTTTGTAACACCTTGTTGTGTAGTTGTTTACTGTCCGTTACGTAAGAGAGACAATTTTGTGTGAATTATGCAATTCCAGTTTCACTTTGTGATCCAAGCTGGTCCAATCCTAACCTTCAAAGCTTGCCTATTTAGTCCTGCATGCTTCAGCTAAACAACCTTGTTTGTAACGTGAAACCTTCAGTATCATCAAGAAACAAACTTCCTATGTGCAAATTAGGAAGAATACCTCCCATTAAAGATTACCATACATCGGTAAAATTTCAAAGGCTTTAAGACTTAAGGGACAGAAAAGTATTTCACGTTTAAGACTTTTTGCATTCTATCAAAATTCTAAATCCTCCAACTATTCCCTTAACATTTTTCTCCAATGAATTTCCAGACGTTCAATTTGAAGTTTGTTTCTACTAACTACCTCAAGAGCATAAACTCCCTATACTATATTTATTTTGCCCAAATCTCAAAAAGTTCAGTAATTTGTGTCTACGATATCAATAACCTATACTTCCTCATATTCTAAATTTTCGACTTTGGTCTGATTGTACCCACATGAACTTCTAAAGGTTGAGTTTGGATTTGTTTCTTCAATATCAAGGAACTAAATCTTATCGTTAATATTCTTTAATTCTTTACCATAAAGATCAAGGCGTAACCATAAAAAAAAACTTGAATGTCTTTTTTCTACATCTTTAAGACTTTCTCACCACTGTTTAGTGTATCGAACTCCGGAGCAAGATAAACCACAGTGCATCTATTCGACACCAAAACATATTAAAAATGTTTAAGACACCAAAGTGCTAAAATCTTACAAACAAAACATCTGTAACACCATACAGTCATAACCTAAATATGTTGTACAGTGGGCACCGTTCAAGATGGGTGTGTGTGTGCCTGCATCGTGCTCAGCTCGTGGACTACAAGACTCACTACAGATTCTATTGGCCAATGGCAGCTCTGACGTCACAGTGCACGTCATCCCAGAGGCTTGCACTACCAAGGAAACAGTGTCGAGACCAACCACCACTAACGATCTGATATTCATGTAAGCAATTTTCAATAATTTTTTTTAAGTTTCGCCATAATTGACTCAATCTTTGTAAAAAGAATTGCCTTTTATGGAAATGGTTAATTAGCTCAGCAATAAGATTATAGGAAACCGTGACCTGTTTTAGTCAGAACCGCTTCAGTAAGATCCTGTACTACTGCTATGTAGATATGTAAGAATTTAATTTAGGCTTATGTCAATCAAATGTGTTGCCTCCAAGGCATTGCCGTACTGAAATTATAGGATGCAATCGGGCTGGTAAATCTCGAGACAGATTTCCCAGAAGCATGGATTGCTTTTTGCTTTGAGATAAAGCCGAGGACTGTTAGAAATTGGAGCAACTTTAGATGGGATATGTAAAAAAAACTATGTTAAATATTTATTTTTTATCCGCTCCTGGAATCAAAAAGATTACTTATACAAATGAGAAGTATGAGAGTATTAAGTCTTCACGGCAACAAATGAAAAATGCAATGTTTAAATTTTCCCATATTAAAATTTTATTTTATTTTGAATTCAACACGAGCTTAATACACCAATAACAGAAATAGAAAGTGTATCAATGTTAAATACAAGTTTAAAAATAAATTTGAGGAGTTTTATAGTGCTGTGTTATACCATTAGACTACTACTGGTAAAAAAAATTAAACAACGAATTATAGTTAACTTCATCCCGTTACGTTTATTTATACTCAAAGCTGTTACCATTAAGACTTTATCAACCGACCAAAAATGCATTAATACGAATTAAGGACAACCGATATTTTATACCTGTATCAATCCCAGATTAAACTTAACACGAAACTGGTTTTAAAACGCATTAATTGATATATCTCGTCCGATCTGACATAATAAATAGCTTCTGGATTTGATTAGAGACTATTGTGTGATTTTAAAATGTTTGTTTCTTCTTTGTTCTATGAAAGCGTTGCGTATTCCCAGAAAAAGTCATTTTGTAAAAATTAGTAGAAATACTTATCTTCAGACTGATCTTTTAATAACAAAGATTGAACCTACAAATATTTAGTTTGAAGAATCATTTGCCAAAGTAACCAATGGAGGCTACAATAATAGCACTAGTAACCAAGAGTCAAATGATCGTAATAAAGTGCTTAGTACCTACCAACACATTCCGGAGAGCTGCCCAAGTATACAGAGTACACTTTACGAAATTAATGTCACTTCCAAGCTTTTTAAATTATTCTTCAATGCAAGCAGTAGGCACCGGTGATACTGCTCAACGCTTTGGCACTGAGGTGGTAGTTGGATAAATGTATTTACAGTATTGGAGGTTAAAATGGGGAATGAAAGGCGGTGTTAAGGTGTACCATAATTTTATATCTGTAGCACGGCGTTTCATACCATGAAATACATAGTCAATTATTGCCTTTTGATGACTCTTTACAGGTGAATTAATTGCCTACTGGGCTTCCAGTAGCTTAGCTTTGTAAAAGTGGAATTTTAATTTTGTTTTGTTTTATTTTAACACAAATGTGTGATTACACTTTCCATCGAAACTGAAACAATTTCAATTAATAATTCTCGTTTGATTACTTTAATGATCAATATTTACAAAATAAATTAAGGAGAAGCGTTGCTTCTAATATTAACTCTCTTAAACAACAGGGACATTCCAGGTTGCAACACAACCGTATCCGTGATAATGGGATGCGCCGGAAGCAGTAATCATACACGTATGTAATGACAGTTATCTAACGTGTCTAGGGTATGACCTTGACATTGATATAGCGCAGGCGCGGTGTCGACGCATCTATTGCGTAAGCGCTCTTCCCCGGCCACACCTGTCGTATGTTGACAGTGCAAATTACGGTGCGAGTCGTGATTATCGTACAGTTTGCCAAATGTAGGATAATTCTACTGCTACGATAATTTTTTGTTTATCTTGAAACGTTTTTGAATGGGGATGTCGCAATTATATGACTGTTTTTTTTTCAACTAAGTTCACGTGCATCTTTTATTTTTTGATTTGCAATATTCAAGTTGGTGTTTTATCTATGACATAATTTACTCTAATTAGGCAATTTCATGGTTAAAATCATTAACCGAGTAGATAATGGGTTTAGAGTAACAAATAGGTGAAATATCCATATCCGGGAGATTTAAAATTAGGGAAATGAAGCGCACCCTGAGCCCAGACCAGCTATGCCTTACTTTGTCTTAATCTACAACTAAGAATTGTAATATTTCAGCTACTTGTTATCCGATGTTTTTGGACTTGGTTTAATTTGATAAGATATTTAAATTCCAAATAAAAGAGTTCTTGATACTTTTTCATAAAATCTATTATTTTTTGTAATTTAACTTATAAAACTAAATAGCTACCATTTTGGAATGTTAACTTGAACCAAGTTAATTTTTTACTAACATATGTATCTTTTACCTTAAAATACATACCAAGTTTCATAAAGATTGGGTCAAAATGTTTATTCAAAAAATACAAAATGGCAGATATCTGGTTAAAAAGAAGTGTTTTAGGAAATAACTATTATTTATTTTCTCTTTTTATTGATTCATAAACCAATTCCAGGAGATAAGCTAGTTTTTTTTTGTACAGCCTGTATACCAGTTCTTTTTTTACCTATACATACAGGGTGGTAAAAAAGTCCCAGGACAGTTAAATATTTTTAAAAATAATGTAGATAGAGCTACAATACTTGGTACAAAGTTACAGGGCATAAAACTCTATTTTAACACATATTCAGGGATCCAATAACTCTTCAGGGGGACGGCCCACAAGGAGTCGGAAGGAAATCTTAAATGAAAGCATAGGACAATATGCACATCAAATTAAAGGTCGTTTTTAGTAGAATACAATGCCGCAAACCGCACTTAAAAAGGTTGATCCTGCGCAAAATGGCAGATGTTCAAAGATTTCTTGAATCCGCCATTTTGAATCTTTGAACAACTGTCATTTTGCGCAGGATCAACCTTTTGAAGTGCGGTTTGTGGCATTGTATTCTACTAAAAAAGACCTTTAATTTAATGTGCATATTGACCTATGCTTCTATTTAAGATTTTCTTCCGACTCCTTGTGGGCCGTCCCCCTGAAGAGTTATTGGATCACTGAATATGTGTTAAAATAGAGTTTTATGCCCTGTAACTTTGTACTAAGTATTGTAGCTCTATCTGCATTATTTTTTAAAATATTTAACTGTCCTGTGACTTTTTTACCACCCTGTATAGCTTTGTATATTCTAGCCACCTTTCCCTAAGGTTATTTCCTTTCTTATAAGGAAATAAGAAGTTATATAATGAACATAATATGAAATTACACAACGGCCTAACCATCAATATTAACCACCGCTACTGCGCTTTCCATGATTCATTTTTTGTTGAGGAATCAGTAATCAATGCTAAAGTTAATTGTAGGCCTATTCTTGACACATAGCATTTTACTCAGTTTTCCCTAACATGAACTGTTTCCATTCACAGTTTTCCCCAAGCACTTAATGAATGGGCATTTACCACTTTAATAAAGTGGTAAAAGGGTGTTTGAGAGATCGTAATCCGATAAGTGATAATTTACCTATGATAACAGCAATAGCCATTATAGACATGGAATTACATAATTAACCTTTAATTACATAATTCTAGCTCAGATTATATAAACAGTTGTCAGTTGCAATTTTTCCAATTCCAGAATACATCAACAAATCAACAAATGCTTAAAACAACAAAAGTTCTAAAAACAAGTACTATTCCGTTTTATTTTTAGATTTTAATAAATGTAAAGCTCCTAAGAGCTTAGAAATATGAAAACTTAACAAACAAGTATGAGAAAAGTACCAACATATTTACTGAAAACCTCAGTTTTTAAATTCTGTTTATCTCATTGGATACAGAAAAATACCCCCGCCGCAGCAAACCTGCAGACTAAGCGAATTTCCATTTGACTGATTGGATTTACACTGAAATGTCTACTTAAAAATATAACATTTATTCCTGATTGAATAGAATTAGTTTAACAAGTACTTAGGTTTGCTGCATCAGGGAGGGTAAAGCTGTATTTTTTTTTTTTTTTTTTTTTTTTTGTAAAATGGTAATAGTTAGTAAGAAATTAAAACATTTTCCAAATTTGATCAAAATATGTTCATAAACAAGCAAACTACAACAGTTTACTTATTCTCCATAAGAATAACATGGGAATTTTAAATTTACAATTTTTTTGAATTTTCTCCGTAACCATTAGGCGCATAATAACGCTTCAATATACTAAATTATTTGTTTTTTTAAGCTCTACAAAATGGTTTGGAAATAAATTGCTAAATTTTATGTTTTTTTGGGTCAAAAATGGGAAAAACCTATTTTTACCCCATAAAACCCCCCGTAAACACCTGTTCCCATGGTCCGATCATGCTGGATCGCGAACTCGTTCGAATAAACGTAGGTTTACACGTTTGTACCAAATTTCATCAAAATCGGATCATTTTTGCTCGAGTTATCGTGCTGACGGACACATATATATATATATATGAATTTGAACGGATGGTGTTTTTGGCCTCTAGGGACCTCAAAACAAAAAAAAAATCGGTCCCACGTCCAGGTCTTACCATGAGTACTACGGTAATAGCTTATTCCCTATATGGGAAATTCGCTAAAACACATATTTCATCATAATATATTGCTGCTTTGACATTTTTGTTGTTTAAAAAGGCTTTAAATCCAGCTAATTATTCCACAAACATTTTTTACATTGTATTATTGCAGTTAAATTATTTTGATGATTTTCTTCCTGTGTCCTGCAAAATGAATGCTATGTAAATTCAAACTTGATCAACCGACTCGGTTTTAAAACAATAATTATACCTTTTCCAAATGAAAAACTTATTCCTACGTTTGTTGTTGTTTTTGTTGCCTCAGGACTCTATTTTAGAACCTGTATTTTTTTCTATTTACATAAATGACCTACTTAAAAAAATTAGCTTGAATTGGGGTTTCTTTATAGATTAGATTTTTCTAGCTTATATTTATTTTTTTAAATCCAACATATTCTTAGATTGTAAACAAAAGTGTCAAAACAATGAAAGAAGCAATATATAGCAAAAGTTATTGCCAAGGACAACAAAGATGTAAATACCAATGATTGCAGCAAAACTTGCTTGTCAGGTCAGTTAACAACATTGTATAATCTTTATTCTTTGTGATCAAAGTTATAGCAAGTCACTACATATTCATTGTTGAAACACAATATGACAATAATCAATTGTTGCAATGTAACTAAACCAATTTGACTTAACTTTAACAAGGTCAGTCTCAATCATTTTCTACAAGTGTACATTCAAGGTCTTTGAACAATACTACTGTAACAACATTACATTGACATTCAACTATAACACGTTGGATTATAATGTTTTAACCTGTTTACTTTTAGTATATTAGATACTAGTACTGAAAATAGGTGTTTGGGACAAGTGTGGTCGTCCAATGGGAGACAAAGTCAAGTGGGGATTAAGGCTGAAGAGGTCCTGGTCCTATAGCAGCACTGTCGGGGGGGAGGGGGGGGGTTGTTTCGGCTCTCTGGACTGAATATCACAATATTTTTCTCCCAAACAGCTCTTTTCTGGACTAAATCCTTGCGTGGGAAGCTCGTCAAACAGTGTAGTGTGGTGCAAACAATTTTACCAATTTAGATGTTTGTTCTGGGCTCCTGCGAGGGATCTTAGGACTAGAACGAATTTTGTAAAATGCTTATTAGTATATCCTGTACCATGAACAATACAGGATCAAACAAATTACCTATAAAATCTATTTTGATACTGCTAGTTTAATTTAAAGCAACGTCAATTATGAAACTAGCACATAATTCGACATTGGGCTATCAATGGACAATGATGTTGGGTAGGTAACAAGGACAGGGTCCCCTTTGGAAATCTGAAGAGTGAAAATGAGATTGAAAAAACACATAAAGAGTGAAAACTCAATCAATTGAAAAATTGTGGGAAGCATTTCAAAATATGTAACCTTTAATAATGAGTATGAAATTTTCAAACTTTTTGTATGAAATAAATTTGAATTAAATTATAATAACTGATTCCGGAAGGAGGATTAAAAAATTTAAAATTCCAAGATTAAGAACAGTTGAGTCTAGTTTCAATAAACTTCCTGGCTTTACTTAAAATCACACTGGCAAATTTCCTGGTTGAAAGGCAAGCATTTAACCATCTGACTGTAAGCCTTTGTAATTAAGTCAGCTAAAATGGCATCCAAGCTGTAGACAGTTTTATAGTTTGTTTAAATCAAGACCATCTTATTTTGTTCCCAGCTTCATGGTTTAATTTGACTTGAGTTGTGTTCCTCTCAACTTCCAACACATTTTATAGTTCAACATTTTTGTGGCTGATGCTTCATTCACAGGTGGTCGGGTTCATTTCAATAATATAATGCTAGCAAGCAATTTCTGTATCCTGTTAGTCTTTCCTGAAGAAGTCGTCATGCTAGGTGTTTAGCCTTTAATATTTTGTTACCTTGACATTTTGAAAACATTGGAGTTTCCAACAATATGACACGAGTACAGAATACAGAGTAAAATTATTTCCTCCTGTCCTGGCATTCAGATGTATTAAAACAAATAAATCTTCAGTACAAAATCAATTAAAAAATTGTTTCTTAAAATTAACGTTTTTTTATATAGCCTACATTTTGGAAAATGAAAAACTATTTTTGAAACAAAAAATAGTGTATTGGGCATAAGCAGTATTTTTTCTTCTTCTGCAACTTCTGGAAATTTAAGATTGAAAACCTCATTTTTACCTACAACATGGGGTTTTCAATTCATTTTAAACCTGATAGGAACTTTTTTATATCAACCGAAAAATTAAAAGCCATACATTGCTTCAAAATTAACATGACAAGATTTTATGTTGATACAATTTACAGTAATATAAGTATTATTCTTGTTTCCATGTCTTTCATTGAAAGTGGTTTAGCTTTTGTTTTAATATATCCAACAACAATATGCATGTTATTCTTGGTTCCATGTATTCTTGTAACAATGTATATTTGATTGCAGCCTAATCGTCACTGGTGCAATACTGATTGTCTCTGCTGCCACTGTTCATGACATCATTCTCAACCCAGACTATGACAAAGTTTCTCCTCCTCGTAAGTATGAAGATTAATGTTGTATTTTGTATATTTTCCTCAAGTTTGGTGGATTACAAAGGTTATAGGCACCTTCATCTTTGGTTTTAAATAAAGAACTGTTTGGAATAAATTTTTCTTTCAGATATGTCTGTGGCTAACCGCGACATGGAGATGGGCTAATGTGATTAAGAAGTTGTACAAAATTCTTACAGATTACATCAGTGTCAGAGTGTCTGTAGGGGTTCATAAATTAGGACAAAATATCATCAGTGCTATGTTTTGTGTATCTATTAGCGCCTTGACTCTCATTTACTCAGGCAAGCTAAATGAACTCTATCCCTTAAAAATCTTCAATCACTTTGGCCTTTAGTAGTTTATAGTAACCCTATATTGATCTATATTCACCCTCTCCCCGCAGGTCGGCTGGTGGAGTGTCTCTCAGCACGTAGGGGATGGTACAGTCTGTTCCGAGCTGACCCTGACATGGTACCAGGGGTCAACCTTGGGTCACTCTACGGCCTCCACGCATGTGCCTTCTTTTTCGTCGTGCTCGGACACCGGTTTGGAGTTCACTTCTTCTTCATGAGTCTTACAAACTATAGAGGCGTTGAACATGTAAGTGTTAGGATGGTATTTGAAAAATTACAGACATAAACTGTATCTACCAACCACAGAAGATGTTGTATCTAACTGTGAAGCAAGTGCCAGCTCAATTCAAAGGATTCTACACAAACTTTAATGCCAAGAATAAAATTGTCCAGTTGAAGAATCTGCTAATTCTACGGATTTTAAGCTTCATTAAAACCAACATGATGTATCATTCAATTCATACACTCCTAGGGTATCTTTCTTGAGGTTAATACCTAAGGAAGTAGATGTGCTTGATTAAACATGCAAAATAATAATTCTGTACACGTTTTAAAGAGTTGTTCTGGTGTGCGATTAATTTTTCTATTTGAATTTGTCTCTATTCTATCCAGCTAAACTTCATAAGTAATTTAATTATACAAAAGTATAAAATATATATATTTTTTAATTTTGCAGTTTATAGTTGTTTGTCTATTGATAGGAGAGAGTATCACAAAGTAATTTCCATTATTTTAAATGAAATAGTTTTGTGCTTGATAAGGAGCAAATTTTTCAACTCATTTTTGCAAAGTATATTTTTTGTTCTACAGTGATTAAGATATTTAACTACCCTGACTATTAAAATGTTATGATATGCGATTCCAAAAAAGTAACAGCTCTCATATTTTGGTAGATAGAGGTTCTGATTCACATTAATTTTTCACACTACTCTTTCTGCGAAAAGAACAGTTTTATAATAGCAAAGTTGTAACTTTCTTATTGTCAAATTTAAAAAAATACTGTGAAAACTTTGACTTAGTTTTCTGTATTATTTATTACATAGTACTAGTTTATCAGTACAAAATCAATGTGAAAAGCTTGCATAGCATTTATAAATTACTTTGTTTGCAGATGTTTGTTGGTTCCTGGTTCTCAATGTGGGTGGGTCACATGGATCTCTTTGTTGACATCTTCTTCTTCATGTCTGCCTTCCTCTTGTCCCTTGTTTACTATTCCGAGCTCCACAAACGCTTCATCAGTCCAGTCATGGTCTACTTCCACAGGCTCTGCAGGTACATTACAGCATTCTAATTAATTGAATATGGTTGATCCCATCAATTAACTTTTGTTGAACACCTCACATTTTGATTGGATGCTCAATATCACCTAGAAAAATACAATTGAAATACCATTACTTGGACAACATAAACTTGAAAGTTTTTAAAATAACTAATCTAAAAAAAAGTTCAGAGAGTCACTGCTTAAAAACAATAGAAAGTCAAACGTTGGCAACCCAGATTCCTTCACTTCATTACCAATCAGCTGATATGGACAATGTATTCTTGTCTTCTTGTTCATTGGGAATTTTGTGACAAAAAGATATGCAGCATATTTTTATCTAAAAGCAACTCATGTTTAAGATTGATAGTGTTTATAGAAGGGAAAAAAGTATTGTATTATTGTTCTTTACCCTTAAACAATGAATCTCTGTACTAGTAATACTATTTGGGTTGTGGTTTACAAAAATACCCTGCATAAGCTGTAACTTAATGCCACGTTTACTGCTGTTTACAGGTTAGTACCAGCATACGCTCTGGTGGTTTTCTTCTACGCCACTCTGCTGCGACAACTCGGCGATGGACCAATGTGGAACATGTTCATGGATGTTGAACAAAGCAAATGCAGAGATTACTGGTGGACAAACCTGCTGTTCATCAACACCTACGTCGAGAGTGAAAATATGGTAAATGGTTGAAAAATTACCTTCTTGTGCCTATACTTGATTCAACTATGATGATTTTTTTAATCAAAAGCTTTAATTTATTTATTGATTTCATAACAGTTGTCTTGTGTCATGTAAGTACATGGAACTTCTCAATGTCGTTGAAAATCTTGCAAGATAATGTTCCATTGCTTTTCAAGTTCTATCTAGCTTATATTAGATTAAACGTGGTAAATAGTGTTGAAAATTATTTACAGATTTTTCAACTCCTTAAATTAAATATTTGATCCTTCCTAAGTCCGATATAGTTTCATTATGAATACTATTAGCAATCTGAATTAATAGTTTATGGGCCCTTCACACTATGAGCAAGCAGAACATTATTTTGTAAGTTGTAGATTTGTTTGGTTAAACTTGTTAACATCATTCCATTGTCAAAATTTGTTTAAAGGGGTAATAAGCACTGTTATGATTTTGTGTGACAGCTGTTAAAGTTCAGCCACTACTTAACAACAATCGTTCATTAAACACCACCATTGACTATATACCTTAGGGTTATAATCATAATGACACCGTCCAGGGAATACATTTAACCTAACAATTTTTTTTTGTGACAGAAGCGAACAAGGGAGTATGTTTAATCTATGGTTTATACTTGATGGGAGTAACTAACAGTTAGAACAGTTTTAAATTTGAACAACACAATTCAGCGGGTTGAAAACAAGACCAGCATAACACCTCACCATAGTTTTGATCTGACCAATGTTGTGTTTTGTTCCAGTGCCTCCTACAGTCATGGTACATCTCCTGTGACTTCCAGCTGTTTGTGGTCGGCACCATCTTAGTGTTCATGCTCCACCAGAGTCCCAAGGCGGGTGCAGTGACTACAGGATTGGTGTTTCTAGCATCAACCATCACTCCCTTCTTGGGTACCTACCTGTACGACAGACCTGCACTACTGCTCTTCTACAAGGAGTATGTACCTGATTACAAACTTACCTACTTACATGAATGTTTATACCCAAGAAGGTCCTCACAAACTATTTTATTTACCTATTGTGCTCATGTGATTCTTCTTCATTCTTGGCTATCATTCTTATGTTTTTGATTGCTTCCATATTTTCTCTTGGTGTCAAAAATTTCTTTTTCCGTTCTAATTTTCTTCTACATTTTATCATAGTTTTATATAATAATAATTAGCTTATTAACATAATCTTGACTGGGTCGTTGTCGTTGTGTAACCCTTTGTTGCCATAGTAGGTTTTATATTGACATGATTGTTATGCCTGTTTGAAAAATCAACCACGTCTCGGTGCTGGAAACAGAATTTACCTCCCTACTAGGCTTGATTCTCCATTTCCTTTATTCGGTCCAACAACTTTCCTTTCAACAAGTACTTCATTTTCTTTTTTCTTCTCTACCTTTGATGACTTGCTAGGTGGAATTTTACCCATAGTTAATGTCTATAAACATTTCTAAAGTGGATGTTTTGTTCAGTTTCTGGGCTGATCCTCGCCATCATGACCTCTTCACCTCTATCTACTCCCAGGGGCATTACCGAGGCACCTCCTACCTGATGGGTCTGTTTGCTGGTCTCTACATCTACAAGCACAGAAAGGAACCTCTGTCTCAGGTAGCGTACTACTTTCTTTATAATATGATCAGGTGTTTTGAATACATTTGAAAGCATTATAAATATGTGCTGGAGCAATTTCAGTCGTAAGAAGATGTTAACCCTCCAGTATACATGCCGCGGACTCAGAGTCCGCACATTTTAAAAAGCGTCCTGAAAGAAGTGAATCCGCAAGCAAATTACATGATGTGCCATCTACCTTCCCCCGCTACCTTTCCAAGGTCAACGGCGGTGTTTTGACCGTCTTAGTGTCAGTTGACCTTGAGCTATGAGGGTGTAAAGTTAGGCGCGTCATGTTTCAAGAGGATGAAGAAGAGGCCAGCGATTGACTGATTGGTTTTCAACAGGATATTTTCAATTTACAATATTTGTAATTATTTTGAAATTTATCTATTTACCTATGTTATTATAGATAATAATCTACTTACGTATCACGTGTGCCAGTAGGTGTCAATTGTAGTTGATTATGCTGTACATGTTTCGAGCCTAATAATACGGCTCATCTTCAGCAGCATTTTTGTATGTAAAATTTTCACATCGAGAGACGATTGTCGACTATATATACAGGAACCACATATATACACAATCACAGAACATTTTAGCATGCTATTTTTATTTACATGTGGTTTCGTAGCGTACGCTCATTTAGATAATACCCGACCGGACGACAATAGTAGTAAAATAAAAAAATATTAATAAATAATAGTAAAATAAAAATAGCATGCTAAAATGTTCTGTGTTTGTGTATATATGTGGTTCCTGTATATAGTCGACAATCATCTCTCAATGTGAAAATTTTACATACAAAAATGCTGCTGAAGATGAGCCGTATTATTAGGCTCGAAACATGTACAGCATAATCAACTACAATTGACACCTAATGGCATACGTGATACGTAAGTAGATTATTATCTATAATAACATATTAAAGGTGTCAAGGCTGATTAAATTAATACTATTTACCTTTATTTGGATTATTTCAAATTTTGATGCTATATGAACTTTATTAGGTATATAAGAGAGCGTTTCCAGTAAGAAATAAGACACGGAATGTCAGTCCGCGCCTTGTGTACTGGGGTTACTATTAGCTGCGCGTGTACTGGAGGGTTGATAAATAAATGTAATTTTTTTAGAGGCAGAGAAAAGTGCTCAACTATTCTTAGAGTGATTTTTTATAGCAGGTATTCCGACAGATATCTCATCCTGAATTTTAGTAAAGTCAATAATATTACTATACACTCAATAAAAACTGTGCATTAAATAAAATGGGAGTAGCTAGTGAAAATCCTCCTTAACCACCCTACGATCAATGTATGCCTATGTAGTATATGGGAAAAAACAATGTCACAAAAAACGAATAACATAAGAACCAAATTAAATAATACATAGCTTGAAATATGAGGAATATATATTTTATTTTTCTTTAAATACAAAAATAAATTTAAACATTCACATCTGCGCTGCTGCAGAGCAAAATCAGTGCTTTCTGATAATTGTTCATAATAAATTTGAAATGAGACAGTCATACTAAGATAATTTTTATCTTTTACTCATGATCAAATAAATAACCTATATCATCACTAAACCATAAAGACACAAATAAACAGAAAATGTGTGGTTTTAATTCAAATCAGATATTAAACAAACAGAACTGATTACTGTAACTGTGCACCTACTTCAAACTCAAACTAATTGAAACCGTTGGTTGTACTGTAATAGGATGTGTACATTGTCATTGTTAGAACATTATTATTGTTTAACTTGACCTATCAGATAATTATGTTACTAGATATGCCTATCCTTAGAATTCAAACACATTTTACTGACTATTGTTGCAATTTTCTGAATTATTAATTTGTGGTAGTGGACTCCCATAATTTTTCTTTTAATCTTACATTTGTGTTTCTCTCTTAAGACTTAAAACTTGTGAAGGGAACATAGCTGTATCATTGACGAAGTACCTCAATAAAAATACTTGGCAAAAAAGCACTAAGCAATACTCTTTGAATAGTACTCAATTCAAATGTTCTTAAGTCAGTGAAATAAAATGTGTAGACTTAGAGGAGGAAACCCCCATGGTTATTATATTATCTTTGTATATATAGAAATAGTAAGGAGAAAGTATTGTTTACCCAAAAAAGTGTTTTTGAAGTAATGTCTGTCGAACTTGGAATCAAAATTAGTGACCTTCAGATTTGAAAGTTAACATAACCACTACTGCTACTGAATTTACTTACAGTAACTGTGGTGGTTTACAGGCTCGTAACCGGGCGCTGCAGATTGCTGGATTCGCTTGCTGCTTGTCTGTTTTCTGGAGTGGTTCACTGTTCTACAACACGTCGGCTCCGATAAGTCCCCTCATTGCAGCAACCTACGCTGCACTACATCACTCTGTGTTCGGCCTAGGGTTGGCTCTTCTTCTGGTCTCTTATACCCTTGGCACCTCTAGTGAGTAAAGTACCTATATTGACAGCAATTATTGATTTTAGTAAACAATAGAGTTTACCCAAATAATAGAGAACAACTCATAGTTATAATTATTGTACACTGTGTCCAAGTAATTAAATTGGGCCCTGAAACCTCTTAAGAAGACTAAAAAATTCTTTTAGATAAAATTATCAATGTGAGAAACTAACTTGCATTGTAATTTTTTAACTTTATCTCTTATTTGGACTCTATTTAGAAGTACGCCAGAACCTTTAACACAGAAAATATGTTACAGTATTGAAATGCATTTGTATTGTTCTCTAACTAGTGTATATGATTCTCATTTTGGTTTGGTTTGAATAAGGGTGTCAATTTAATTTTATCATAAATACGGGTTCAAAGTGTTTGAGAGATTACTGCGATCATTTTCCATCACTATTAGTTTACAATTATTAGTTACAGTTATTAGTTTTTACAATTAACGTTTTGGGATATTTTTGTTTTTTACATGTTGTTCTGACTACTATACAGTTTTCTGTGTGGTGATTCTAGCTTAAGCTGGGTTGGTTTGCCAATCTTGTTATGTTTTATGTGCTTTCTTATCTGAGGACGGCATCAGATTTCATATCCCATGAAAATTTGTTTTTTTTTTACTAACCGTTATGGAAAATGTAATCACTCAAACACTATAAGCCCATCATGACCAAAAATGAACTTCAAACAATAACTGTTCAGAATGTTGCAATGATTGTTTACTTGGGCTTGGCTCACTCCGCTTTGCTATAAATAAGTTCCTCAAACAGGCCTTTGAGACCCATCTAATAGGGCAAAATTTTGGTTAAAAGGCCATACTGACCTTTTTCCAAAAAAATATACAAAAAACCTAAACTGATTTTAAAAATAATAGGACTAATGTATACTAAATCACTATATCCTGCTTGTTTTACAGCGTACATGTCCCAATTCTTCTCCTGGAGAGGGTTTGTACCGTTCAGTAAGTTGTCTTACTGTGTCTACCTGATCCACAACATCCCACAGTTTGTGTGGATCGCTTCATCCAGAACTGCAGTGACCCTCAACACTCTTGAGTTGGTAAGTTTATCAAATTAACAGTGAATTTATATTTAATTTAAATATAAATTAACAAGGATTCCTTGATCATTAGTAATTTAATACGAGGTACATTCAGAAAGTAAGTTCCGTTTCCCCTACTCTCCGGGGTAGCGCTGCGATTGCAGTTTAGCGCATGCACAGTAGTTACTCTGTGTCAACCGGAAGGAAATGACGCCATTTTGAACTAGCTATTGTTGTCCTACACTTCTTAGCGCTTGTTCCTAATGGCTGCGTTAATTGAGAATCCCGCCCATTGTGAAATTTGATCAATCACTGAGAATGTAATGAGTGATGTGAGTGGTGAGAAGATGGGTTCAACAGTTCAAAGAAGGGCGAGGTACAGTGCATCATGAGGAACGAAGTGGAAGTCCATCTGTGGTAAACGATGAACTGATTAGTGCAGCCAATGATGGAAAATGATCGCAGTAATCTCTCAAACACTTTGAACAGTAATAATGAGAAGATTAAAGAAAATCGTAAGTTTATGATAAGTGCTCTTTCACGTGAATTTCCACAAGTTTCACAAACAGTAATTTTCATTTGTTTTGCAATCTAAAGTCTTTTCTTGGCGGTCAGCGATTAATCTGTGATGAAGAACCGAAAGAATGTATTACCTCATGGTTAACTACACAGGCGGCAACATTCTATGAGGAGGGTATACTTAAACTCGTACGACGCTATGAAAAATGCCTCGAAAATCGCGGGATTTATGTCGAAATACAGCATAAGAGTTGTAGACTTTTTAAAATACATTTATTTCCTGTATCTGTACTCGTTATTCTTTTATTTCAAAACGGAACTTACTTTTCGAACTTACCTTGTAGATGGTCTCTTGCCTAAACAATTATGTGATCTTAGTCAGTAACAAGGCTGTCTCATTAACTCAACATTCATCCTTCACTTATCTTTACCCTGGTTAGCTAGATTGTCCTAATCAACCCTTTAAAACTGCAGCGCACACAAATGTGAACATGAATGCAAGGTGAGTGTAGAATGGTGTGTGTGTGTGTGAGATGATCTGTGTAGCTATTGCTGACTAAGAACAGGTGTGTCTTAGCCAGGACCATTTATTAAAAGTCCAAAGATAATTTACAGCTTGGTTCAGTTTCAAAGTATCAAAAAGCTACTCTTTCCTTAGAGCAGAACCAGCAGCCTTTTGATTTGCAATATTTCTTTTCTTTATTCAAATTTTTTGTTCCAACTTCTCTTTAAAAAATTCAAATCTTAATTTTGATAAGATTAGCATTGAAATAACTAACTATTTACTTATTAAGGTGAGTAATAGCAATACTTACCTTGATGTTGACTAACAGTATATTTCTGAGTAGTTGTTGTATAGTTTGATATTTTTGCAGGTCAGCTGGAGCATTGCGGATGTTGTCATCAGTTTATTGTTCTCTCTCGTTCTTTTTCTCACAATTGAAACACCTGTTAGATACTTCATCAAGTTCATGGTCACAGGTAAATTAGTTAACATACATAGCTACATAACTTACATATTGTTAAACTATCTATAATTTGATAAAAACAAGTTTTATTGCATTGTTAAGTCATATGACTGAGGAGATGGCATTCTGACCAATGAGTCAGCTTACCAATGAATACAAAACCTATAAGAAGCGCCTATAAGAAGCCTTCCCCATTTTTAATTAATAACAATATAAATATAAATCTGTTATTCTGTTTGTGTATTTTTAAGACGTGATGAAATATATCTTTAATCAGTGGTGTAAATAACACCCCCGCAGTGCGCGGGGGGGGGCACCGAGGTCCAGGGGGCGCTGAGGTCTGATTTTCACCAACCACCGCAATCGCGAAAAAATGTGACGTTTCCGTGACCGCAGGAAACAAAGATGATGTATTCAAGACATTAGAATATATGAACTTGCCGCAATCACGGAAAAAGTTGACGTCGTTTCCGCGACTATGGGAGATGAAGATGATGTCTAAAAAACAAAAGAATATATTTATGATTTTACCGCAATCACAGGAAAATATTACGTTGTTTCCGTGACTGTGGGAAGTGAAGATCATTTCTTCAAGACCAAAGAATGAATTCAGGATTTTGCTGCAATTGCGGAAAAAGATTACGTTGTTTGAGTACTGCGGGAGACGACGTCTACATGAACGCAGAAGATATTCAAAATTTGTCAGTGATCACGGAAAACGATGATGATGTTTCCATGACCAATGGAGGCAATGAAAAAACCTACGCGAGAGTTTTTGTGTTTTGCTATGACTACGGCTTTTGCTGAGAAAAACAAATAACAAATAAGTGGTGACGTTTTGGAAGGGGGGGGGGCACTATCCACATGTACTGCGGGGAGGCTCATTGTACTTACGCCACTATCGTCAATACAGTATCTTGCACCCAAAAGAGATATCTGGTACTTTCTCCAATTATTCCTATCCTCAGCCTCACCTCGGCGTGAAAGATTAGGTGCTCCTGTGATTGGCTTTGCCACAAAAATGAAACTTGAGCGTGTATCAGCCTCGAAAATGCCACTTTCATTTCAGTACTTGTAATGAAACATACTAGCCTATTACTTTATTACAAAGTTTTGCAAAATAAATTATGCTAGGCAGTTAAATTATGGATGTTAATTGGGAGCAAACTCATAATATTTAGGTTGTAAATTGAAAACAACTGTGCACCCTGAAATTAAATTATTTTCTTAAAGTTACAAGTTTTGGAACTTAGTCCATTTTGAATTTACAACCTAATATAAAAGCAGCCTATTTTGTGAAAATCAAGAGCATTACTTTTAATTAAAAAAAAAAGTAATTTCTTTAGTTTTAGATGTTTTCTTTTGCTAAATTTTCATCAAAACATTTCACATTGTCCATTACCTGAAGTTAGTTTGTTTTGTATCTAAGTATTGGCAAAATTGTAAATGTTATTTTTGCAAAAACATATTTTTTATAGTTGTCTTATAATTTTCAGCCCCTGCACCTCCAAAGTCCCAAGTTCTTCCTCAGACTGCTGAACCACAAGAGAGGTATATCAATCAAGATCCTTTCGGCTTCCAAAAGAGGTGATACATCAACTTTTAAACATCAACATCGCCACTATCTTGTACATACAGCATTTTTCATTCTTTGAGCTTTATTACACTGTGTAAAATTTTTATTGTCTATTTTTAAGTTAGTTTTATCTATTTTACTTTTTTATATTGAAAAATTAATGTATATTTTTTTACTGAAATGTCTTTTATTCATTATAGTTTCAGTATATCAAATTAAACAAGTGCATGGTAAAAACATTACAATCCTGTTGTTAAGAAGTAGACAAAAAAAGATTGTTTCCAAAATACTATGGTAGGATAATTTATATACATTTCAGAATTGAATAGAATAGTGAAAAACATTAATCACAATTATTAATTCTAGATTATAATATAGCTAGACATTTTCTAGTCATTTGTTGTTGTTCTTTATAACTGAAGAAACTTTTGATTTTTTACCCGATATACTTTTAAATTATCTGGTTGTTACTGTATGTGGTTAAATTAGCTCAAATCACACTTAGTTGTTAGCCTACAAATTGGTGTTTAATTACATAAACTTATTAGTTTGAATCGCCAACTAACAGAACTTTGATCTCCAACTTTGAAATGACCATTTCAAATGAACATACAGAGTTTCTCTCCCAATTTAAACGATATACCAATTTTAAATTGTTTAGTTGTAATTTTATTCTCCCTGAGTAATAGTTTTACTTCCTGAGTTGCTAATAGATTTTTTATGAATTCCAAAGAAATATGTTTATTATTTGCCTTTAAAATTTATGTTTTATCGTATTGGTAAATCATGTAGTGTATGTAGATACCACTTATGCAAAAAGCTAAATTTGGAATGCTTTTAAATTTATCCATTCTAGAGCTATTGTACTGTAGAAATGAAATTATTTGTTGTTTGTTCAATCATAAGATACACAGTTGCATAGTGTTTACAAATTCTAAAAAAAATTGAATAAACTAATTTTTATTTTGGTATTTCTGTTATTTTATTTAAAACTAAGCCTGTAATTTTAAATTTTAGTTTAATAGTTTACAACCAAAATCTAAGTCAAGAATAAACGCTATGGCATATAACACCAAAGTTTATTGAGTATAAGCATAGACTAATGATTTATCCATGGTATAAGTTCTATTTTAACCTTAATTTTTAACTGTTAGTGGCATTTCGTGTATTTTTAAACTTAAATAAAAACAAAAGTCAATTATGTGAACACAGAATTGAAATTGCTAAGAGAAAGACTACCCACATATGGTGTGCCTCCATTTCGTTCTGGCTGTGAACTTGTCGCGAAGGAATAAACAACTATGTTTAACAATAGTCGACTAGTATTTTATACTTTTTTTAATCTTTCAACACACCTCTTTAGGCAAGAATAGTTCTTATTAGGATCAGACAATGGCGTACGCGCCACTATGCGCATAATCCAATAGGGTAAAATTGTACCACAAGGCGACAAGAGGTAATTTAAGCTTAGAATACATTTTCATTAGTAAGAACTCAAAACAAATTTACTTGTTTTCCCTACTGCATTTAATTTTTTTGTTTTAAAAACAGGTGGATAAGGGGCAAGATACAATAAGAGGGTGGATAAAACCCTAACAAAATTGTTTACAATTTACAAATGCATTCCAAATAGATAATCTGATTTTAAAATGTCCACTGTTACAAAACGTGACTTCTCTTCTTTTTGCACATTAGTGAAATCAGCTAAGTAAATAAGAAACACATATCTACTAAAAACCAAATATACTAACTGCCAACTTCCCGGGTACAGAATCGTAATATTATTGTGAAAATATATCGTTAGTCTAGAATTGTTCCTGAAGATGAGAACCTAAAGCTCCACTTATGGTCAAGTACAATTGGAATGTATTGTCTATATCAATGGGACAATACCTTGGCAATGGATATCAAATGGCATCAGACATTGTTAGCAACAACATTACAAGTAGGTATTAGGGGTTACATAGATCAAATATCTCTCAATATCGGCAACAATGCTTTGTACATGTAATCACCTTGATATCCTCATAAGCTGTTATGCTGGAACTCATTGACCAAAGAATACCCTCAGGGTAGCAAACCTGCAGACTGAGCTTATTGTAAAGTGGACGCTAGAGGTATTGTAGTATGTCTTTTTTAAGTAAGGGGATATATCAAATTTTATTAATATCTAATAGACAAAGAAATAGAAACAATTATTTAATTTTTATAATATTTCAGATAGGTATTACCATAATATTTAAAACCATACTGATTAAAAGTAAATTGTTGTGCTAAATTGTTTAGCTTTTTAGTTCAATCGGTTGGAGGAAAGAATCTTTTATTTTTTAGTAAAAATTTGATTCAAAATATTTTTTTAGAAAAGAAACTCTTCTAAAAACCACATTCCAGTGGTTAATTAATTCAGACTGTTTTACAAACCTATTTTGATTTAAGTCTCATTTAAAAAATTTAAGAAAGTTAGAATTTTCTAATGAGGAAACTATGCAACCGACATACGTAAAAATTAACTTGTACATTTCAAAATTAATATAACACGTTTTTTTTTACCTAAGAAGATAATGGAAACCAAATAATAATTGTAAAACAAGAACTACTTTCAATTCTATATTTCTTAAAGAAATTAGAAATAAAGGTTTGTCTGTTGTCTATTAAATTCAGGTACACCGTTAGGTACAAGAACACACAATTACATTTTTTTACAAAAATATATATAAGTTTATATTTATTTGCAACAGTTTTTGCTTATTAGTAAAAGGCAATGTTACAAAGTATCTTAAAACTAGGATTAATATCACTTTATTAAAAAGTTATAAACAATATGTACAATGTTTTGACTATAGATACACTTTGTAAGTACTGCAAGCTAATGGTTGAATATAAATGTTATGAAGATGGAAACACAGTGAAATACGACCCAATACTTTATACGATTTTAAGGCCTATTGAAATATTATCGGTACACAATTTTTGATCTACCGTCTCAGTTTTGTACTTACTAAATTTGTGTCAGAAAATTAAATCATGTAATTTACTTACAAGTTGCATTTATAGTCTAAGAGAATGATAACTTTGGTTTACTAAGCTAAATTAAAAATAAATATTGCTTTATAGCTGCACGTTAATTGCACTTAGAACTAAATGTTTTAACTACACATTACATGATGTTTAACACATATCACATATTAGAAATTATTGTATTTAAGTGAAATTGTGTAAAATAACCTACACACGGATTAACAGTTTTACAACAGTAAGGCCCATTGATGATGTTAGGCACTTCATTATTGCAATACATTTTATAATTTGTGTGATGTTGAAAACTTACTCATATTGTAAAATAGTAAACACACAGTGATAGTAAATGAATAAATTGTCACTTAACAACAAAGCTTTAAGACAGAGATTAGTGTTTAGCTGCACATTATCTTTCCTTTGCTGAGTAATGCATTAATCTTTTAACATATAGTGATACCATAGATAGACAAATAGAATAAATATAGACTGACAGGCAGTGCCGTGTAGTTACTAAGGTTTATAGTTTATAAGGTTTGGTAAGAGCACAGGTAGTCTACAACAAGGGCAAGAATTGTTTGTTGTAAAAAAAACTACCGAATATTATGAATTTTTTAAATCCATCTTATTTATACCGTTGGAGGGATTGGTGGGTTATGAATGTTAATCTACCCTGATCCCATCCTTGACACAAAAAAGCATGAGTTGATCTTGGAATGCAAATCTTTTCCCAAGGGTAAATCTGTTTCCCCGAGGGATTGGCTGTTCATTCTACCTATTTTAGCATTACAAATACCTTTGTTTTGATGTATAGCCTACCCAACAACCAAGTTATTTAGGCACTGTCAGATAATTTATAAATATCCAAACTGAGAAATGTGAATACCTTAGTTTTGTAAAGCATTAATAAACAATATAGGCTATTGATGTAAAAGTTTAGAAAGAAAATTTAATTTGAGTCAAACTATTTAAGCATACTCTACCATATTTGAATTTAGAGGGAATAGCAACCTGGGCTTCAATAGATTTGCCCCCCTCCCCCCCCCACATTAGAAAGGGGGTCTAGAATATTGTGACGTAAAAGTAGGATTACCTTTGCTAATTGATTACAAATTGCTTGCAAATTGTTTTGTTTGCTTTTTTTTATGAATCATTACAACAAAACTAATATTGTTTAAAATAATTGGAAACTTCGTGCCCCTAAACATATTGCGCTGCTAAGGCCCAAAAACATACAAATAGGGTCTATACTTCCTCATTCCACCAAAAGGCTTAGTTAAAACTCTAGAGTGAGTAAAAACACTACAAATTACATTGGAATGTATGATTTGATGTAAAAATCACAAGACTTACGATAATGACTACACAGTATATAAAGATAAAGGCAAGTTTCAACCACTAGAACCATTCATCTTAAACCAAAAGGTAACTCGGCACCTTACTGCTAGGGTAACAAGGAACAGTAGAGAGACACAAGTTTCGTCAGTGGAGCAGTTGTTCGTCTGAATCTCCAAAGCAACTGCGGGACTGACAGACGACGGCCAGTGTTATCAACACGGCACCGACACCACCCATGGCCAGCAGCAGCCAGCGACCCCACTGTACCAGGGTTACCAACACGCTGATCTGTGACGACAACTCAGGTGTCAGTGTTGCCACCTGCTCGAACCACAACATTGGCATCACTGTGCGCTTGATGCCTTTGTACAAACTGTAAAACAAACATTCATTAAGGCTAGGTCAAGGTTAGGCAAATGTTAGGGGAGTGATCAGGTCTAGTAGTGTTCGGTCCCCGAGATCTTGAAAGAATTTTGTCTAAGTGATTATGCCTCAAACCTCTAGCCCTAAACTGAACAAATTTCAAAATTGTTTCAGGCTAGAGCCTAGCATCCTTAGATATATTTATGGGACAAAAAAAACCTAGCTAAAATGTTAAAATATGTTTTTTTTTAAAGCAATGGGATGTAAAATTTTGTAAAATAGGGATGCATAACTAAGCTATGGAATGTAACTTATATTTGTAGGATTTGTTTGTTTAGAGTAGTAAATTAGGAGTTAGAATACCCGAATCCGATTAACTTTGGAACATATTCACGATTAGACATCCAGTTGTATCACAACTTGCTGTGTCACTACTTTGGTTAGTTAACTTCAGAATAATAGAAAAAGAAACTTTAAAATATTGTACGGTTAGTTTATTTATGGTAAACAGTTAAGAGCTAATCACAAGTAAATTTTCAAAAATATGCAACTATAAAACTTATACTATAAATAATTATAAACTCACTTCATGCCAGGTATAGATTGCATCAACATGTTAAGTTGCATCCGTCCTCTAACATCCAAAGTAACTGAAGTCACCTGTAAATAAAATATTGCGTAAAACAGTGTGTTATCAAAGATTAGACAATAGACAATAGACAAGAATCTTAAGTAGTAATTTCATCAAGAAATACAATGGCATCATGTTTGTTTGGATCTCTCGGTTTACAATTATTTTCTGGCCATCTATCTTTATAAGAGATTAAAGAATCCTTTGATTGAGTAAACAGGTCGTTCCACCAGCCAGTCTCACGAGTTCTTGTTTTGAGGTCTTGGAGCAGTGCATTGCAGGTATGGACATTAACAAAACACAATTAAAACAATAATATATCAAATTTAAAAATAATATTGACATGACAAGTATGTATGCCAACATGTAAAGACAAAGTAAGGAGGGCCCTTTAAGTTTGAAATCTCAAGACTGTGCGGAAGATTTAATGGCAAAAAACAAGTAGGAAAATTACTCGGATTGATTGTGCAAGACAAAAAGAAATAACCTGAATGTGCCTCCCTTTAGTGGACTTGATTTTTGTTCACTGCAAGGACCAAGATTAAGATAGCATGATTAAAAAAGACGAAGAGGAAATTTAGAGGAGAAGTTGATGTAGTGGAAGATGGAGATGAATTGTTTGTCAGGTAAATAATTGATTGGGATTCAAGTATTGGCAGGACTATGTAATCACATACCTCAGCCAGGTTCATGTAGAACTCATGTTTCTCCTGTTCAGGTGACATCCCCACCACAGCCTCCCTGTAGCTTGGATCTGCCAGGTAGAAGTGGGGCCATGACACCATGGCAGGCGAACTGTATCATACAGTAACACATTAAACAGACAATTTTGTACTATTTATATTTAAAAAGTATGTATATGGGTTTCAAACTACTTCTTGAGCCGCATGGGTTCTCTAGTAAGTAAGACTAGGTGAAATCCGTTGATTTTGAAGGTTACTGTTTAGGTTTCAAGCAAAATCATTTAACTATCAATTGATGATAGATAACTCAATTTTGGAACAATTTGGGTTGTTTGTGATTCAGCAGCGAGCTTTAAGTACATCCGATCTTAATAACTTAATCAATGACTCAAATTAAATCTGGTAAAAAATGGAGTGGTGTAAAAATGTAAAAGACCTCCAGAGATGCAATGGAATTGTTAACTTACTTGAAATCACAGCAACGCACGACGGGTAAGCTAGTTAGTAATAAAACAATAAGTAAGTATCAATCTGATATTGTTGCATTACTATAGATGCCACTAATCTAGCTGTTTAAGGATCTATAAATTCTACAGCCTAGTTTTGGGATGGCCAACTGGTTCAAAATAAGTATCATGGCTAGGTTTTGAGATCTCAGACAAATGCCGCCACAACAATAAATGCAAGATTTTGCCACTAATTATCTGATCAGGACAAAAAGAATTTTTTTTGCATTATTTATTAAGAACAAAATTATAGAAGAGATAGTTTAAATAAGCAAACTGAGCTTCACTCACCTATTACACATAGACAGGTCCCTCGCACCACTGGCTGGACATGTAGTGTTAGAGCGACAATAACACAATGTCTTGTTGCTGAACACATCCTCTCCTCCAGCAAACTTGACCATAGGGATACCAAACTGTGAGGTACTGAGCTTCACTCACCTATTACACATAGACAGGTCCCTCGCACCACTGGCTGGACATGTAGTGTTAGAGCGACAATAACACAATGTCTTGTTGCTGAACACATCCTCTCCTCCAGCAAACTTGACCATAGGGATACCAAACTGTTTGGACGACTCCCTCCGACTTAGATTGATCACACTATAACAAATATAACACCTTAAATACACAAAACACAAAACACAAAACAACAGAGCAGTGAATGGTTATCATTTTGTTTACTTAATACTTAAGCCAATTTACTGAGAGGGAAACAGTTTTGATAAGTTTCTATCTAGACCATATAATAATCTAGTACCTTACTGAAAGTTTGAAATAGCTATGCTCAATCACTCATGTAAACTCACCTTACAATATTCATTTAGGCTAGGCCTATTCTATAAATGTTTAAAGTTAATAAGTTGACAAAGATATATGAATTACAAAAGGTGTTTTATTTAAACAAATGAACAAACATGCAATGAGAAAAGGCTTAACGTTACAATGCAGGACTGACAATCGTGTGTGGGGTTGAAATTAAAATGAAATAAAATATAAATTTGAATAATAAAGGTTCAAATAATTTAGATGTGATATATCTCAGGGTAGGGTGTCTTGCTGGCTTGAATGCTAAGAATTAATAAATTTAACAGTGTCCAAATAGGCCTAAGTTTAATTAAGGTGTTCAGCTCTGAAAAGATAAGTTAGGATCAGTATTTTTTTGTTTTTTATCACTTATGTAATAATATTTCGTTCTCTCTTATATCTTTTCTCTTATGTCTTTATTTCAGAAATATTAATAAATCTTTTTAGTGCTCAATAGGCCTACTATTCTAATCTTAAGTAATGGAACAACTCTAGTGCCAACAAAACAGACGGTTATTAACCATTGTTTTTATGTGTCTGTGAAAAAAATGTATTTATGTTCTAAATTGTACAATAAAGCACATTTTCATTTCATTTCATTTCATTAATTAAGGTGTTAATTTTACAAATCCCAACAATGAAAAATCTAATTTTGATGTTGTCCAAAAGGTAAGTCCAATTAGCACTGAGTTTAAAAGAGTTTAAAAGAAAGTTTATACTTAATTTTGAAGATAACAATGATGGAGTTGAGTCCTCTTGAGGTTTAGGCTACTGTGATATAACTTGATATAAACTGGTTTTCTTGATGATATTAATGAATTTGATTTAGATAAAATTTGGACTCCTTCTTCTAACTAACAGTTTCAACTTCTGCAATGGCTTCCTTCTCTTTCAATTTCAATGTTCACATCATTCATTGTTGAACACACGGATCACTTTCACTGCTTCTTAAATTTTGATTCCTTAAGGACTAATTTTGAAATGATATAAGAAATTTTGATATATTGCAATTCTCTTACATATTTAGTAAATAATTAAGTTGTGGGCTTTGTAAAAATAAATATATATATATATATATACAGGGTTAGTAAAAGAGACCCCCTGTTATTTTTTTAACGGCCCATACTAGAAAAACTAAACTCGGCACACCATTATGGCATGTTATGAAGTACTTTTTGGGCATAACCGCCACTTGGCGTTCATCCCCAAAATGGGGGATTTTGGGGGAAACTAAAAATTTTCAAATACAAAGACCCATCGAGTGACCCCTCATTTTGAAGGTCCTGGTAAAAGAAAACCAACAACGCAAATTAGAGGGGTCTATCTCAGTTCAGTAAAAAATGGCAGCCAATTGAAATTCTCATAAGTTTCCAAACCCAAAATGGGGGATTTTGGGGGAAACTCAAAAATTTTAATTGATAAGCCCCATCGAGTGACCCCTCATTTTGAAGGTCATAATAAAAGAAAAGTAACAACGCAAACTATAGGTCTTACTACGCAAACTATCTTAACACAGTAAAATATGGCAGCTAATTGAATATAAAATTGCAAGTTATTTCCAATTTCTAAAGATTTCAATCAGCTTCCATTTTTTACTGGATTGAGATAGAAACCTCTAGTTTGCGTTGTTAGTTTTCGTTTACCAGGACCTTCAAAATAAGGGGTCACTCGATGGGGCTTATCTCTTAAAACTTTTGAGTTTCCCCCAAAATCCCCCATTTTGGGTTTGGTAAGCAAGTGGCTATTAGGCTTAAAAAGTGCTTCATAACATGCCAAAAAGGCGTGTAGAGTTTAGTTTTCCTAGTGTGAGCCGCTACAAAATTTACAACAGGTCTCCAGACTTGGAAAGCTGTAAGTTAAATTGAACTTCTGAGAATTTCAATTGGCTGCCATTTTTTACTGGATAGAGATAAAGACCTCTAGTTTGCGTTGTTGGTTTTCTTTTACCAGGACCTTCAAAATGAGGGGTCACACCATGGGTCTTTGTATTTGAAATTTTTGAGTTCACCCCAAAATCCCCCATTTTGGGGATGTACATCAAGTGATGGTTATGCCCAAAAAGTACTTTATAACATGTCATAAAGGTGTGCCGAGTTTAGTTTTTCTAGTATGGGCCGTTAAAAAAATAACAGGGGGTCTCCACACTTTTTACTAACCCTGTATATATATATAGGCTATGGAATGAATATTATTAATGATTAATTGAACAGATTAATGGAATTATATAAATTAGTAAATACCCCCGCCGCAGCAAACCTGCCGACTAAGCGAATTTCCATTTGTCTGAATTGATTTTCAGTTAAATATATTTTAATAACATTAGGTTTAACGAGTACCTAGGTTTGCTGCTACAAGGAAACTAATTAAGTGTGTTTTTGAGTAAAATATTGATAGCTTAGTACAAAATAAATAAATTTGCCAAGTTTGATCAAAATGTATCCATAAACAAGCAAACTACAACATTTGACAATATTCTCCATAAGAATAACATGGGAATTTTAAATTTAGAATTTTTTAAATTTTCTCCGTTACTAATAATCGAACAAAAATACTTTTACATACTAAATTATTTGTTTTTTTAAGCTCTTTAAAAAGGTCTAAAGAGAAATCGGGAAATTTTGTGTTTTGAGGGTCAAAAGTGAGAAAAACCAATTTTTACCCCATAAAACCCCCCGTAAAGCCCCGTTCCCATGGTCCGATCGTGCTGGTTCGCGAACTCATTCAAGTTTATCCCGCTTTACACCTTTAAACCAAATTTCATCAAAATCGGACAAAAATTACTCAAGTTATCGCGTTCACGGACGTATATATATATAAGTCTATATATATATATATATATATATATATATATATATACATATATAAAAATTTGAACGAACGGTGTTTTTGGCCTCTGGGGACATCAAAATGAAAAAGTAAATCGGTCCCGGGTCTAGGTTTTACCGTGCCACCTACGGTAATAGCTACTTCAAATTCGCTAAAAGGAATGAATATTAGGCCAGCCTTTCTGAGGAGTGATTATTAACAAAGGTGTATGAACAAAAGTTAAGATTTTAAGAAACTTAATACTAAAAAATTAATTAAATGAAATGAAATATTACACTCATTGATACTGCAATAGGATTTCCATGTGTTTTAATTTATATTCAGGATTTTGTGATGCCTTGCCTTCTGGATACTCTATTTAATTATGATTACAATGTTACTTATTACTAACCACTAAAGTGGTTTACTAACCTGCACAGGTCGTTAGCAAAGACAGTAATGACATCCTTATCAACATAGTCCGGTGGGAACTCCTCCCCATAACTCCCATGAACCCGTCCACACTCTCCCGGATACTTGGTCTGATTACTGTAGTCCCAGGAACTCAACAACCCCAGCTGCACCACAAAACATTAGTAGAACGCAAAATTAAACATCCCAAAATAAATTACGCAGCAACTCAAAAGACAATATATATTTTTAGCACAAATATATTATGAACAAATATAGGTTTGGTTTTTATCATTTTTATATGTTCGGTTAGGCATTTTTAATTCCAATGTAGACAACTATTTTTATTTACGGGTCACTGGTGATTGGTTTAGAGTATTTTAACTAGTGGAAGTGGGCTTAACCTTCCGTCAGGCGCATTGATTTTCAAACACCAAAGAGCGGTCACGGAAGCTATCTCTGGGAATACAAAAACTATACAATGAAGAGTAAAAAACATTTTAATATCAATAAAACTGTAAGAAAAACATTTTTTATGAGTTATTACAATAGTGTAATAACTCATAAAAAATATTTTTACACACATTACAATGTTGTGTTAGTAATTAGAGTCGGGACCACATAAGTTTGCTGTTGAGGGAGGAGCCTATTTACCATATGTTTTGAATGAACCAATGAGAACCGTGCGGTGTTGCCAAATCTAATAATACCAGCTGATTTGAAAATATTGCTTAGTATATTTTAATTAGTGTTGTCAACGGGTGATGTGGCAACGTCGCACTAGCCTTGTCTTGTGATTGGCTGCCACCAACTGCAAACTTACGTGGTCCCGACTTTAGGTATATGGTTTGGTTATAGAACTTAAGTTGTATATAAAATAGAAAATTTTATGATAAACAATCAAAATATTTAAGTTCTGTGGATAAAAAAAGACTTACTTTTTGTAGATTACAGTAACTTACTATCATATAAAATTTGAAAAAATGCATTAGTGTATGACATAAAAACACCTATGGTCTAATGAAAAAAATCATTTGTTACAAGGACAACTCATTTTGTAGGCTAAAATTGTTGAAATTCAACAAACTGTACATGGAGTTCAGTATCAAGACAATTGACAGTGAATAGAGGAGTGCCACAGGGCTATGTCCTGGGACCTTTTCTTTTCATCCTTTTTACCAATGACTTTCCTGGTTTCATAAATGACAACAATATCAAAACCATTATGTACACAGATGACACAACACTACTGTTTAGAACACAATCACACAGCACAAGAACTACATTCAGATATTCTGTTATCAACAGAAAAAGCTTATAATATTGACTAAAAAATTACTTGGCTATAAACCCCTCTAAGACGATACAGATTAATTTTAGCAGAAGACTGGAGCAAATACCTAAAACACCTGATATTTCAGCTGAAAAAAGTTCAAACTCCTGGGTGTGACTATTGATGCTGATCTTTCCTGGACAGACCATATAAACAACTTAAGAAAGAATCTTTTATCTGGGATCCATGTGGCTAAAAAGATGAAATGGGCTGCAGGCATGCAAGCAGCAAAGACAGCATATTTTGCTTTGGTTGAGTCCCATCTCAGGTATGGATTGATATCATGAGGAGGGACATCTGAAACCAACCTAAACAAAATCCTGGTAATGCAGAGAAGGCCATTAGGGCTCTCATGGACCTTGACCTCACAGATAGCTGCAGAGAAGTCTTTAAATCGCTAAAGCTTCCAACCGTCATAGCACTTTACATCAGTGCAGTTGTTCTATACACTGACCAGATGGACCTTCCCAGGAATGGAGATTTTCACCCATGCCAGACCAGAAGAGCAACAGACTTCAGCCTTCCTGCACACCGTACAACACAGTTCAGTAAGAAACCATCATATATCGGCTGAAAGACCTCAAGTCTATGAGAGGAAACACTAAAACAGGGACTGCAAGACTAGCTGGTGGAACAACCTATTTACTCAACCAAAGAATTTTTTAATCTCTTACAAAGATAGAAGACCAGAAAATACCTGTAAAGCAAGAGATCTAAACAAACATGATCTATTGTATTTCTTGAAGAAAATAATAAAGAAATTTGTATATATTGTCTACAAAGAGAAATACAAAAACATAATTACCTGGTCAATGTCCCCTTTGCCACTGCCCATTGTAAATACTCCATCTCCATAAGAAGACATGTTGCGCTGGAAGAAAATATTAAATACTTGGTTCAACAAAATATTAAACATACATCTATTGATCTATTATGACAGAGGTTTAACTAAGGTTGTATTACACTAGAAACTAGTGGTAGTATGCCCTCATTCACTCGAATTATAGTTTTCACTAACAAAAACGTTCCACAATCGACTTGATAATTGAACAACTAACAAGAGTCAAGAGTCAAGAGATTTATTGGTCTAAGAACACAAAATTTACAGTGCATACGACCTTGTCAAGTACAATTATTAACCCTAGCAGTGGCCAATGTTAGAAGTGAGGAATGGCCAACCCATTTTGGCGATTTTGCAGACCATTTTTTGAAAATTCGTAAAAATTCAACCGTACAAGTAAACCTAGCCAACCTCATATTCATTTTGTTCGGAAAGAATAGGAGAATCTAGAAATAGTAATATCATAATGATTTAGACAGTGTATTTTATCGGTAAAGTGAAAAAAATAAAAAAAATTGAATTTTTTTTTTGAAATTTCAAAAGCGGCCTCTGCATTTTTTTTCTACGGATTTTTTTATAGGAAATTCATTATATACATTTTGTAGACAATCTAATTCCCTACATAGAAATATATAACATGTTAGGAAAATATTTTTTTTTATAAGTTTTTGGGGCGAAATATAATGACAAACGGAGAACCGAAAAAATTGAAAACCGTACAGTGTTAGTTTATGTTGTAAAAAGTTCTATAATATATGTGTATACTAATAATGATATATACATGTTTGTAAAGCTAATGAAGTAAGGAATCAAAAAAAGTCATAAAGTTTATGGTAAAAATAATTTTTTACCTATAAACATACGTATATAAAATAATGTTTTTATATTTTAGCGATTTCTCGAGAAAAAAATTCACAGTACTTAGTATACAACTTTTGTACCAAATTTGTTTACTTCAAACCAACATAATAATCTTGTAGTGTATTCAATTACCTACATAAAAATGTATAACATGTTAGAAATATTTTTTTTTGTAGGTACGTAATAGGGACATAATAATACAATAACCGCAAAACCGCAAATAAGTGTAAACTATAGCCTACAGTGTTTGCTTGTGTTGTGAAACATTATGTAGGCTGATGATATGTAGCCTACATATTTGTAAAGCTAATGAAGTAAGGAATCCAAAAAAGTCATAAGTATGATGGTAAAAAGTTATTTTTACCTATGATTATGTATCAATTTGAGAACGTTTTGAATTTTTTGCGCATTTCCAGAAAATGGAGTGTACAGTATTTAGTAGCCTATATAATTTTTTTACCAAATTTTTTACACCCAAACCAATATAAACATGTTGTAGTGTATTCATTTACCTTTATAAAAATGTATAACACCTTGGGTAAATCATTATATAGCATATATAGCACCTCTGAATGTCAGAATCGTCATTTTTGAACATGATGCTAACAAAATACAGTAGTAGGCCTATTTAGTATAGGCTATAACTTTTTTACAAAATTTTTTACCCCCAAACAATTATAAACATGTTGTAGTGTATTCATTTACCTTTATAAAAATGTATAACACCTTGGGTATATCATTATATAGGTACAACAATCTCTGAATGTCAGAATCGTCATTTTAGGACATGATGCTAACAAAATACAACCTTTTATGAACACTATTTCACACAATTCAGTAATATTTATGCATGAAGATTACTGTTATACACACACACAACACTTCACTAACACTAACACTACGAAACTAATAACATATTTAGTAATAAATCGCGGATAAAACTATTACGGCAACAACACAAACAAACAATGGCAATACAAGACAGCTGACAGACTGTAGCAGTAATGACTCACTTGTCGTCTACATGCGAGCATACAGAAATAACCCTGAGTGCAGGGCTGCCACTCTCTGAATCTAAATTTCTTCCTCTTCAAAATGATATACTATATGACTAGTAATAATAACTTTCACTGTATATAATTCGTATTTTCCATACTGTCACCAGACGACTGTTGGCCATTTGTTAGAAATTTCGAAAACAGCTGTTTTCATAAAATCGTACCGATTGTGCAATCAATATTGAGTTATAAATATCACTACCACAATGAAGATAAAATCAATGGCTATCCAGTGGTACCACCCGCAATATCCCAAGACGAAAATTACCCGAGCAGGGTAATGCCAAACAAGACGTGTTTTGCCAGTTCCCAAGTGTCGGCTGCAAAAGTCGTACCGCGCCAAAATTTCATTTGATTTCTAATCGTCGTGACATTGTTATATACCTGCTACAGGGTTTGTTTATGTAATCAAATGAAAGTTCAGAATGTGATCTTTCGAATGGTATATATATTATTCTCATCTGAGTTGATTGTAAGTGTTTTTTTTACCGTTAAAAAAATTTCGGCCCATACCGTCACCAGACGACATTGGCCATTCTAAGCATCAACGTCATACCGTCACCAGGCGACGGTTGGCCACTGCTAGGGTTAAAATAACATCATTTCTACTAAACTAAGCCAATAGAAAATTATTTTTATTCATACTAGCTGTTACCCACGGGCTTCATCCCGTTTGACTTTATAAGTATTAATAAAACTATTGATTGGTTAAGTTAACCTGAAATTAACAAAATACAGTAAAACAAACAAATAATCCCACCTGATTTTAATAAGGTAATAAATTGAAAGAATAACAAACAAATAAGTAGGCCTACAGCTGAGGTATTTTTTAACATTAGATATATGGAATGTTCCATTTAGAAAGGAATTACGACCTTAAAGGGCAATTTATGAAATAATGGATAGTTTTGCGCAAGGTTTCTCGTCATGACGAACATTTTAAGTATATGGTTTATGGGGGTGTGACTTGTAGTTTTCTCAAAAGTTCATGGGTACTTTGGGCTGTATATATAGATCTAACAAAAAACCACTAAGTGGTAACACTTCCCCCGCCAAGTCAGCAACCCAAAAAAGACAATAAATCACCACTTTTCCGCCAAGTAAAACAATGTAATGTATGTAAGTTTGGCAACTTGGCGGCAGACTTTTGCTTGTTTTTTTTTCATTAAAGTTACGTTGGTGGATAATTTCACAAATCAACTTCTCTAATTAATTAGTCCAACTAAGTATAATAATTTCGAGGTAATCAGTAAATATAAAACCATCAATATTATGATTTTATGAAATTTGACACAAATAAGGTCAAATTTTGTAAAATAAGCTCTCATCTAGCAATGTACTATTGGGAGAGATACTTGCTCAATGAAACTAATTTTATGGTATTTTTTAAAGGGATCAAGCAAAAGTCTGCCGCCAAGTGGCCAAACTTACATACATTACATTGTTTTACTTGGCGGAAAAGTGGTGATTTATTGTCTTTTTTGGGTTGCTGACTTGGCGGGGGAAGTGTTACCACTTAGTGGTTTTTTGTTAGATTGTATTTATTTTTGTAGAAAATTAACAGTTAAAATAAAAATCCTCTTTTCTCTTATATATAGACCAGGGCACAACTACACATAAAATGCATTGGTGTTACATAAGTGTTCCGATAATTAAACCCGTATATCTAAAGACTAGTGTAAATTGAGCCCTTATTAGAGAAGTAAAAATGTAATCAAACAGATTAGGTTTGTTAGAAATAGCATAAGGCAAAACAAATATTGAAAAACTCATTTTTATCATAAATTTACATATCACTTTTTACATTCACTTTTTTGCTTGTTTAACATACGTAGACGGATTTTCCCGATTGTTTTATTTGTTTTAGTGTATCAAAACATAAAACTAACCTTATTTAGTTAAATAAATTTTGGCAATATTATGAAGAAACAATGTTAAAACTAACCTTAGTACTAGTACTAAGTTTCAAGTTCCTAGGTTTCATATGTTTTGATAAGTAGTATTAAACTGTTAAAAATGACGAGCTGCTGTACCAGTGTACCATCGGTACACTGCATTTTTCAATGGAAAGTATCGGGGAATATCACTGCTCTAAGTAATTTTATATAGTAAGTAGCTCAAATCATTCAGTATACCTGAAAAAAATACTTTATAAAAGTTTTAAAATAATTTTTCAGCTGATCCTATGAATTTCTCTAACATTTTAAATTAATTGAGATTTAATCGCAGCTGATCCTTCTTTTGTTTTGATTTTAATCCCATGTTATTTAAATGGGCCAAAATCGTACTTTGAGGGCTTGCCAAGGGTTTATGGGTCAACGCACCGACTTGTGACCCTCAAAAGGCACATCTACACGCTAAGGGCTTTCAAACAACATAAAAAACATTAAAATTGAGCCAGTGGTTTGGGCTGTAGGTCCGTCAACATTTAAGGAGAAGAAGGAGAACACGGAAAATTTGTGAATTTTCAAACTAGTTTTTCTTGGCTCAAACACAACCTTTTTTTAAATTCTTTTTTTTATTTTGCCAAGAATGATTGCCCCTATCCAGTGGATGAACAATTATTTTAATAGCTTTTGTTTCTTCAGAGCTATAGACAAGTAAAAAAGCCACTTTGTCACGTCATGTATATATACACTGCAGCAGCTGTGTACCGCTGGGGGACTTGGCGGGGCGGAACGCTGCCGCGTTCCTTAATACCACGATTACTAGAAAAATACCGGTATGGATCATAAACATAAACAAATGACGTTGTTGGCCCGGATCCTATACTAATAGCATTGAACATATGTTTTGGCAGTTCCATTTAAGCAATGTTAAATAATGTTTATTTTCGGGCAAAAAACGTCATTTGTTTATGTTTATTATCCATACCAGTATTTTTCTAGTAATCGTGATAGATACTATAGGAACATTTACACCCACAATACTCCAGTCAATACTGTTTAACTGGTATGATCTAGTCCTGCACCACACAGCTCTACTATACATTAGTCTTAAATATCCAACCTAAATCGGCTTTGGGTTGAAAAAGCAAAAAGGTCAGATAACACAGAAATTGTCAAATAATGAAAAACCATTTTGAACAAATAAAAAAACTATTAAACTAATAAGGTTTTTTCATAAGCAAATCCTATCAAAGGCTTTAAGTTTGTAAATTGCTACTTCGAAGCCACCAGCACAAATAACTAAAAATTTAACCTATGAAGTAAAAACACCATTACTCTAACTGTAAAATATAAGATAAAGTGATACTCGTCTGCTTGATTTAAACCAAATACAGATAGGTGGCCGAAAAAAGTTGTCTTGACATGTTCAATACAGAAATATCTTGTTCAGTTGTATACAGAAATATCTTGCGATTTCTAGGTACTCCCTCAGCACATTGAATTTTCAAGACTCTCACAGTGTTCTTACCTTATAGAACCAGGCAAACTTGTCCATATCAGGAAGAGACTTGATGTACCTGCGCAGCAGGTGAGCGATGGTCAGGAGGTAGTCGTCACTGCCGTAGAACAGAAGGTTGCCTACAGTGTCTGTCTTCACTAGCTTCTCATCTATAGTGATCAGAGTGTTGAGCGCCAACTTGGCCAAGGTAGGTACTGACATACAGTGCCAGCCTACTGTCTGTGTGTTGGCAGTGGATTAGAATAGTACAAAGCAGTGTTTTTGTTGAGGATAGCAATCTCGCACTAATACTGCTGAAAGATGTCTGCAGTGTTTACACAGTTAAAAACTCACAATTCCAAGCCCATTTATTTTTAGACAAATCGTTGTTATGGCGTGGGATGATCATCAAAGCCACAATTAAAGGAAATGATTACCACAAATATAGGACATCAAGAAATTACTAGGAATGTGGGAGATGACCACGACAGTTGGATAAACTGCAACCATGCCACGATCATGGGTTACAGTCAAGATTGTGATTGTAATAAACGCACAATACAACATATGTTCAGTACGTCGTGTTAACTTTGTAAATTAACTACAGGATTGTTTATCAAAGATTTTTAAACACAATATATGAACTGCAACTTACCATTGCCACTGGATTGAGATTGGTCACTTGGTCATTCAGAGTTCCGTTGGACATTTCCGGTACAAAGTGCCACTGCTTCTGGTTCAGGTACGTGATTGTATCGTTATTGTCATTCCATTGAACATTTTTCTTAGAATGGTGTTCTCTGCAAGGTAAGAAATAACATTAGATTAACATAAATCAAATATAACTAATGATAAACTATATAGAGTAGAACTCAGGAATTATTATGACTTGGGAGTTAATAATGGAAAAATTTGGTTCAAAAGATATTCCAGCATTTGTGATTTTAGATGTGGTTATATATTAAACATTTACAGAGAGGGTTTCCCTAACACATAGAACGAGAATTCACAAAAAAGTCTCATGAGCCCCCTGGGCCATAGCTCACCTGAACACATAAGGTCCCATCTGGGTAAAGGCGGGTTTGTCAGGTCCCTTTAATGAAGAGCCAGGGTTGGTCCAGTTGAACATGTAAATGTGGAAGTATATAGGGATGGGAGTCTCTGCCCACATGTTGTAAGACCTGGAGCCTGGAGACAAGGCCAGTTGCTGCAAACATCATCACATTTAGTCACAGATAACACAATAGATGGATAATGGATAACCTATAATAAATGAGAACCTACACAAACAACAGTGACAATACGAGGGGACCTGTGCGCTAATTGTACATTTTTACAGGTTTTGAATCCGAGGCAAAATGAATAATGCAATACCTGTCCCTTTTACATTTCAAAGACTTTATTCTTTATTGACAGTTATTAGGTGAATAAAACTAATTATTTACAATAGATTAAATTTGATGCTTCTAGTTCATTCAGATCTACAAAATTTTTAATAAACCTTAGCTCAAGTTTTGCTAGTATAACAAAAATTTAAAATCCACAATTTTTAATGAACAAAAGCGATTTAAATGTTTAAAAAATAAGTAATTTTTACATTCACAAGACCTTCTCAAGATTCTTCTCATGAGTGTGAAGTTCAAAAGATGAGATTTAATCTCACCCACTTGTAAAGTCGAATGACCTTTTGGTAGCTCTATGAGGTCAGGTTGAACTCTATTACTCCTTGTTATAGTTTAATACAAGAAATTACGTGGGAAGGCAGAAATTACAGGCACCTAATAAAGGGTCGGATTGAATTGAACTTTAGAATGTAGCTTGAAACTTTTTAACATGTTCAATTAAACAGTGTACATTTTGGAATGTTTTGTTTCGTTTTTCTGATAAATCATACCATTAAACACCATTGAATGCAAGGCAAACATTGAAGAGATATATTATATTGTAAATAACCATTACTAGTTTTAAGTTTTTAAGTGAACATATTTTTATCACATGCTTAAGGATGTCATTGCCCCTTTCATAGTTTGGGTTTTGCTAGACTTCTTCGCATGATTTGGTTCTTGAACCAAAGCCAGTGTAGTTTAGTTTGCTCAACTTATACTGAGGTCAAGAATCTTGCTTGGTCGACACTTCCAAATCTAATGCTGGCCTACTTTCTCCGTGCTCTGACACAAAAACTACAAGTGTTTCTAAATTGTTTTGGAACAGCAGTATATCAATGGAACTCATAGTTATAAACTTATACTCGTAGTTATATTTAAAAGCAGGAATTTTACTATCACAACTTTCTATCCATAACAGATTTTCTTCTGCTAGTAATCTTAGAAAAATCCATAGGGAAATTACATTATTTGTTTTTTCTCCGGAATGAGTTTATACCCTTTTTGTTAACAATGACATTTGTTTTGATACTGTAATTTAGTTTATACTGTAATAAAAACATATTACGATTTTGTCCACATAAAACCACAGAATGGTGGATCACATACTGAACATGAAAACTATTAGGCTATGCATGCATTACCATTATACAATACTGCATACAAAGCTGAATCATCGGGTTTTTAACAGAATCATCTATTTGAGCGATGAATCAATCTCATGCAAAGCGACTGGTATTTATCTACGTCATGTCATAATCAACAATAATCATAGGGTGCAAAGGTTAAAGTATGGGTTATACTTCTTGACTCATGATCACAACAGTAGTTAACAAAGAGAGGTGTAATCTCATCTAGGTGATTTGGACCTGTGGCATTGATTTGAAACAGAAACTGTTTTATAAGAAATGTTGACATTTTTTAAAGCAAATAATGATTAGACAACTTGACCTTTCTGCATATTCCCTTTTCATCCCGTACACAAAGTACGGTAGCTATTTTTAATGACAGCTGATACCAAAGAAAACAATTGTTTTCATAACTCAATAGAGAAAGTAGCTATTTTCGATAACAGCTCATATCAAAGAAAGTAATTGGTTACCAAGCTCTAATTATTTAGAGCAAGGGAAAAACAATCAGCTTGTTTTTCCCTTACTCTAAATTTACTTTACCTTGTTAATTGCATTCTTATTGGAAACAGATAATGTTGTGTACGTGAAAAGACATGCTCGGCTAAACCTCGTAATTAATTAACTATGAACACCTGAACCTTGAGTACGCCCAGGAAAATGGCACTTTCGTACCAATAATGTTACATACTATTATTTTGTTACAATACTATGCTACAAACAATACTTTTCCTGTCCTAACGATTGGAGCCCCGGTTTGCTTAACAGCAATGCTATTGTTAAAACACACCTGGGTGATTTATGTTTGTTTTAAAAATTCTTTGTTGAAGCAGTTGAATTTCAAACCAATTAATTGTAAAACTTTTGTATTAACTTTTAGGTAATGAAAGTTCCCATAGCTTTCATCAACATATTTTGGAATTGAACTGGTTGAGTAGTTAAAGCATGGATGCTAGAGTGCTTAAGTGTAAAATTGATAGTTTAATTTATCAAGCATTGACATACATGAAACAGTTATTTTGACGAATAATAATAATAATCATAATAATCATAATCGTGTTTATTGGTACAAAGTTTACAGGTAAATGTACAGGTGCTTCGTCATCTTCTTATAACATTAAAAAACAGTCCTTTCTTAACCCTCCAAGTGTTATGTGTTGAAAAATCGACACATAACACACTTTGTGTAGTGTTTTGTGTCGATTTTTCGACTCACAAACACTGTTTACGGCGAAGGCTCTATGACTGACAAAATCAGATTGAATTGGATCGAGTTAGGTATCGTTTAATTTGGCAGATTCTAAGCTTTCTCCCGAGGTCTGTCTCTAAGCGCTTTTTTTTCTCGAGCCGATCATAATTGTAGCAGACAGCTGACGTGCGTATTTGTAAACAGCTTGGTTAACCTCGCACCGATGACTGATGTGATTTATTACGTTTATCATTGTTTTAGTGTTAAAAATCAAAAGTAGTGATATACGTGGTGCATTATAAGAAGATTTAAGTGATTTTGAAGGGCTGGTTGATGATCCTGAAGAAGTAGGTAGTGATATTGATGTAAATTATCAGCCAGATTCCTAGCTATGGTTAGGCTATGCATTCTCAGCTAAACGCTATGTACTGAAATCTGTTTTTTGCCCATAACTTATTTATTTGCAAATCTACTTTCCTTATATTATTATATATTTGTAATCCTCATAAAATTTAGAACAAAGTGGCTGTTTTCAAATATTTATAGACCTATAATTTATACAATTTCATTGAGCGCAAACTAATTTTTTTTTTAATTTTCCAAAATATTTTTTTTACCTAAAAATTTTTTTGAAACAAATGTTCCTTATGTTTTATGTATAATATTGAAGCCCATGATTTTCCAAACAAAATAGTATATAGAACAGTATAATTAACATTGTTTTTAAGCTTCTCAGATCCGTTTTAATAAAACCTTGCAAATGCGCAAAAAATAGGCAAACATTAAGGCCAAAACTAGGGACACTCGGAGGGTTAAAACTAAATAACAGTCTTAAACGTATTTAGTATTAATAACCAAAAATTTTGTAACATCTAAAAAACATTCCATAGTCTATCTGAAAATTTATAAATATTGTCAAGCTTAAAACTAAATAACAGGATTTATATAATTTAATAATAAAACATATCTGTAAAACATAAAAAATGTACAACAAATTTATGTAGTCAATAAAATATTTGTAAAATTGCATAACAAAAAAAATATATATCTATCTTTGTAGGCTAAATTCGACTAAATGTGAGACCAAAATATTTTCATTGAAAAAACATACATTGCCACATGAAATTCAAATATATGGTAACTTTCTACCTTGGAACCCTGATGACCAGGCCATAAAATATCTTGGAGTATGGCTGGACAATAAACTTAATTGGAACTACCACGTTAATCAAAAACTGTCCCAAGGTTATGCACGCCTTGCAAAGCTTTTCCCTTTAACACATTTGCTGCTGAAAACCTTTAAACAGGCGCTCGCCAATTGCGGCGAGGCCCGGGCGGAGCCCCGACGCGCTAACTGAATCAGCGATCGCTATTGGTATTGAAATATCTCAGTAAGACGAATCACAAAAGAGCAGTGGTGATTGTTCTGCGTTACTCCGAAAGTGGACGTAGTTCACTGAAACACCCAAAGGTAGCAGCACTGCCTGGATCAATAACCAGAGTCTTTGTAATACGGCTCGAACTGAGAAAATCCCCGAAAACGGGACAAAAGCATTGCCAGGCGGGATTTTACGGGAAATCTTTGTACCAACCTACACTAGAATAAAGCTCGCATTATAAGCTACAGGCTGGTAAAGATTACAACGTTCCCCCGACAATGGCTGAACCACACTGATCCGGCAAACAATGCAATGCGCGCTCCCCCACCGGTGGACCCCCCGCATCGAATGTGTTAATCAATAGGAAATGTACTCTGAAGCCAGCTTGTACAGTTCTAATCTATAAATCAATAATTCGGCCCTTGATTACATATGCATCTCCTATCTGGGGATTAGCTATATCAAAAAACAAACTCTTCAAAATTCAAGTGATTCAAAACAAAATTCTAAGAATAGCGGTGAATGCTCCCTGGTTTGTTAGAAACAGATATATACATGAAGAACTAGGAGTGGGGTCTATCTCGGCCTTTATTGAAAAAACCACCTCAAAATTTCTAAAATCTTTAAACAATGTTCCTGGTGCATTAACTTTTCATCTTGGTGAAGCAACTGGGAACAGGAGGCTACGTCGAAGGCTCCCTCAAGATCTATTGGAGGAATGAAGCCTAAAGAAGATTAAATTATTTCCCTAAATTAATGTTACAGGGTATCTCAGGTTTGGGCGAACCCACGATGTTATTATAGTTAATTTCTTTTAATTTTGTTAACACTTCTGTGTATAATGTCTACATTGAACCAGAAATAAATGATGCTATAAAAAAAATCTTTGTAGGCTAACATTAAAAAATCAACAAGGTTAATATTGAAAAATCAATTTTTACCTATCATCAAATGTTATGGCGAGTAACAGGACCAGCTTATAATATTTGAGATAATAAATATATTTAATATCATGGTATGAATTTTGTCACAAGTATTTTGTCTTTGTACATTTTTTAATATTTATATAGCAATAAGATAATACTAAAGTCATATTTCTCTTACATGTCTCATATATAGTGATGAAACTTAATGACTTTAAAAAGAGATGGTATCTAAATAACTCTCCACCCTCATTTTGCATTTGGTTATTTTACTAAATATTGCTAGTAAATTGCCCTCTATATGGAATATTGTTATTTGTATTGTATGTCAAATGGTTTAAGATATTTTGAAACTAAAAATTCAAAATTGACTAGATTTGTTCCGTTAAGGTTTCTTTAAATAGGTATTCCACACTAAGCTAATTTCAGTGGCCTCTTGAAAAATTGTGTTATCTGTATATGTTGGCCTAATAAAGTTAAAAACACACACACACAGTTTGAGAAAGGAAACAATAGTACTTGACCAAATGTAGGCCGATTGTTATCAAATGCAAAGGTTAAAAGTTACAATGTCCCGGTTAAAATAGTTCATTCAACCAAGATTTTAGGATTCGGCGTTTCCTTTGAAATTTCATGGTTATTGGTTATTATGTTTTTTTTTTTTCAAAAGTCACATTAAAAAAATCAGGTGTTATCTGTGAAACTACAGTTAAAGAGTTGAGTAATACAAATACTTAACTTCTTCAACATTAATTAGGCCCATTACATTTTTCTTACAAAAATAGTATTGGTTAAGAATAAAATCCGAGTTTAGTTAAAATTTAACATTACAGTATATGTTAACCAGATAGTTTTCATTTAAGGAAAAAGAAATTGCATGTGTGTTAACACAGTTTCTATTACTTATGTATGTACGGTATTTTTAAAAACTTAAATGAATTTACTCATTGATTTGCCTGTCATGTTGAAAACAACCGAATCCACAAAAACTAAATTAGTTTTGTGATTCTTATAGGCCATTTTTATTCTCCATAGAGAGTATTTTTAACTACAATTCACTACAATTCTTAATTTATTATTTAAAAAATTAAACACTTTTCTTATTCCATCATTTTTGTAGGTAGGTATTTGATTTAATTATTGTAACTTTGAAGAAAACGAAACATTATTTCTTTTTAGAAGCAAACTTTATAGAGTGTTAGTATTTTTTTTAAGTTAAATCAATACTTTAATACTTTTAATTGAAATTTTGTTCATCTAATTCTAAATTAGAATTGTTTTACTATCATGCTGTTTTACTATTACTGGTTTCATTGAGTAGTCTAATCTGAAATCTGTAGCAGCTCTTTTGTCAAATCTGTATTGATCTTTCATAGAAATAGAGTAATTTAATAACTTACTTTTGATCTATAAGTATCTACTTAAATCTTAACTGTATCAGAAGAAGTAAATACTTACAGAAGCAATGAGCCTGTTGACTAGGAAGGGCCATACTATGAACAGCACCAATCCAACAGTGGCGATGACAGATCCTAACCCAACCAGACAAGCCTTGGCACAACATGAGCCGACTGAACGAGAGTTGAGAGACTCCCTTGTCAATCCTGGCCTGGAAAACAAAATTAATTTGTTATTTTAGGCATTACTGAGAACATTTTACATATAATACCACCGTCTACCATCCACGTCAAGCAGGAAATTAGCCTATATTCTGTCAGGCTTTTAGGAATTCATAGATTCAAAATTAAGTTGCCCAATTCACATTGAGACAGTTTGCAAAAAGTTATCTAGAGTAGATTACTCATTATGGAAAATAAAAAAAAATTAAACCAAGAATATTTGAGACTGTTATATTTTGGTCTGTTTCAGTGCCACATACTCTATGGCATTCTTTTTTGGGGATATTTCTCTCATGTAGCTGATATTCTGTTGATTAAAAAAAGGCAGTGCTCAATATTTCTAAATCTAATTCCCTAGCTCATTGTAAGCCTCTTTTCATAGAATAAAAAATCCCAACAGTAGTAAATTTGTACATTTTTCAAGTAGCCTATTACTTGCATTTTCAAACTACTTGCATTAGATTGCATTCTTTCCCCTTTAGAGCTGACACTAATGATTACAACACTATACTTTGGGCAAAGATTTGTGGCGGTTGAGGCATTAATCGGGTGATGTACCTACCCCTAAATTAGCCCTCGCTCGCCCACTCTGGGTTTTGGCCATGAATCACCTACTGGGTTCAATGATAGTTGGTCAAACTAAAAGTGTATTAAAAACATCATTTTTATAACCTGTGTCAAATAACAAGAACATTGAGTCCAAACACAAAATAATTGTGATGATATTAAGTATACACTTGGTTTTAAAATAAAAGACAGTTTTCAGAACAAGGTATATATTTAAGGTTACTGTATTTACAAACTATATGCACTACTGTTCACTAACTATTTACTATTTACAATTATGAGAATAGTTCAGTTCATAAAATGTTGTCCGGTTTATCGCAGGAGCTGAATGTGAAACCAAATAGTCCAGTAAATAGAGACAAAAATAGGGGGGTTAACTTACAAATGGTCCGGTAAGTCTAAATTTTGTATATGTTGTCTAGGATGGTAAGTAGGTGTTTAAAATGAAAAATGCACAATTCTCCACTCTCCGCGCCCGCCGCCATATTGAAAAAATCTGTACTTTCTAGAGATTTTTGCCTATATCTCCGTTTTGGTGCGTTTTAGCAAAAGATATGTAAGACAATTAAATTTCTTATAGTATAAGTATAAAAATTTGGTTCTAAGACTTATGGATACGAAAATATTTAAATTTTTGTACAATAAAACATCAAGTTTTTTGTTATTTTGACAAATCTCTATTGGTCCAATCAAACTAAAAAAACTGACACAGGGAACATTAAAAAAATTCCAAGAAAACGTTTTATGGTTTTATTTTGTAGTGTTGGGTCGGCAGAGTGGCAGTGACATACTAAAAGTTGCCAAAAGTCGGTCTACAGAAAACCTCCTAAAAACCTCCCTATTTAAAATGGCGACTTTTCCCAACATTGGACAAATTTGAAAAAAATATACCACATGCATATTTTATTCAAAATGTTTTGAGGTATTGACTTGGGACAACCACCGAAGTTTATTAGGTGGTTAGTACTTAATTTACAGAGGGAACTCATTTTTGGCCGCCATCTTGGATCCGCCATATTGGATATAAATAAAAAATATTTAATGTAATGATAATGTTGTGACACATCATTATAAACCAGATTTTCACGCTGATTTCAATGTCGAAATCCATTTTTAAATATCTGTTTACGTTTTGAAGATATATTCAAACGAAAACTCTCCCCCATACATTTCTTATGGACGTTTCGTACTTTGAAGGTTTTTAAATACCATTTTCTTATATCTCCAGTTCTTATCAACGCTTGCAGTTCAGTCTAGCCTTTAAATATTCTGGGATGTAAGCGCTTTCATTTGACCTATTGATCATTCAAATCGAACGAGTAAGCAACAAGCTACAATCCCCAAAACAATATGAAATTTAACTTTTTTTAATATTTTTTTTATTAAAAGATGTATATCTCCCGTTGTTAATACGTTAATACTTGTTCGAAATAAAACCATAAAACGTTTTCTTGCAATTTTTTAAACGTTCCCTGTGTCAGTTTTTTTAGTTTGATTAGACTAATAGAGATTTGTCAAAATAATAAAAATTTGACGTTTTATTCTACAAAAATTTTAATATTTTCGTATTCATAAGTCTTAAAACCAAATTGTTATATTAATATTATAGGAAATTTAATTGTCTACAACATTGACATTACATATCTTTTGCTAAAACGCACCAAAACAAAGTATAGGCGAAAATCTCTAAAAAGTACAGATTTTTTCGATTTTTCAATATGGTGGCGGGAGAATTGTGCATTTTTCATTTTAAACACCTACTTACCATCCTAGACAACATATAAAAAATTTAGACTTACCGGACCGTTTGTAAGTTAACATACCTCTATTCACTGGACTACAAATAATTGTGGTATTGGGTATTGTTAAGTACAGGCATACTCTTTGTTTTAGAATAGTAATACTGTTCACACACTTTTTACTATATTTACAGTAGTGTAAATGGTTTGTAAATACAAGTAACCTTATAGATATAATTTGTTCTGAAAACACTCTTTTTTTCAATTTATTCATACAGAGGTTAATAAAAATTGTTACTGTAAAGAAACTAGGGGGAGTTTTAGAATTTACTTAATCAGTAATAATAATGCAGAACTTTATTTTCATCAAGATTCAAGATAGATGTAGACCCCAATAAAAGCAGGGCATCAATATTCAAACAAAAAATGATAAGGTTAAACTTATCTAGACATGACACATGTCTCATGAGATTTGTTATCCCAACAACAACTGATTCATAATTTATTATCATAATTATTTATCATAACTATGACTGATTCATAAGCTATTATCATAATTACATAGTTATTCATAACTATTATTTAAAAAATTATGCCTTTTGTAATCTAGTTTCCTCTTAACAAATAGGTACTGGGTTGAATTTACAGTGACAGTTCATAATTATTAAGAACCTAATCTATCATGATTAGGTTTTGTGTTTTGAAGTTTTGTGAAAAATGGAAAACTAGTTCCAGTTCCATAACAATTTTTAACATAGGGGAAGCATAATGCTCAAATCCAGATTGGAACATATAAATGTTTTATATAATCAGGGTAATTGACTTGAGTACCTACATGATCTATGTGGCCACCTAAAAAACATATAGTTCAGGTGCATTCTAAATAATGGTTCTAAATAATGGGTAAATAAATACTCGTAGTTTAGGAGAAGATACAAATTTAAAAATTGTCCTGTTGAAAATTTCAAAAATAAATAATTATAACAAATTGTAAAATAGGAGAGGCCTAGCTCTCTTTGTTTTGTGATTTCTTGAACAAATACAATGTTGCTAAAAGTAAAATAATTGAATTTGAACTGAAAATCCAGGTCAATATGCAATGCAAACAAAATTTAGATATATTATGAGTAATGACGGTAGAAAATAATATAAGTAGCCTACTATAGTAAGTGAATTAGGATTTTCTTTCAATATTTAGTAAAAATGAATTTACTTGTCAAAAACAAAAATTGTGTCTAAAAAACTATTATAAATACATAAACAAATTAAACCACTATTAAATCCAAACCTAAAACGATTTGGTACCTATCATTAACCCAAAACCAAATTTAAAAACACGGTTTTCAACTTTATAGCAGAGCTAGTCAACAGAGGAATGTACATAAATGTTGTATAACAATTTAGTCTTGCTTTCTACAATTGTGTTTTACTAGACTTACTTGTCATCTAGCACCATTGTGTTGAGGTTTTAAAACTTTCACTAACAGACACAGAGATCAATCCAGCCAGTCAGACTACAAACAACTGGCTACTGGCTAATGTCAACTGGTACTTGCAGTACTCGCTATTGGCTGATGTCACTACGATCATTTAACATCTTCCTGACTAAGCATACTTATGTTGTGGGTAATATCACTGAGATAACCAGTGCTAAGTATGCTTATGATGACAGTGTGTTGCTATTATGAAGAAAATGTATAATATAACATTGACAAAAATTGAGAAAGATTATTAAATAACATTTTTAAATATAGGAAAAACTCTCCTTGATTAAGACAAAGAGATTCTTATTTTATTACAACAACAATGAGAGTAATGAGATTCGTATTACACAGTAGGCTTAAAATTATAAAAATAATCTTTGATCGTGTTGAGTGCCAACTTTTACAAAAGATGTCTTTGATAGATTTATTTTTTGTCATACTGCAGCAAAAACAGCTGTTTTTAATACATGGGTTGCAGATCTAAAGTGGCACTTTTATTCCCTAAGGAGTAAAAATCAGCTGTTGTAAACTTGGATTGTTAGCAATTGCCTGTATCAAAATTATTTATCGATTGATTTAATCCCTTGAAGCGTATTGTTGAATTCTTGTCAATAATTTGACATATCGATAGTCCAAAATAGACGAAATAATCAAATCACTTACTAAACAGCTGCTTTCTTTGTAAAAATCAACAACTGTTGCATTGTACAAGGATTACAGGTTTTGGAATCTATGAGAATTAATCAGGCCTAAAGACAAGTTGCTTGTATGAGACAACATCATACTTCAAAGTTCATTTTTGATGATGGTAAATTTATGTTATTTAAGAAGGTTCTACTCGGTCAGTTCAAGATGGTGGCTAAACATGCTAATGTCTCATCTAGGGCATAGTCTTGATCATTGTGATTATTTTAAAGTTTATTTCAACTCAATAAACACTTTAATAATGCAACGAGGTTCTTTTTTGTAGGACCATGTTTACATGGTAACCAGCCGGTGGGTGGGACCCTCTTAAGGAATTGTTGCACCGATTAGAAAAAATAAAGTTTTTACAATGTTAAAATCTTAACAAGATGCTAACCTGATCATTTAACTACCAACATGAAGAGACTTCTTCCAATTTTAAAAACTATTCATACAAAATAAAACAAAACTTCGAACAAAAAAATAATCAAACCAACTCAATTTCCTGATTAAATAGTTAATCCCTCTCCCATTCCTCTTTCTACATCTACACTGTCAGGCAAAGTTAAGGCTTCAAAATTAAGTGCACAAGATATCTTCTAAAATTGAGATTTTATAAAATTAAGTTTATTCATATAGAATTTTGTTTACAATAACTGTACAATGTACAAGTATATTACAAAATCTTACTTTGATAATGGTAGAGATGATTAATTAACAAAAAATATCCACTCTCTTTAGCCACAGTATCCTTAACCGTTTTATTCCCCATTTATGACGACGACATTCTTCTTAATTAAGTTGTTGAGTTTCCAAACACTGCTGCTTGTATCCTGTTTCGGACTAGTTCCTAAGCCTGAGGGATTTTTGAGCCGGAAAATGGACAACAAATTATTTTTCTCACCACCTTTCAAACCCTTCATGTCCAAGACTTTCTGAAATTCTTGAATATCAAAATCAGGCAGGAGCTTGAGGAACTGGTCTACAAACACAGTGGCAGGTTCTATTGGAGCCATCACCAACTTCAAAATCATTTCTCCTCTAGTCATTCCTGTCAAAATGACTTTAATATAGCTTGCAGGTGCTTTCATATCAACATGAGATCCCAGGGACGGAATGTCAAGTAAAACAGTTTTAAGCATGTGAGTATCCAACAATAGCTGTTCTGCCCCTACTGTACTCAGCGGCTTGCACTTGAACAGGGTCTTGATGAACTTGGAAATTATTGAGTTTGCAAATCTAACACAAAACTGAGTAAAGTATTTTCTTGATGATGAAAGACTATCTTTTATGAAAGGTATGGATGTCTTGAGGTGCGAAGTTATTTTAGTCACATAGGCACTTTGGTCCCCAACAGTTTCTAGAGTCATCCAATCAATCTTACTCATTGCACTTAAAGCAGGTTCACATGCCATTTCCAAATCTTGAACAAGAAGCTGTGTACAGTTAGAAATGACACTATGGAAAATGTCATGCTCTTGAGTAAAGTTGATTTTTTCATATAATGATGGGTCAATTTTTTCTTTCACCTTTTCTTCCAATTGGCGAGTCATCTCGAGGCAGTACTCAGATGTTATTACGATGCAGCATATCCTACCAACATCGGCCTTGGAAAATCTAGATATTTCACCTTCTTTGAGAAAGTTCTGAATGATAGAAGATGCGGAGGGAAAATCTCTTGCAATGCCGTTAACACTAGAGGACATTGAGACACTATTTAAACCTCCAAATACGGGTAAATTGGATTGAAGAATCTTAACAGCATATTCCATTAGATACTTCTTAAATATTTCACAGAGACTAAGCATAGGTAGGCCATTACTTAGCTGGTTACATTGCACCAGGAACTTCTTATAGAAGACAAAAAGATCACCACTTGAAGGAAGGACTCCTTGAATTGTTTTTCTCACTGGCTGCTCATTGTTAAAGTCTTGCTTTGATTCCGTCACAAATCTCTCAAACAAATCATATAAATTTAAGTCAATACTATCAATGTAGATGTAGAGGTATGGGAGAAAACATTCTCCGATGATGTTTTGAAACTCCGAGATTTCTTGTTCTCTAAAAGAGATGGGTTGGTTGTCCTCTTGATTTTTTATGTCAACAAGAATGGGGGCTGATTTTTGTTTCAATGTTTTCTCAATATTTATTTTACTACAGATATATCGGTCCTTCTTTTCTAGAAGTATTTTTTCTGTGAACCTAGCAGAAAGTAAATGTTCAAAAATGGAAGTTCTTTGGATTGCATATAGGAGTAATTTAACGTCAATTTCTTTTGCTCTTTTGTGCATAATTTTGGTCAGTTCTGCTCTGGTAGTTAAGCAAAACTTGATAGTAATCTGTTCAAAAACTTCCCAATGTGGAGGAAATAAAGAACCAAACTTATCCTCACACTGAATTAAGTATTTCTTAAACCATGTGTATCTTTTGTCTATCTTATCCAACCAAGCATTTTCTTCACTATCACAGAACAACACTAAGTATTCATCAAACTGAATTGTGACAAACCACTTTAAAAACTCTTGCTTGACTTTTGGTTCCAAAATATCAATAACCAAACACGCTTCAGCAAGACTTCTTGTTGGGGTAAACTTACTCGCACCAATCCCTGTGAACGCTTTGTGAAAATCATGTTTTATTTGTTCAGCTAAATAATTTTTTATTTCTTGCACATCATCGGTCAATGTCTTTATTTGTGGAATGTCAGTGTACTTAAAGAAATGTTTGACTACATCTACAACACCTTGCAAAGGCATCACAATCTCACCATACTGACGTTTGCCAGCCAGCATCTTAAGAGTGTTCACTCCTCCAACGAGAAAATGAAGATGGTTTATTGTAGTTATTGACGCTGTAAGATTTATTTTGGCACAGTCTAGTTGTTTTATTTCCCTTGTGATTTCTTTCACAGTTTCTTCAGATTGTTCGGCCTTTGTTTTTATCTCTAATGTTTGATTAAACAGTTGCTTTATAACTAGTTGAGCATCTACAAGTGCCCTTCTACCATCCTTTTTTAGGTCAGTTTGACGCCCTACTACAGTACTTATTTGGTTATTGATACCATGGAACTTACATTCAAGCTCTGCTATCACATCATCTATATTAGACAGGGACTGCTCTGAAGGAAATAATGAATTTATATAATCTGTAGGGTTAAAGTCTGGATCATCAAGAGGATCGATACTTGGGATAACCTTGTCAATGGCTTTCTTAACCTCAGGAGGGATAAGCAAGGTACTAGATTCATTAGAAAACTCTTCATCTTCTATACTGGCATTTTTGGATGAATTAGTCATTTTCCTGTAACTGATTATTTTATATTAGGCAATAAACTAATTTACATCTACCTTATAATTATATCAAAGAAGGTAGGCCTAATGTAACGCAATTAAACAAAGAATGAAGCCTGTATTTTCAAACTTCTTGAACTTTCTGTACGGTAGTGGTTTCCGACCCTCCCTAAAATGCTGTTTAAGAGCATTATTATTTTAATGGCAAACTGTTCACTATAGCTGGTATTTTGAGACAATCCCATTGCCACTTTTGTCTGTGCTCGACAGATTTACATCAAGCTTAAGGGCTTGGGTACGATACGAGCGGCGAGCGGCAAGCGGGGAGTGGTAACCTTCGAGCGGCACGTAAGCGGTGGTGGTGGCTACGATACAAGCGGCACATTTACATCCCTCATCAAATTTCCCCAGTTTTATGAGTCAGTTTATACGAAAACGGTATGCTTACCTGCAAGCCGTATTGCAACTATTTTTGCTATCTGACAACTGTTTGCCTTTAAAGAAAAACTTAGTTTTTAGAAAAACCTTAACCCTAATTTGGTCTCATACTTTTCTGGTGACTGAAGTGTCTTAGAACTTCCTCTTTTACTTAACCGTATGCTGTTTGCGAAGATGGCTTTGGAGAAGAAAACGGTTATTTTAGGCCTACCGCACATGAGAGACTTTTTGACGGCCGACTGTCTGGCTGGAGTCGGGTGGACAATCGAAAGGTCGTAAAGACTGCACAAGCCACGACTGTTTAGTCGTCTTTCGAATCTCAAAAGGATGGATATGACAGAAACTGCTGTCATATGTGCGTTACTGATCATATTTTGTGTAAGAAAACGTGAAAGAAAATATTGGTTGTATCCAATATAAATAGTCAAAGAACCTTGAAAGGCCAGTTTTACCTCTTATCCTTGGATTTTAAGGGAAATATTCGGGGACAAATATTTCACGTAGGCCTACTCACGAATGAGTGTTGTATGTCTGAATCAAACTTCAAAGACTTTTTATAAAGAGGGGGCCGTGCCTTCAATCCATCAATAAGTTTATCAACTTTTTCGTCTCGCAAAACACTTGCACTTGTCACAGCCATAACGCACTTGACTGTCTGTGTAGAACACACAACAAAACTTTGTCAGACTGACAGACTTTTTAGTCGTCAGTGTGCGCGTTCAAACTTGTCTCTATGCCTTTATCAATACGACACGACAGTTGAGTCGGGAGCAGTCAGCGGGAAAATCGGTCAGCCCCAAAATGTCCCTACTGTCTTGCTGCGATCGGCCCGTGTGTGCGCTCAGATTTACCACTATGGGGCCGGCTTTGACTACAACAAAATAGTCGGCCGAAAAAAGTCCCTCGTGTGCAGTAGGCCTTAATGGAAGTTAAAGCCTTGGAGACTATTAATTAGGCCACCAAAACATTATACCTACCTACTTTTAGGACAGCAACACACACCTAGGCACAAACGGTATTTTATGTTTAACTAGCTGATGCCTGTCGGCTTCATCCGACTACTTTTGAATTTCATACAAAAACTTTTGATTTTTATTATGAACCGGCTGTAGTTGTGACTTCACTACGGGCTAACGTGGCCTTTTAGATTATTTTTCCATATAGACCTAGTAACAGTTATTAAGGATTAATTGCATTCTTATACCTAGGCTATAGCCTAATCCTCTAAGCTAAATAGACATATGGGACTACTTAAGTCAAACTAAGGGAAAATTCTTCATTAGCCTACAAAAATTAACTGCCTTATGCAAGCATATTTGAAATAGTAATTTAAAGTGTTTTTCTCGGGAATTTAATTTTACAAAACAGTCTGCAGGTGACATAAACTAACAACTCGATTAGGGGATAACCTAAACTTTACCTTCCTAATGTAACCTAACTTCAAAACCCTTAATGCAGTCATGAATTCACATAAAGCACGACCTACCACCCTGACATGCCTAAATAAGAACCAAGATACATGTAATTAGTCCACCAGTACATCTATATCTTTATAATGTGACAAAATACCTTTTACCTATAGAAAACATTATTGACTAGAGAATCACTTTAAATGTTTCTATATATAGTCAACAGTGTTATTATGTTTAATCAACAATGTTATTCTTCTTATCAGCCATGTTACTCTCTTCACTTAACTTTAACTTGAGACGGCGTAGCAAACTAGCACTACGCAGCACTGAGTACCTATGAGTATGAGTAGGCCTACGGTATTTTTGTTTTGTTTTCTAGTTGAAGTGAAGTAAAATTACGTCATTAGGCCTATTTCCAATGGCAGAATCAGAGTGAGTTAATATTGCTTAAAAGTTGTTTCTTCCAGAGCTGTAATTATTAGGCTTAGTTAACCCTTAGAGTGCCAGGCGAGAAATAAAAGTAACGCAAAAAAATGCCGATGATTTTTCCCGAAGGTCGCGCTAAAAATGCCGAGCGCGATCTGGCGATTTTTAGGTTAAAATTTCGTAAAAATCGAATTTTCGATATTTCGACCAACGAAAATCGATGTATCGCATCTAGTAACTTTCGACTCAATGTTAATATATGGGTTAAAAGAATCCGAGTATCCATTCGGTTGTTATGACAACTGTTCGATCATTACGAAACGTCCGGTCAGCCGGACGTTGGCACTTTTGGCTCGTTCTAAAAACGTCCGGTCGGCCGGACGTCGGCACTTTTGGCTCGTTTTAAAAACGTCCGGTTCCCCGGACGTTGGCACTCAGAGGGTTAACCCACAGTTCATTCCACAAGTAAATGTTAATTATCATAGACCAAAATAATTAAATATAGACCGTCAGCTGTGCTACGATTACCATAGGTTCTGGCGCACACTGATGGGAGCGCCATGTAGATACAGCTTTAGCGCTACGTAACTACACGGCACTTCCAGCAGTGAGAACCTATGGTAACCGCAGCATGGCTGACAGTCTATATTTAATTCTTTTTGTCTATTATGTCATCCATCCTACCTTGTTTAACTTAAATATTGTAATGTTGTATATTTTTAGAAATATTCATCGATATCTTGAGAAATATTCATCAGTGGAGGAAAATAATGCTATATTTGGATTCAGGAGGTAAAAACTATAAAGTAAGATAAGTTATCTAAATTAAAAATTCGGTTGGAGGCACCTATTACTAAATAAATAGGCCTACTAAGTTACCTAGGGTACAGTTTCTTAACTAAGCTATGCTAATATCGATTGAAACTATCGATTCGATTAGTAAACCTTCATGCGATTTTTCACCATCAGCAAGTTTGGTTGGTTAGGTTAGGTTATGATGGTTTAATTTGATAATAAATATGTTTAAAAATATCGATTATTAATCAATATTTTCAATTCGATAGTTTCAATCGATATTACCATAGCCCAGTTAAGAACCTGTACCCGTTACCTAAGTTAATGAAGAAAAGTTATGGACACACATGCATTATTGGGGTACAATTTCAAAACTGGGCGGCTATGCTAATATCGATTGAAACTATATGGAATTGAAAATATTAATTAATAATCGATATTTTTAAATATATCTATTATAAGTAGAATGAAACTGTCATAACCTAACCTAACTAACCAAACTTGCTGATAATGAAAAAATCCATTGCCCAGTACAAACTGTACCCCATTATTGTATAGTTTTAATCAATTGCCATGCATAACTTTACATTTAGACAAACTCATAAGGCTACTTACATTATGCTTCTTCAGTCTCTTTGACACACAATAAATCCAAGCAAAACAATGTAAATTAGGTTATGTATGAAGCAAAGCGAAGTAAAATTTTTGAGCGAAATCTTTATTGAATTAGTTCTCTCGAGAGATTACACATTTCTTTCACTATGCCTATGCCTGCCACAGAATAATACAGGAGTTGATGAAATAAAATCGGAAGGGAATCCTTACAGATGCAACGTCGTGATCATTTACATAACCTAGGCCTACACCTAACACAGTTCTTTACTGGTAAGGTAATGGTATCAGCTGTAAGTAAAGAAAGTAATGTAATGTGAAGGTAGCACAAAGCACAAAGGCACAACAATGAAAAACAGCAATACCTACAATCACAATGACCAATGACCAAACTTACAACAGTGAGTGACAACACTGACAACAACAAACAGCTGAGCTGTGGAGTGTGGATAATGTAAACAAATTATATCTCAGCTTTTCTTCATCTGTGTATTGGGCAGCATCATATTATTCCATGTAGCTGTATTAGCATTATACAGAACTATTATAGTTAATTAAATACCGTGTCTCTCAAAAGTTCCACACCCACTGTTATTTCTTTTTTATTAATAGATATATTATAATATTGAGGAAATGTTTATATGATATAGGTTTATATTATATACATGTATTATATGTATATATGTTTTGGTGTATGTAAATTTTCACCCTCTCCCACCAAAAGGGGTAAGTTGAAGTGTTCAAATGTAACCCCCAATGAAGTTGTACATAATTGTAAATATCATAATGAAAGAAAAAGAATGGCGTAAACTAGAGGTATCTACGTCAATTTATCAACAGTTGCGCAATTTCTAATTTTTTTTAATTTTTTTTTATCAAATAAAATATTTATGTAAATAAATGAAGAAAGGATACTTATTTATGGTTGTGAAACCAAACAAGTGAATATTAGTACCTTGATTAAAATTGAATTAACTGTTCAAGTCAGTTTCCAATCGCAGGTTAAATACTGTCCCATGACGGGGCAAGGGTAGCGACCCTGCTTGACCTCATTTGCCAGGCGCTCACTACGAGATAACAGCTATGTTAGCTCCCGACCGCGACACTTTCCAAATTGTAATAAAGCTTTTTTTATAAAACTTTATTAATTTTCGAAAGTTTAAAAAAATAAAATTTGAACTGCCTTAGATTTTAATTGTTTGGATTGACTTTTGTCTTTTTAAAGGGAATTTTCCATTAATAGTACTGTAAGTATTAGTTTGTCTTTTATTGCGACCTTTGCAATTATGTATAACTTGATAGGGGTTTACATTTGAAAATTTAGACTTACCCCCAAACTACCACTTTAGAGGGGGAGGGGATGACAATAATGTACATACACCAAAAACTTCATTTTTAATCATATAAACATATTCCTTGAATATTATAATGTTATCTCTATAAAAAATAACGGGGGGGGAGACTTATGAGACACACAGTATAAATTTTATTGTTCAACATTTCCACCATGTATTTCTTATTATGATTAAAATATTGAGTTAAAAACAATAAATATCTCCTGAGTTGATAAGGTTTAGGAATAAAAAAATGAATAAGGCTTTTCACTCTTGAGGCAGCCCTATAGTTAAACTCCAGTGAGCTTGCAGGCCATGGAATATTTTTATTTCTCCATACTCGGAAATCAATCGCCCTGAGAACATTTCTCTTAGAACAGCCATGGAGTTCATAACTGCATGTGCACATTATACTGGGTATTTACTCAGGGGAGGTATAGAAGAGGCTACGATGACAGCTGAGGGCTTCTTATTAGCTGAGGGAACGCCATTACCGTAAAAAAACGTTCGTTAGCCATCGGCCTCGGTGGTCTAATGATTAGCGTGCCGGGCTGATATACTGTAGGTCCCGGGTTCGAATCCCGCTGGTAGCATTAACTTTTTGCCCAAGATTTTTTTATTATCAGCAAGTTTGGTTGGTTTGGTTATTACAGTTTAATTTTATTACTAAGTCATTATAACATTTTAATTGAGCAATTTCTAGTTTTATTTAATAAACAGAATTATTTTTCCGATTACTAAACTGTTGTTATATTATTTCTTTATCAGCAAGTTTGGTTAGTTCGGTTAGGTTATTATAGTTTAATTTTATAATTAAAAAATAGTAAAATTGAATTTGAGGCATTTATAATTTTATTTTATGAACAGAACTATTTTTGAGATTAGTAAACCTTTATTGCCAAAGTGCTCTCTACTACAGCGCTGTTCACGGAGGAATTTTGAACTAAATGCCTCATTTGTACCTCCCCTAAGTCAGACCCATTATACTGAGACCACACTTGTTTACAAATATTTTGTTGCAACTGTGGTTCAAGAAATTGTTGGAGTATGTTTACATATCGCTCTGAATTTATACTAACAAACTATTGTCCTCTTCGAAGAAATAAATCCCAAATTATACTTTCACTGCTGATTGCATTACAAAACCATCACTTCTTCACTGTGTAGAGGCCACCCTGAACTACCCTATGGTTAGCATTTAGAAACACCCCAATAACCCATATCCTCATCCTGCTCATTTCGAGTTTGCAGCTCAGCAACAATGGACTGATTTTGAGAAAAATATGTCTTGGCTGCAAGTGTGTTGCTCACTCTACCAAGACGTGTCTACTACTGACAGTACTCATGGACAATACTATTAATAGAAAATTTCAAAGCAACAATGTCCTTTGAGCCTACCCATCCTTCGGCAAATCCCCACAACTCATAGCGCCATTATAAAAGTGAAGTGCAAATAAAACTCATTATTAATTGACCTAAGGGACACTTCCCTGCCCAACCCTTAAAAGAATTTGTAAATGAAAAATAATTGAGTATTTTAAAATTCCATACAGCCGAGGGTTACAAGTTACAGCATATATATCATACTCACTAACTTGATTTCCCCAACTAGTCGAAGAACAGGGGTCTCTCTTAGTTTATCTTGATAAAACACCTTTCTTCGTTTCCAATCATCGAAGTTGATTTCAAAACACTGATTGGATTCCCTGAACATCACTTACTAGTTACTACTGATCAAGAAATTCAATAGGTAACAATTGTATTGTTTTTCTAGATAACAACTGTATTATTTAGTACTCACCCTTCAGGTTCTGTAAGAGGCTGCTCATCACTTATCTCTGGCATGTCTCGAGTTTTCCGGTGTAAAAATAAAATGCAACATAATCCCAGTTCCTATAAATCACCCACTGCCAGCCTTCCTTCAATCTTATCTTTAAAGATAAGACACATGTTTGATTTCTGACACATTGGACTTGTCATAATGATAAATTGACTTTTTTAGAATTTAACTTGTGGATTAAAAATCATTACCTATTAAATTTGATTTTGTTCTACTATTCAAACAAAAATATCCAAAGAGAATTTTCTTTTTTTAGGAACAATGTTTTCGTGCTTGAATTTTAAAAGCTGACACATTCATTTTGGAATCTCCCATATTTTATAAAGGTAAGTCTATTAAAAAGACATCTTCAGTAATGAATTAATCTTCTGAAATGATAGTATTGAAGACATTTTACCAAAACTAACCCTTTTATAATCCTTGTTACCTGTAATGATAGGTGTTCTGTAGAAATGTAATATAACAAACTGTTGCTCTTTGTAAGTTGGTTTTACAGTGAATATAGTTATAACATTTTGGTACAGTACCTCAAAAATAAGTCTCTCATGGGGATTATTAAATGAGGCATGTTATCAAGGTTTGCAATACCAAGGAATTAAGAGTAATATAAAATCAAGGGTGATGTATTTGAAAATGATACTTGAGGGGTTTGTTTATGATGTTCTACTGTAATAGGACTTTCCTGAAGGAAAGTTTGCAAACCATTTGAAAACGCATGATAATACTGTATCTCTTAACAGTACGAGTAATATGTTTACTTACGTCCTTATTGTGAAAGAATCAGCAATCAGATGACAGATACAGATAACAATTACGATCAATCAGCAAAGGCATTTCCGTGGTGTACAATGGATGATAAAATAAGACAATGTTTCATTTATGTAAAATCATTATTTCATATCAAAAAGGTACCTATTGAAAATGAAATTGAAAACTTTAAACTTGTATGAAAACAAAATTACATGGGTGAATGAATACATTTTCTATATGAGCTTAGAACATACAGATTTGTTAAAAGTTAACTTTATAGAACATCAATGAACATGAATACTTTATTAGATATAAGAAATTCTAAAGACACATAACTGGTTCCAGTATTTATATGCAATAAAAACACGCTAAGTTTACATTTCCTACGTGTGCTAGCTTTTGGTAATAAATCACAGCAATAAAAAAACACACATTTGGGACAAAACACTGTGTAAAACTAAAAATTGCAGCTATTACAGCGAGGTATTGCATACTCCTACAGTTACATAGTTTAACAACCAGACATTTTAGCCACATCTGTTCAATTTTACACACATAACATGTTTCAATTTCCGATTTATCCTTCACATATCTTAAACATAAACAAATTTACTTTAGACACAAAAAAATTCCAAAAGCTAAAAAAATATGCTTTAGAAATCATGGAGAGTCCAAGCAATTTTCTGGACAGGCACTTATGTGAAAATGTGTGGGAAATTATGGTATTTACATTTTTACACAGATTTACAAGTGTTTATGATCCACACATTAGGCACTCGTCCTTGTTATCGAGGGAGCAGACCATCCCACTCATGTTGTACGCTTTAGAGTCTTCTTCTTCTTTCTTGCTCGAGTTGCTGTCTCCATTGGTCGAACCGTTTGCTTCAGCACCAACAGATTTCTTCATTTTTGATTTGTCGATTGAAAATTGGATGGCGTTAGCAGCTGGCTTGGTTCTCAAGTAGTACATTCCAGTCTTCAAACCCTGAGGAGACAAACATTATGTTTTAAAGTATTCTTGGTTAAATACTTTTATCAGGAATTTCACTACCTCATTATCACTATCACCTGGGTTCTCAATTTTATGGGAAATGGTGTTAATGAGTTCGATGAAATTAAAATGTGTGCAAGGGCTTTTTTTTAAGAAGGTACATGATTAAATTTATGGCATTTTTAGATGGGTAGCATTTTATAAATGTAACATTGTAGTGTTTCTTTTTGTAACTTTGGAGACGAATCAATATTCTCCACTCAAAACTTCATCATTGAACTTTGAAAGATTAGGAGTAGAGCCCTAGATCAATTATGAAACGGAAACATACAAAAAGTAATATTGAGTACAAACTTTTTTATTAAGCTAACTTTCTCTGTTTACGTGATGGTAAGACATACAGGTAAAAATACACTTCATTATGATTAGTAGGTTACCACAAGAAGTAAGGTACAGAGGAAACTTTCAATGGTGTCTTGGACAGAGTGCAACTCAACCCCCCTTGCCCTCATATACTACAATGCTCACGGTGGAGGAAGACCCTGTACCCTGTGCGATAGGAATTTTCGCACAGTGCTTGCCGCTCAAGCTCTTCCTTGCTTGTCACAAGTATATTTCTGGCACAACATACCAGAGCTGAAAGCGTACGGATGTCCTTAAGCGTGTTTCCTCTGTACCTCACTGAGAAGTTACTTACTGCTTTCCAGCCATAGAAATGCATGGACGTTAGCTTGGCGTAGGAGGGTTCAGCGATGTGCACATTGAGAGACTGTGATTGGTCAATGAATGCTCCACGGTCGGCGGCCATCTTGAGTACCGTCTTCTGGGAGATCTCCCACACTGTTTTGTATAGGTCCTTGAGCTCTTGAGGGATACCCTCAATTTTCTGTTTAAATAACAAGCATAAATCAGAAGGTAGAAAAATGAGATTTATTAACAGAATTAATCACACATTTTAAAGAATTCTTCAAAGCTCAGCCTAACAGTAAACAATAATTACTGACTGCACGTTGGACATCAGTGTGTAATAATAGTTTCTCTCTCTATCATTCAGCAAAGAATAAAATTACAAGGATAAATATCATTAGTTAAAGCAACCCTATCTATCTCATTACATAATATGGTGAATTTGTCTATGAATAATTTCTTGTTGGTTTATATACTAACCTGAATGGAGCCATTTTCTTGTATCAGTTGATTTTTCATGTCTTCGTCCCACAAACCAAGCTCCACGAGATCCCTCAATAAATGGTGATTCACCACCTGAAAACAAGTCATATTAAATTGTTATATGGTTACTGATTTTTACTAGTAAATTTTTCCAAAGAGGTGCTTGGCCGAAGCCCAGAGGTCCATCCACCACCCCTTAAGATTAAGTCTGGTTTAAGTCAGACTTATTCAGGCTGCTTTCCTGAAAAATCTTCTGATTCCACTTCCTGCTGTTGGCTTCAATTTATGTCTTTCCAGGAACAGTCTGTGCTGGAAAAAAATCTTTCAAAAGAGAAAATGTTACACATAGTAATAATTGTTCTCGTTTTAAAACATGTTATACTGAAAGAGCCCTGAAATGCAAGTTTCCAGCTCAGAGAGGAGGTTAGGACTGTTCTCTTAGAAAAAATATGAAAAACGATAACTTACAATTGTAAAAATATTTAAATTATGAAGACTTCTTAAGTTCACTCTCTCGTTATTTTTCAGTCAGGATAGCTGTTTGTATAATCCTGAATAGCTATTTGAATTCTACCTCTGACTGTGGTTGGAACTGGACTTCCTATTAGTTATCTAAACAAATATTTCATAACCAACCCACCTGGAACTCCCCAGAGAGCACTCGTCTCGTGTAGATGTTGCTGGTGTAAGGCTCAAAGCTCTCATTGTTGCCGAGGATCTGCGCAGTAGATGCGGTCGGCATCGGAGCCAACAGCAGAGAGTTGCGTACTCCATGTTGGGCTATCTTAGCCTTCAGTTCGCCCCAGTTCCACAGATCTGTGGGTGTCACACCCCACATGTCGTATTGGAGGATCTGTAAGTAGAAGTAGAGATAAAGTTAAGGAGAGAGATAAAGTTTTTAAATTATTTAAGAACCATCCAAATGACATTCATTACAAAGAAAGATACACCAGATTAAGAAACCAAGTGAACAAAGAAATATACAAAGAAAAGAGAAATTTTTATCACAATTTTTTTGATAATAATAGGAAAAACATAAGAAACACATGGCAGAAAATTAACTCCTTATTAGGTAAACAGAAAAAAGAGAGAATAGATGGTATTGTGATGAAATACATGGCAAGAACATCGACAGAGCAAGAAATATGTGATAAATTTGCAAAAAGTTTCACTGATGGCATTAATAATGTTATTCACGACTGCCCAATTATAACGATTAACAGTATGCCAGCAAAAGAATGTAGTTCAACATTTTATATACCATTAATAAACAAGGAAAGATTAATGAAATTACTGAATAATATGACTAGGAAGGGACCAGGGCTGGATGGTATTAGAATTACAGATTTGAAAAAGTATGCAAACTTATTAGGTGGCCCAATTACAAAATTTGTTAACTCATCTCTCAGATATGCAGAAGTACCAGAATCTTTAAAAAAAGCAATAATTAGACCGGTATATAAATCTGGAAGCCACTTTGATTATTCAAATTATCGTCTAATATCAATCTTGTTATCAGTAGATAAAATACTGGAACGTTATGTTGCAAATTGCTTGACAACGCACTTAGAGAATAATAACATAATAAGTCCCTACCAGTATGCATACCAGAAAAACAAAGGTACAAATGAACTGTTGGCAGATTTTTCAGATTATTTAAATGGTGAATTGAGCAGTGGAAATCAAATTTTAGTGATTTTTATAGATTTTTCAAAGGCGTTTGACACTTTAAAACATGAAAGAATTGGAGTTGCACTGAACAAGGCTGGCATCACAGGCCAAACCAAGAATTGGTTTATGAATTATTTAAGCAATAGGGAAATTATGGTCAAAATAAATAACTCATTTAGCAATTCAGAAAAATTGAAATATGGCGTTCCGCAAGGAAGTATATTAGGGCCACTCATATATTTAATTTATGTAAATGAAATGTCAGAGATAATCAAAAATAGTAAGATATACATGTTTGCTGATGATACAGTTCTGCTAAACAAAAATTTAGAATATGCAATAAGAGATATACAATCAGATTTTTTAGAAATAACAAAATGGTGCCATGACAATGGATTAAGTGTAAACTGTAAGAAATCTAAAATAATGCATGTCCATTCACCTTTCTACAGTTGCAAAGAACCTAAAGTGAAAGCACACTCACACAACTGTCTGCATAGTAAATCATACTTAAAAGAAAAATGTGAATGTCAATTATTGGAAAGTGTTAAAAGTTTTAAATATCTAGGGGTATTTGTTGATCATAATTTAAAATGGGACTCTCATATTGCATATATAAAAGATAAACTTAAGTGTGTGCCTCAAAACTTTATTACTTACGAGACTACCTACCGTTTAAAACAATGAAACTAATTTATGCATCTATGTGCGAGTCACTTCTTAGGTATGGATTAAGATCATGGGGAAATGCATCAATTTCAGAATTACAGAAACTACAGACTGTTCAAACAAGAATATTAAAGATTATCACTAAGCTTGGTTCTGCTGTTGTCAGTGAAACTCCAATGTTGTGTTATCAGTTAACAGGGGTTTTACCAGTGGAAAAGCTGTTCACTTATTTGTTAATAATAGATTATTATTTTTCAAACAGGTTCAAAGTAAAAAACGTGCATAGATACAACTCTAGGAAAGAATTTCTCATTGTTCCTACTATTAATAATAAATACACAAAGCGTACAAGAAACTATTTGGTTCCTACATTGTTTAATAGTTTGCCACAATGTATGAAAGAAATAAAAAAATATAAATTATTGAAGGTAAAACTAAAAAAATGGTATATGACCGAGTAGTTAACGTTTTTAGAGAACTCTTATTTGTTGTTGTTGTTAAATCATAGTATAATACAAGTTGTGTCTTTTGTTGTTTTTCAGTTGCTGTTATTCTTTACAGAATTTTATATATACATATATCTTTTATCAACTGTTAAAAATATAGTTCCTGTTTTATTGTATGTTATAAAGTTCGTTTCAGCTGTTATTATTCCTTGTTAGATATTTATTTGTTTGTTGAATGTTTGTAATCTGAAAGTATATACTCATGTTAAATAATTTTAAGAATATTCCTTGCATTTACACTTGTTCTTATTTTTTAATTTAATTATTTTTCTAATGTTTCTGTACAGTAATAGTTCACACTGACTCAAGATCAAGATAAATATGGAAAAGACAATAGTATTATAAGAAACGCTGCGGACAAGCCTCTTTTAAGGCTTATGCAGTTTTGTATTATATAGATTCATTGTATATGTGCTGTACCAAGTAATAAATAAATAAATAAAAAAGTAGAATTGTATTTAAACGAGGTAATGTTATATGTATCTACTTACGGACAAAATAGATTTACAGCTGAGTTAACTTATGTTTTGTCTCTGATTGCTTGTCTGATGGTTCTTGCAAAAAGATGTAAAGGATTTTGACTTTGTGTATAGTGTAAAATATTTTGTATCTTGAACAAGAGTGGTCTCTTTACCATTCAGGTAAGCCTTTTATTCTAACAAAAATCCTTGAACATAAGCCATAAGCTCGTTGCAACCATGTCTTCAAATAGAGTTTTTCAATAACTTATTCCTTTATATATTTTAGCAATATTTTTCCATAGTATAAAATTACAGGATGTCCCTGAACTCTCAACCAACCTTTTAAAGTATCATTCCAGGACTTAATAAAATATCACGTTAAAAAATTTCCAAAGCTCACAAGTTACCTGTACAACCACAAATTGTTTATTTTGTTTTGTGACAATTTTGTATATTTAACTACTGTAACCAAAACACCAATGAAATGGTGTTTCAGAACCAACTCAAATTTTAAAATTCTGTTTATTTCTTCTGATGAAGCTCCTTGTAAACTTTCTTTGTGCTTTCAACTATGTGTAACTCTTTTCTTAGGTAGGCCTAACTAATTTGTTATGAATACATTTTATATACATAATCGTACTATCTTCAAGAAGAACTGTTAACATTGGATTCAATAAAATTTAAAACAGAAACTACACCAGATGGTATGGTAAAAATTTGCATGCAAAAAGTTTAACTTACCCCTTTGCTAACCGGACATCCTGGATATGTTTCATAGGTTCCAAGTTTTTCAGCCAACTCACAAGAGGCCTCTAAAGCTCCATAGTAAATTGTCTCAAATATCTGGGTGTTCAGTTTCTGAGCGGCTTCACTTTCAAACGGCAGCCTCATCAGGATGAAGGCATCGGCCAAACCTTGAATTCCAATACCAATGGGGCGGTGACGCATGTTGGAGTTCTTAGCCTAAACACCAGAAAGAATAATATAATAATACTCAAACACAGGGAGAGGTAAAATTATTTATTACTATACACACACAGTGGCAACTGGTGACCATTTAGTTGGGAGGTTCACAGGCCTTGCAGAAGGGAAAATGCCGACGTGGAGGGGGTAGTAGGCATATGGGTTAAACAATACAACTTTTCTGACTCTTCGTAGCAGCAAAGATAAAACATACTCCCTTAGTAGATTTTTCATCCTTACAGAACAGCTGAAGCCAATTTTATTGTTAGTTCTGTACGTCCTACTGTAGAGGTCATGTTTTGTTTAGAATCTGTTTCTTGTTATTTCAGTCATTTAAATCTCATTTGACCAAATAAAATGATAATCATAAAACAATAACTGGTCTCCTAGTTATATACCCAAATAGTACACAAATCATAAACAAATCCCTAAAATAATAGAAACAAAATTGAACTAGACACTTAAAACAAGCTTCAAAATATACAATGGGATGAGGAATCTACTTGTGTTGCTTAATCTATGGTAGCAGTTTATTGATGCCAAGTATTTTTGTCATTAAAAAGGTTTCATCAAACCCTTTCTGAAACAATATTACACAATTTTGCTGTTTTAAGAGATTTCCAAATAATATTTGTTTTACGTTTTTAATCGTACATTTCTGTAAACTATAAAATTGAAATATAACTGAACACAATAATTATTTTAAAACATGAACACTGCTGGTTACATTTTGACGTTTCATAGCCCTAACACGTTATTCAAAGCAGACAACTACTGACACTGACTGACGTAGTATAGTGAGTGACTCAGTGAACTCTAGTGAAGTAAAGTGACGACCAACAAGTGACTAATACATGTCACGTATGCATCTATCAGCCAATGAGAGCACTCGGAGCTGCTTCTAAGGCAGCTCCCCATGAGCTATGCAGGGATTTCCCCCTCCACCGGCACAACATTGACCTGTCCAATTGTATGGCAAGGTAGGAGCTGCGTAGCCAACAGCTCAGCTCCTATGTTTGTGATTGACTGACACACTCAGATTGCAGGCGCTACAGTTACGCAGACATATCTTGTTTTGGTGTTTCTTGATAAAACTTACTAATTAATAGACCATGATATATTGAGTATATACAGGTGTTATCATTGTTGCTTGTGCTCTATTTCATGTGCTCATGTGCTCCTATTAATCCAGTAACCTAACGCATTTTACCTTGCATGAAATGGGGTAGTAGGTTTCTTTTTTTTATGTTGTTTGTAATAGTACCGAGTTGCTAAATCCAAATTTTCGACCTCGGCGACCTTCCGGATCACCTCCAAAAAGCTTAAAAATCGGCAGAATTACGCACTATTTTTACGTTTGTCCGATTTTGACACTGAAGCATCACTTTTTCATCAAGAACAACCATAATCATTTTTAAAGTATATTAAATTACCTATCATATAAGACCAAAATGGTTATTACAGGCCTAATAGTTTTCAAGATATGACTCCGCAAACAACGGCTAAAATTACCAAATTTTGATTTTTTTTTAAGTTTGGCTAACGTTAACCCTAAAGCATAACTTTATCGTTATTTTTCATTAAAAACAACCATAATTACTTTGAAACTGCATTAAATTACTCACAATTTAAGACCAAAACGGTAATTATAGGCCTAACACATTGAGAGATATGCCTCTTCAAGGTTCATAAAATCTTCCATAAATGTTTGTATTTTAAGATTCAAGTTGTTCAATTTGATCAAATTTTATAAAAGAACCATAATAAGAATATAAACAAATTTATTTCATTTCAACAACATATTATGCGTTTTTTATGGAAGAAATCTATTGTAATTAAAATGTTTATACAGTACTATCAAGAGGAATTGAAATAAAGAATGAAGATGCAACAGTGAAAAAAGGTTTCAACTTTGCTGTCGTTCTGCCATGCAATATATTACTTCTTTTATGCCAGGATTTACTGGCATTCCTCAGGACCTCCTGTCCTGTCTGTGCTGTATGAATTGAGCAGTAGTGGGGGGAAGGACCAACTTGTTCAAACTACAGCACTGACACTAGAAGGACATGGGTATAGGTATCCTTACATGAACCTGATAAGGAACTCTTACACTGGATCTGCCTGCCTGCATGCCTATGAATTTTCACAATTTCTTGATAAGGAATAAGATTAAACAACCTTTAGGTATGCTTTACCTTTAAGCATTAAATCAAGAGGACAAATTGTAACAAATTTCGAGAATTTAATTGAAATTAAGACCAATAATATGATTTTTTGGGTGAAAAAAGTTGTCTCAATTTGAAATTTCAAAGTCCTATAACTTTTGAACGCTTCAACCCATCAGTATGGGATTAACTGCAGGATGTATATGATTCAAATATCTACAATATCTGACCAAAAAAAAAACTATATGTCATCATGAGTCATATCATGGTTGTTTGTAGGTAATAGCACAGAAAACGTACTACTATAACCCAGAATGCCAACTGCATGGTAAAAAGCATTAAGCGGTTTGAGAGAGCTTTGCCTGTCAATCCGTAGGCAGCCAACAATAGCAATAGCATAGCAACGCTGGTGGCGCTGCCTACCGATTAACAGGCAAAGCTCTCTCAAAACACTTAATGCTTTTTACCATGCGGTTGGCATTCTGGGTTATAGTAGTACGTTTTCTGTGGTAATAGTGACCACAGGTGTCCATAGTCCCCTTGGCACTGTGGGTGGTCTTTAGCTCTTTCCTATGTTAAAACTTAATTCTTGCGTAAACCATAGGTTTTTATTGGTATTTCTTAGTTTCTTACCTTGCTCCAACTAGTACTCTTTTGATATATGAGGTTTTAAAAAGTCAATCATGAATAATTTGAAAAATATTAACAAATAATGTATGGTTTGCACAACAAAACTCGCTTAAATTCTTGTAAATCTGACTTTGTTTTTGAATTATGAAGCAAACTATTGACTTTTTATAGTCTAAATTGGTTCTATACCATTAAGTATATAGTCCTTCAGTAATAAAGCATTTTCAAGCGTTAAAAATATACGAACTGCAAGGAAATAAACAAATAAAGTAAAATGTTAGCAAAAATAATTTGAGTATTTTGTTTACGTGATGTTTTGTACTCATTAAATATGATTTTTTGTTTAAGTTAGAATTGTATTCCATTTATATACTCTTTGTGTAATTTATAATACCATTATCCTATTCAAAATTATTAAATTTAAGCTTTTTTACCATTTTAAAGTTGAAATCAGAAAATCTGTTACGCAAAATCTGTTACGTAATGTTTTTCACCTATTAAATGAGCTTTATTTGTATACCTTTTAGTTGTATTTATTTTATACACTTTTTATGCAATTAAAAAAAACCATAATTGTATTAAAAATTATAATATTTAAGCCAATTTTAAGCATTTCAAAGTTTAAGACACAAAATGTGTTAGGCCAAATTAATGAATTTACGTAATGTTTTTGACCCCTTAAATGGGGTTTATTTGGAAAAAATATGATTGTAATCCTTTTATACTTTCTTTATGCTATTACAGAAGCCATATCTGTATTCAAAATCATAGTATTTAAGCCATTATTAGGTATTTCTATGTTGTAAACAGTTTAATTTAAAATCAAAACTACGTAAAAATGAATATCGTTCGTCACAGGCCTGTCCGAGAACCAATTATTGTAACAATGTACGTGTGTGTTTATGTAGATAGATACAATAGATTTATTTCAATTTATAATAAATTAATTTTAAATTACTATTTTAAATTAATTTAAAAATAAATTGTTATAACACAATCTGTACTTGAAATGAAATAAATTTGTTTATTTATTGTTATGGTTCATTTATAAAACTTGACCAAATTGAATAAATTGAAAGTTGAATCTTAAAATACAAACATTTATGGAAGATTTTATAAACCTTGAAGAGGCATATCTCTCAATGTGTTAGGCCTATAATCACCATTTTGGTCTTAAATTGTGAGTAATTTAATGCAGTTTCAAAGTAATTATGGTTGTTTAATGAAAAATAACGATAAAGTTATGCTTAAGGGTTAACGTTAGCCAAACTTAAAAAAAATTCAAAATTTGGTAATTTTAGCCGTTGTTTGCGGAGTCATATCTTGAAAACTATTAGGCCTGTAATAACCATTTTGGTCTTATATGATAGGTAATTTAATATACTTTAAAAATGATTATGGTTGTTCTTTATGAAAAAGTGATGCTTAAGGGTCAAAATCGGACAAACGTAAAAATAGTGTGTAATTCTGCCGATTTTTAAGCTTTTTGGAGGTGATCCGGAAGGTCACCGAGGTCGAAAATTTGGATTTAGCAACTCGGTACTATTACAAACAACATAAAAAAAAGAAACCTACTACCCCATTTCATGCAAGGTAGACCCTGATTTTTATAACAAGGTTACTGGGTTATATGGACGAGCCGCCACTGTACACAATAGATGACGTAAAAGGGTTTTTGAGGTTGACCCTTTAACCTCTTAATCTTCAACAAGAATTAGCCTAGATGTTGAATATTGTGTGTTTGAGTTAGAGAACCTAAGTGTATTCTTTTCAATTAGCTATAAGAAATTTGTTTTCAATATATTTTTATATTTTACATTCACCTATTTGCTAGAACTCTAACCAAATCAAGACTGCAAATGTAGGGCACTTAGGTATTTAGTAATTACTCGACATTTAAAAAGTACTCAAGCTTGACTTGAGTGGTTCTTATTTAGAAAATTTGAGTTCAGTAAAATTGCCAAAAGATTCCACTTTATTCTCATAGGATGATTGAATTTATTACACTAGTATTTGACAAAAGAAATAACCCATGTTTGTAAAAAACAATATGCCTACTCCATTCATGGTACAAATACAACTCAATAATGAACAATAACCATCCTAAATTTTTTTGTCAAGGTGACCACCAGGTCAACAAAAAATTCATGAGTAAAAAAAAAATCCAGCTAGTTCAGGTTGTACTTTTCATACTAAACTTTCCAACTTGTTTTGCGCCATCTCCCGCAATGCTGTTTTAGCACTAACACAGCTCGCTATTTTAGTTATCGGAAAAAACATTCTCAGTTAAAGAAACAAAATTTATGATTACTGTAATATTGTCTGACACAAGTATTAAATTTTTAAATATTACTGATTAAATAATCCGAAAATTAAAAACTAATTCTTAAACCTACAATTTATCAATAACATCTTAAAGATAGTGATATGTTGATACCAAAAGTTATCGAATCTCCGTACAGACACCTGAAAATAGATTCTTAATACTGATGATTTCAATTACAACATTTTCTGTAAGGATTACTACACCAAACCCTGTCTTTATGTACTTTCATATAGTATGTAATTTTGGAGTTATGGGTTGTTTTTCAAGTGGCCTACGGAAATAATTAATGCAGAAATTACCAAAATTTCACGTAGCCAGTTTAAGTTTGAAACGTCATGTTTGTCTCTCGTGGTCCCGTGGAAACATCATCTTCATGGGTGATTGCGGCAAATTAAAGATTCCCGGTAAAATACAAATGCACGCATAATTCCCGTTTTTCCAGGTTGATGGACACCCTGTTTGTACTTGCTATAAGCTATTGAGAGGAATAATGCATTTATTCCAACAGTTTTCAATTCAAATATAACTTACCCACTACCTTCGTGCCCCAATATTACTTTTTTTTTTAAGTCCATGAAGGAATGGGCAAACAACTGGTTTACCTCTTGGATTGGGTAGTAGTTGACGTCGATGACCTTGTTAAGATTCTTGGTCACCACTTTAGTGATTTCCTTCAGCTTGGCAAAGTCGTAAGTTTTATCAGGCTTAACGAACATGTTGACAGCAATTGAGGCCAAGTTGCAAACTGCCACCTGTACAAAAACACAAACATTAGACAAGTGTCCAGCCAATAATTAGAACAAAAGCTAGATCAAAATCATATGTAAACGTAACGTTAAAGTTGTAGGCCTACTGAGAGGTCATAAAACTTTAATTGCAAAGAAACTACAGGTAAGCAAACTTACTTTTAGAAACTATTAAAACAACTATATAAAAATAGTGAAGTCCATACCTCGTCTTTGCTGGTGTATTCCACAATCTCTGTACACAGGTTGCTACACTTGATTGTGCCAAGGTTCTGCTGGTTGCTTTTACGGTTGCAAGCGTCTTTATACAACATGTAAGGCACACCAGTCTCAACCTGCGCGTCCAAGATGGCGAAGAACAGCTGGCGAGCCTGCACCTGCCTCACGTAGCGGCCCTCACTTTCATACCTTCACAACACAAAACCAGTTAACACACTATTTTGATTTAAACTCATTTGTTTGACCCTGATATCATGATAATTAAGGGGGTGAGAAAAGGCTAATAACAGGTTGAATTAAAGATAACAATAGACTAGCACTGGCTACTTGCAGTCTAGAATAAATTTTGGCTGGGTTTGTCTCCTGAAATTAGCGGATATGTGTAATCTGTACAAAGTGCTATGTTGTGATATGTTAGTGCATTAATATTAATGTACTTTTAGATAGAAGTGATGCTCATAGGCAGAATATAAATTAAGATATGCATGTCTAAGTAATTCAATGTTTGATTTTACAACTAGATCTAATCATGTTTAAATTAAGTTTAGGCAATGATTTATTGTGTTTTGGAGTAATGATAGAACGCAAAAACTTTAGCCCTTAAAACGTTAACCCTTATAATATTTAGTTTTATAAATTTACATTTCAATTTTATATCAGACAATGTAAAACGCATCATCTTAGTATTCCCAAGGACAAATTAAAATCTTGAGAATATCCCTGAGAATAATTCCCTGAGAATAATCTTCAGAATATCCCGTCGTACTTCTTGCAAGCCTCTCTTCAAGGAATACAATATTCTCACATTTCCATCGATATACATACTCAGTTGTCTATCGTTTTTAAAAAGAAATTATCATCTGTATCAACCGCAGTTCCATTCAATGCAGTACACTCTCAGACAAAAAAACAATATTAAGCTACCTAAGCACAGGACAAGTTTCTTTGAGAGACACCTATTTTATAATAGTATCAGGTTTTTCAATGTGTTGCCTGAACCCCTGAAAGTGGAGCAAGACAAAGACAAATTTGGGAGAGCGGTCAAACGCATACTCTTGGAACAAGCTCCCTACACTGTGAAAGATTTTTTAAGTTACCGATCGAATTAAGATACTGTTCAGTTACGTTTTAGTTCTAACAGCATTTATAATTTAGTTTTATTACATATTCTTGTGACGCTATTATACAGTTTTTTTCTGTGCAAAAATAAAGATGATTTGATTTGATTTCATTTCATTTCATTTGATTTGAGTCTAGCCTGTAGATAGCACCACTTTGATGCCTAAACTGGTTACTTAATAACATTTGTATAACCAGAAATATATTATAATAATTAAAATTATTTACAAAACCATCACTACTTATTGTAATTTCTTCACTATTTTATCCCACACTAGAAATTGTGAAAAACGAGATTATATTAATTTTCAATTAGATATGTTCAGTTATGTGAATACGAGAGTTACATGCATAGATGCTATAAATAATACAAACAAGAAAGTATGAATTAAATCCACTTACTTCTCGTAAAGTTTGTCAAACTCCTCCCCCCAGCAATCGGAGAGTCCAGGACACTTATGTGGACACATAAGACTCCATGTTGTGTCACTCTCTACTCTCCTCATGAACAGGTCAGGGATCCACAGAGCATAGAACAAGTCTCGCGCACGCACCTCTTCTGCACCGTGGTTCTTGCGAAGCGCAATGAACTCAAACACGTCCGCGTGCCATGGCTCCAGATATATAGCGAATGCTCCAGGTCGCTGGAACAGGTGTGAGTGTTATGTAAGCTGCAAGACTAACGTGGTTGTGGGGGAAATGTAACATTTACTAGGGAAAGTGGTTGATGGAGGGCAGGAGACCTAGAGGAAGAAGAGGGTGTATGAATGAGTTGAAGAGGAAAGTGGAGAAGAGCGAAATGGCAGACGACAGATGGTGGAGGAGGAAGAGTAAGATGAAACAAACTTAGTTTTTTTATGCAGGATAGGATGAAGCCAAATGGTTCTTTCTTTATTACACTAAAACCTGAAGAGAGATAGGAAAGGTCAGTTAATGCTCAGACCCAGGAAGAATCGGAACGGAAGATGGTAGGTAAAAATGTACAGTAGGACTCCAACTATCCGAATCGCCGAAAGAATGTAACATAGGCCTACCTAAAACTAATGAAATAAAAATCACAAAGAAGGCAGAAGCCAGGACAGCGATAAAAATCTACCACGGTCTTGTAGACTTTGTCATCGTCTTCCGCAGTTACGAAAACATTGTCTCTTCTGTAATCGCAACAAAATCTTCGATATCCCCTACGGTTGTGTAGATATCATCATATCTGGCAGTCACGGATCGTTTTCCACATTAACGGCAATATCAGGAACATCTTCCGCAGTTTTGTAAACATCACCATTGAAACATCAAAGTAAATGTGAATTTTACGATTGCAAAAATCTAACTGCAAAATCTAAATAGCTTTTTGATAAAAATCCAACTATCTGAATTTTAGATTGTCTTAAAGTGGCAGGCCTAAGGTCCCAATTGATTCCTATAATCAGAGTTCAACTGTCTTAAAATTGCAGAGATAGTTGGTATGTAAGGATGTATTAAGATAGCACAGATGTGTAGCATAGTTATGTGTTACTTTACTTGAGTTGTTATAATATACCTATCAAGTTTTGAATTATACAGGGTGAGGCAGTAAAACGGCACGATAAAAAAAAAAATCATCAATAATTTATTTAGAAACAAGGGATGATTATTTTAACATAAATCTTAAGTACATCAGTGGAAATAAAATGGCGTCATTGGTTTTGCACACTTTTTTTTAATTCTGAGACAAAATCTATCCATGATGTTTTGTAACATTTGCATCGTTTTGTAGCGCTTAGTCCTGCTAGCAGTGGCCTCAAAGTTATTCAATCAAAGGAGGAAAGCTTCCCTTAATGGCATGGAGGCAGTGACAGTTAACTGAACTCACAACGGAAAGTGCGCTGAGCATAAACCATACTTTCCAAGTTTTTTTTTATATGCCTACTTAGCAAACGCACGTTTTTCACTCGTCCAACGGTACATAGCTACTGAAATTTCCACTTGTCTAGACGCTTATGGTAATTTCTCCGTGCTCGCATAACCGATTACCCGTAAGGCGTAAACTGGAGTAAGAATCGTGCCGTTTCACTGCCTCACCCTTTAATTACCAAAAAAGGCCAAACTCCAACTAAGAATATTGAAATACTATTCATAGGCTTGAGTGGCACAAGACATTCAACTCATTATAATCCAGTAGTTTTAAGAACAGATGGTGTAAATGCAACAAAATGCTTAGTAAATTTAGTTAAGTATATTTTATAAATTATTTCATCAAGGATTATAACTGTCTCAAAATGAAGTATCATTAATTGTAAATTGAGAGTTAAGTTTTTTTAGTGTGACACTTCATGTCAAATAATCACATATTTTAAATTTGTTTTCTGCTAAACCAAATTGATGAACACATGTCTAGACCATAATAGCTACTGATCATTAATTCTGATTTCCAATTGTATTTTATTTACCTTGTTGCCTCCTTGGTCAACGTAGCGAGCAGTGTTGTTAAAGACTCGTAACATGGGCAACAATCCGTTCGACATTCCGTTAGTGCCCGCGATGTACGTTCCCTTGGCCCTGATGCAGTGGACATGGACACCAATACCACCAGCAGATTTTGAGATTAGCGCACACTGCTTCAGAGTGTCGTAGATGCCATCTATACTGTCCTCCCTCATGGCCAGTAGAAAACAGCTGTTGAAATTCAAATTAAGGTTAGATTCAATTTTGAACATACTGTGTTTATTATTACTTCATTGTTTAATTCAACACAATCATTGCCATTGTAACAATTTTTATGCCTTTTAATTCCAACATTTTGATTTTGGCTGAGTGACTTTGAATTTTCCCCTTCTAGGCTTTTAATACAAAAAATGTTCAATATAAAGAGTTTTTACATTTTTTTAAATATGTTTTTCCATCGGCAGCCTAGCAAATATCCATCAAATGTACTTTAAAAAAATTAAAATTGGTGTGTTTTGTTAGATGCCTTTGACTCAGCCTCAAGTTTTATATTAACCCTACTGGTACACTTGTTTGCTCTTTCATGACACAAAAAAACCTATTTAATTTTTGAGTGATCCAAGAGATAGTGGATATCAATTATTAAGATAACGTTATTACAATAACTTTTTTCCACAAATATGCTGACTAGAACTATTATTTTAGCACACTCCTGTGAAAGATATTTAAAATTTTAATATCCCACTATCAAAATAATTATACCATAGAATTATTTGTAAATTAAACATTCTTAGCACTGGAAGATATACGATTGCACGCCCTTGTTGGCCCAAGAATGAGTGATATTTCAAGTTATATTCAAATACATCTTAAGTCATAAGTACAATAAGCCAACAAACCTTGAAAGCTGAGGACGAGGAGTGCCGGCACTGAAGAGAGTGGGGGAAGCGTGGGTGAAATATCTCTCGGAGAGAAAATTGTAAGTCTCAACGGCTGCTTGGATGTCTCGGCCGTGGATGCCAACGGCAACTCTCATCAACATGTGTTGCGGCCTCTCAACCACCTTGCCATTGATTTTGAGCAGGTACGAGCGTTCTAGCGTCTGCAGCAAGCAACAAACTATGTTTAGTAATTTTTAATAAATAACGTATTTGTATCATATGTTAGACTCAGAGTTGAATCTGTGATCAAAATACACAAATAAAGACCTCGTAGTTTTTGACACAGAAAAACACTCCATTTAACTGTCGGAAAAATGTCCATAGCTCATACTAAAAAGAGCAAAAAGGCACAAACTAGATTGAATCAGTGTTCTTCATAGCTGATACAGGGTGGCAGGACTATGTTAAAACACCATACCTTGGGTACCAATAAATATTTTCTAGCGACTTGAGATAGTTGGGCATAGGCCTACACTATTTTGGGCCATAACAATTTGAGCTGGTTGACCTGCTTCCAAAATATGCCCACTTTCACTGATTCGGATTATGAATTTTATCATTGCCTGCAGCAAGGTGCAACACTAAAGTCAGGTTTGGAGAATTTAATTTATTTAGGACCTAAAGATAAAAATCTGTGTCTTCCGTGACCGGCAGACACCCCCGTAAGACTGTCTAATGTTTAATTTTTACAACCTATTGTGCCATTAAGTTCTAATAACCCCTTTATGTCTTAGAACTTGGAAGGGGACTAAAACCCGTCACCGGAAAGACACAAGCACGAGACTCATCGTCATTCCACAACTAAAAATCTAATTGCAGAACTAACTTATAGAGACATTGTCCAATGACTTAATTTAGCGTGTCTGTGTTGGTCTAATAAATATTTATTAAACTATGAATTATGACAGAGTATCTCAAGTTAAGTTAGAAGGGAAACTCTTAATTACTGCCAATTGGAGTATATTTTCAAAAGATTTGCGGATTTATTTATTTTATTGTAGGTTTTTTAAATTTAATCAGATACAACAATTCTTTGAGCTCCACAAGCTAGCACACCTAAGTAGGCTACTCATAGGCAATGTTAATATAATGGGTCAGAGTACGTAGGTTTCCTTTTGTTATGGCGTTTTTGAATAAAAACTGTAAAAAAGCAACTAGAAATCTGCAGGTTTTTTTTTTTGTAACATTTGTGTTAAAAATGTTTGGTAAATTTAATTAACAATGATTGGTTTGGTAAATTATTGAATTCTGTGTCATGGTATTAGTTTACTTACAGAAAAACAAGGTAAACAAAAGACTGATTGAATAACAAAAGATTGATTGAATAAAAAAGCACAGTGAAATAACAATTAAAATAATAATTGCTGCAGATAAACCTGTAGCTTAATTGTATGAGTTTTGTAAATTTTTATTTTTTTTATATAAATCAAAGTGAATTGATTTTAAAGATTTTACAGGGTTTAGTGTTAAATATTCTAGTTATTGTTCATGTCCACCAATTTTAAACTAATTAATTAGATTTAATTTTTTAAACCAATTCCATAGGCATATTTAAGTTAGGGCTACTAACTACTAGGGTCTATTTCTATGACATGATTATGAAATTTACAATGCATATTTGTTATTATTTTTTCAAATCAAAAGAGTGAGTAACAGAATGATGAATGATGTGATGAACAATGCATTACACTAATCTCTTACTACAACAGATTATCTCTAGCAATTATCAAGTTAAAATAGCTGTTATGAAACTAGGTTTTGGTTAATAATTTGAATATGAAAACAAATCTTGAAACTTATATAATGTTACAACCATCAAAATATTAAATGCCCACTAATAAAATTAAAATAAACTAGCCTAATAAAACCACTAATAAAATTATGGCTATTTTTTCAAATTACAATGTACACAATAGTTTGATTAGGCGCATCAATATCATGAAAAACAGGATGGAAATATGTACCAAACTTTCCCCCCGGGCCTCCAGCGAAAAAGAAATAATCTAATAACTGGTAAAAGTTTATACAATCATAATTTAGAACATCATGTAGGCCTATAACAATAAAATCAAAGTACAGTATTTTGAGTTAAAAAAAATTACCTTAAAACCAAAGTAGTTGTAGTTAAAATCTCTGTCATAGATTATGGAAGAATTGAGAACATCAGCATTCTCCATGACTATTTTGTGCGTTTCATCAGAAATCATTGGTGTCTTAAGTCCTGTGAGCTCTTGAACCATGTTGTAGAGGTCGTCAATCACATCTAATTTCAAAATAGAGATAGTAAATAAACATGATTAAAATAAGGTAAAACGAAACAAATTTAAATTGTGTATGTCACTGATAAAAAAATCAACAAACAAAGCCTTTTTAGTATTTTTTATTTTGTTGCATTAAAACAACTGTTTTCAAAAAAATTAAGGCTGCTAAAGTAGGTAGTTAAAAAATGGAGTTGAGGACATTAGCTGTAGTACTATTCTAGAGGTTAAATACTTTTTTGCCAACATAATCCATTGGACGTCTGGATAGTGACCGGTTTCGACATTGTCAAGCCTTTAAGACGTGTTGTCGCTCCTAGGAGGTCGTCAAGAAGTCTTAAAAACATAAACACTAGACACGAACAAACATGTTCACAAATAAATCAAACATTATGGCAATACAAAAACACTAATGATCACGGCCATATTGTTTTATTTTTTGTGAAAATGTTTATTCGTTTAATCGTGTTTTAAAGACTTCTTGAGAACATGTCTTAAAGGCTTGACAATGACACCTTTGAGTGTCGAAACCGGTCGCTATCCAGACAACCAATGGATTAGGTACGTTGGTAACAAAAAAAACCTTTATAATAGAATTATTGTTAAAAAGTAATCCGGAAGGCAACACCTCAAAAATAAAATTAGCTGTAGACTACTGTTTACTGATAAAAAGTTGTTTTTCTGAATAAAATAAGAGTTCTGATTATAAAATATCATATTATTATTTAATGTCAAATGTTTATCACCAAAAACATTGCAGGCCTATGCTACATTTAAATCTAAACATATCTGATCATCAATAAATAAGCAAGCGCAATTCAAATATTAAAACAAATAGAAATGCGGGAATCTGTCAGTACGGTAACTTTAATGTGTTTTGTTATTATTATCCTATTATTAATAACGGATTCTTTAAAAATGGTTAACTACCTACTATACAGAAAAACTAGATGGAAACCATTTTGTCACCAAAATTTACAAGGATTTACAATGTTAAAATGTTTAGCTTTGTAAGTTAATTATTAGCTGAAAGAATGTGACAGTGTGATAGCAAATATATACACTCTAGACCTATAAACTGAACGTGCAGTCACGCTGTGGTAATTACTTGTATGTCCAATTTTTGTCCATACAGTAATTTTCATTAAATGTTTGCCAGTGTTAGTTTTTGGTTTATAATTTTAAAAGACTTCCCGATGACCTCCTAGGAGTGACAACTTCACGTCCAAGGGTGTGACAATGAAACTTCAAAGCCCCTGTCACACGGAGCTGGTTTTCTCCCTGCTAGTAACTAGCAGCTAGAACCAACAGAAAACCAGCATCGTGTGACTGATTCTCCAGCAGCTAGAAACACTAGCATGAGCTGGTATCTCCAGCCGCTGGAGGTATTAAACAGTTTAATATTACAAGCGCTTGAAGAGTCACTAGGAGGTCATGTGACCACCCAGCTATGGTCTCTAGGACCATTCCTATAGTACTATGTCTGACAGTATCACGCTAGTTCTCGCAATAAGAAAAATGAATTTTAATCAATTGAACACGTTTAAACTAATTAAGAATAAATTTAAACTTTCATGTTTAGAATTTGTTTCACGCATTGCCATAATTTTCTTGTTGTTACGATTGCTACATCTCACATATTATATTAATTAAATGAATGTGTTTTTTTTTTTTTTGTTTATGAAAGATAAAGTCCTTTTATTATACGCCTACCACAACTTATTCGATTTTAATTACCGCCTAGTTAATTTACATGCCCGTAGTAGATACAAAATAATAGTGTTTATATATTAAAATTTTATTTTTTCCTTGGACTTTTTAATTCTATGATGGCTGATCATAGACAAAACATCAATTCTTTGTTAACTAATAACCACACACTCAGTTCCAATTACATCACCAAACTTGTAAGCTGTATCGCTAGTTCTCCAGCTTCGTCTGACAGGACTTCTAGCGCGCTGGAGAACTAGCAACTAAAGCTGCTGGATCTCGCAGCGAGAACTAGCTGCTGCAACAAGCTCTGTGTGACAGGGGCTTAAGTGTGTCAAAACCGGCGACATTCAGATGACCAAGGATTATTTTGGCAACCAGATATTTAACCTATTTTATAGCATAGTTCTAAAGTAATCCGTGAGACAATGGATACCTCAAAAATGAAGACAACTAAGTTTAAAACAACTTTAAATTTTATTTAAATCATTTATTCAATATTTTAAAAGTATTATTCAGTAGGCTATACTTTAAATAGAAGCAATAAACTAATACTTAGGAAAAATAAACATAGTATCAACAACTAAAAATGTAGCCTATAGGCAATAAGCATTTGCATCCTACATTAAGTGAAAAGCGATAACTTAAGTGAAAAATCCACAAAAAACTAGAATCAGTGATAAGGAGGCCTACCTGAGAAGGTTTTTTTGGTTTCCTTGTGTAGATTGGACACAGCGATGCGAGCAGCAAGGATGGCATAGTCAGGATGTCGGGTGGTCAACGTAGCGGCCGTCTCGGCTGCCAGGTTGTCCAACTCAACAGTTGTCACACCTGGGTAGAGCCCCGATATCACCTTCATTGCAATCTCCGCCTACAAACATTTTAAATTTCAGAAATCAAATGGTTTTAAAATGCATCAATGGCTAGCATACTGAGCCTCATTAAAGCAGTGATCATTTTTCAATCCGCATAGGCCTGCCACAATGAGGTCAAAACTGTTTATTAACTTATGTATGATTACCAATCTTCTAGATACTTATAAAAGTCAATTCTCTTATAATTACTTAAATGTGGAATAAAATATAATATAGTTTAAGACTAATAGCTCAATTTGCTTCGCAGGTACTTGACTTTAAATAAATAATTATGTTTCATCTTCAATTGTTTAGCTAAAAGAAAACTGAGTTTTTAGAAACTTGCTAAGTATGTAGATCAAATCAAAGCTTACTGGATCAATGAAGTCTTGGTTCAGCCCATAGCATAGCTTCTGGATCCGAGACGTTATTTTGTCAAAATGAACCACTTCTTTTCGGCCATCTGAAATACAAAAGATTATATTGGCCTATTTCCCAACCATCCTTTCCTGTGCATAGCCTACTGCAAGAAAACATGTTTTCCCTTGAAGTCTGTTTTTCTTTTTAACCCTACAATATTTGGACGGTCAACGTCACAAACATACCAACAGATACTAGGCTGGATAAAAAACCACACCTTAGATTACAAAACTGACCCCTAGACAACAGAAAAGCATTCAGTTGGGAAAATTTGAGGAAGTTTTAGTTGTAACCCCAGGGGTTTCCTACATAGCCTAAAAATTAGAGGCAAGAAGATCTCCAAGTTGTCTACAGTTGGGCAGCATTGTGAATCAAACTAAGGGGTTTTTGGGGAAGTCTCGGCTACTGGTACGTGGCACACAAAATTAACGAGGTAATCGTGGCTGTTAAAAAACTTGTAAATGTTACCTAGCCGCGACAAGTGCTCTGGAGAACACCTTCCACGTCCTAGCATACTTCATGCGCACATCATAGAGGACCACCTGTCGTTCTGCATTCTCATTTACGAGACTGGTGCTGCTCAAGGACCCATACTCGGTCTGGACCTCTGGGAGCGTTGCTACAGCAGCATCTTGAGGGAACCATCCTAGTTAGGCACTTAATAGCTGCACGTAATGTTGAGCTTGCCCAGCTCAAATTGAATAGAGACAACGTTCTCTTCTTCGCTCTGAGCAAAGCTGAAATTGTGATTCTGTCCAAAAAGAGGATTGAAACCATTATGCCATTGTGGGTGGGGAATGTTGAAGTTCAAACCACTCGTGCCACCAAGTAGGCCTACTTTGGGGTCATGGTGGACAGCAAGCTTAGCTGGAGGTTAGCAGTCCACTCACAGAAGGCTGTTGATGTCTGCGGTCCAGTCCGTACTCTTGTACGGTGGGGAAGTGGATACCATAAAGGATACACTCAGGGCAGCATCCGCCTACCAAACAGTGTCTGAAACCGCTGTCCTGGTGGTTGCTGGAGTCATCCTCATCAAACTGTAGGTGGAGGAGAGGAACGTAATTTATCAGCAGCGCGGAGAAGACAAGGCAAGAAGAGAGGAGCGCACACGCACCTACCGGCTCTGGCAGGAGAGCTGGGAAGAGGAGACACGGGGACACTGGACCAGGCGACTGATTCAGCAAGCCCAGCCTTGGGTTCTGGCATGTCACAGATCCTTTCGATCTCCTGTTCAGGATGGGCCTTGGCCGACAGCATTCTGTTGCCTGATTAGCCTATATCATACTGCCAAGGCAATCCAACAACGGGGAACACACTTGATCCGCTGCCCGCGTTGGGAAATGAATACAATGTAGGACTGCTGTCGGTTGACACGGTTAACCCGATGATGACGGAGGTTGAGGTCAATTGGACCTATCTGTCACATGTGATCCAGGTCAATATCCATGCCAAAAAGCATGACCTTGATCATGATGCGGTCTAGGTCATAAAAGAACAGAATGCCAAAAACAGTGCATAGGTCGCCTAGAAGAAATGTGACAAATAATCCCAGGTCTGTGTCCAACAGAGAAGAGGGGTTTCGTGGAGAGTAGTCTGATCCTCTAAGGAGTCACAGTACAGTACAGACTGGCTACCTGTGAATGTAGAAACATTTTCCCTAATTAAAAAAAAAAAAAAAACAAGCCGGATGCTTAGCTTACAGCCTTATTTGAGATATTTCATTGATCGTTGATCCACGCTTAATGATGTTCATCTCCTGCAATGAAGTAAATTTAAACTGATTCTTCCATCACAATCAAAAACAAGGTTAAACGGGCGGATAAGTGTAATGGTGTAGGTAGGTAACTTAACAGATTGCAAATTGAGCACAATGGAATATTGTCAGCACCACAGCCTTTAGAAAACTTGGGAAGAATAAGAAATGGCACTTAACTTTAACTAGCCTAGAAGGCCTATCAAATTAAAAAAAAAAATTTCAAGGGAATAGCCTAGTTTTCCTGTTCAAGCCCGTTTCGGATCATCAGTGTCCTACAAAGTTATTTCAAACCGAATAACTTTGCTTAGGCCTAGGCCTAGCTACCTAGTTCCAAGGACAGGGTAGCAAAATGTAAGTTAACCGAAAATAAAAGTAGGCCAAGTGTTTGGTGACTGAAAAAGTGATTATAGCCTATCGGGTGAACAAATCATGTTAAATCGAACTAACTGAGGAAACAAAAAATAGGCCTACTACATTTCCAATTTGACTATGACGTGATCATTAAGTTAGGGCCTACCTCTTTTGTGAACGAACATTCTTCCCTTGGGCTTTTCAGGAGTCTTGACGCCTGGAACTCCCATTTTACAATTCTTCCAACGAAAACAACAAACTTGAGTCAATATAATTAAAATGAGGTAATGTCTTAATATAAAGACGAGACAGAATCAAGATAAAAGCGACCGGCACTTCGGGGACTTACGTTACGTTACGACTTAGGCAATCGGCAGTTTCGTTTCGGCACAGCCACAAATACAAATCACAAATAGTGTTTGGTATCGATATCCGATATATCGGAAATATCGATATTTTGGTTCCGATATATCGATATTTTTATATCGATATTAGACTTCCGATATTATCGGGATATCGATATTTTACTTCGATATTATCGTTAGAATTAATTTTAGCAATTTTTCAAAGAATAATGCAAGAATAAAATACAGTTTAATCTTTTCTGAACTTGTTTAGCAGTTATTAAATATTATTAATAACAAATTTATTTGTAGGCCTACACACAAACTATTTCATGTACCTATCTAGTTAAAAATATATTTTTAATCTGGTTGCCTCTGCCTGCATTTGAATAGTGAGTTGGCACGGTTGGCAGAAGTGGAGTGCCAAAATGAGGTGACGGCAGTGAAAACCAAACAAAACCATTAAATTCTCATGTGTTGTATATTTTTTTGTACACAAGCCTAAAAAATTATAAATTGTAAACAATTTAACGTCATATGTGTGCAGCTAACTGCTGTTCATATGGTGGTACTTTCCTGTTAAAGGGAACATTCATTATTATCGATTATTTCTTTTTGAATATCGATATTTTATTTTTCTATCCGATATATTGATTCATTATAACAAATTAAAACATATCAGCTGACAACTTCGATAAGGATAGGCTAATATTGTTCAGTATTAACAAAGGTACTTTCCTTCTAAAGGGACATTTTTATATCAATGATTTCTTTTGATGACATATCGATATTTTTTTTACCAAACCGTCTGTATATATTCCTTTGTTTTAATATCTTCAAACGCATTTTTTTTTAAATTGTTTGTTAAGGTAATTTCCTGTTAAAGGGAAGCATTGCGTTAGCATTCCAATTCCATTAATTTTTAACGATATTTTTCCGATATATCGATATTTTTGGTCCGATATTATCGGAATATCGATATTGAGGCTCCGATATTATCGCCGATATAAATATCGATATTTTCTTTCGATATCCCAACACTAATCACAAATGGAAATAAAGAATTGAAACGCGGGAAAGCACGAGCAAAGACCTCTAACATGGCATCGCCATTATGTGAAATGGCGGCAAATTTGCAATTGAAAAAATCAAATCATATCATATGTTACACAGAGTACAGTCACGTCCCGCCACCCTTACCTAGTAACCTTGTGAACCATTGATTATATCTAACTGTAAGTATTTTTTTTTATAAAAAACTTAAACTCTTTTAAGGAAAAGCGGTCCAAACCGGAAACCCTCAAATTTATAGCTTTGGAGTTGTAATGGGGTTTAAATTAATTAGTTGCTGATAATAGCAACGGAGGAATGGAGGTGGACTAACTAGAAGCATAGATAAAACATACTCTATGCTAGAAGTGTGAGATTGGAGTGAAACCGCGTAAAACTCATTAGGCAGTGGCTATTCTTACGTCAGACGTGCGCCGCTACCACGCACGTCTGCTCCAAATGACGTCACATTACGTTCCTAATCTAGTAACTGTTATAGCTGTTTGGGAACAGGTTGCACACAAAGATATCCTAGTATTAGGAACGGTAACGGTAGTACCTAGTACCTCATATTGGCCGAAATCGAAATGGATGGGATCAACTTCGTAAAGAGAAAGGTAAAAGAGTTTAACAGAGCCAAAGAGGTTATAAGCAATAAAAAATATAGGTACTGGCCAGTAATAAAATGTTTATTAGAAATACACATTAGGAGATTCAATATAGGAATCGTAAAAAACTTAAGCCTAGGCCTGATGTTAGCCTACTTTACCTTTACCATATCAAAGGCTAGGCCTATAAAAGGTAGGGCCTAATATTGGTAGGCCTAGATAGCCCAGAAGTAGGCTAGGCATTAAGGATAAAATATTAGTAAATCACCAGGCTGTCATCGGCTTAAAGCTTTAACATTTTACAGTGTAAGCTTACAAGTAAAATCTTAATTGGCCTACTTAAATTCTTATTATTATTTTTGATTTGGCCGCTTTCCCGAGCTTGTACTTTTACTAGTACCACTGTGTATGCATCTTATTAGTTGCAGAATGCATTTTATTAAGTTACATTTTACTAAGTTACATTTTTTATTAAGTTACATTTCACTGTGAAACTGCTTGGTTTTTGGCTGGATGGCAAGTTGACTTGGGATAAACACATAGGTGAGTTAGATGCCAGACTTTCCAGAACAGTTTTCCTTCTAAGGAAGCTAAAAAACTTGGTCACTGATACCTACTTAAAATTAGCCTATTATGGCCTCTTCCACAGCCTAATGAGCTACGGTGTCATTGTCTGGGGGCACGCTTCGGAAACAAGAACCATTCTGAAAACTCAAAAGGCTGCTATAAGAGCCATAACATCCAGCGCAAAAGGCATGAACATTGCAAACCACTGTTCCGTGACTTAGGAGTTACGACGTTACCAAAATTTACCGCCGTAATAATAATATAATAGGCCTACTCAATTAACCAAATTTAGATTACTATCAAGCTTTCTAATAGGCTCAAACAATAACCAATGAAAGACGTTATTCCAAATAGCCTAGGTTGTTGCACAGTTGCAATAAACACCGATCCTCTTGATGCTTTGTAATTTCAAGGTAATAATAAATAAAATTCTAATAAATACCTCTCTAATTAATAGCAGATTTAAGTCAAATTTCATTAATGAATAACTTGAGATAACCTACAATACGTACACTTACCGTTTCGATATCATAACGTCTGCCGATACAACTTTTACTTTCATCAAAGGCCATAATTAAATTAGACTCCGACTAATCATTCTTTTATTTAAATTATCCTATAACTGTGATTTGTTTTAATTACTGTAAGATTGTTTAAATTCATATTAAGAATAACCTTATACGGATGCCTATTTACAATCATCACTAACATAACCTCCAGGACATGACATTTGACAGACATCGGCACCCGGCCCGGTTTGAGAATTGAGTGAGAGGAAGTAAAACAATCACATTACGTCATATAGTTTTTTCTGCGCGGTACGTACTCCGGTATCATGGCAGGGCGGGATTTTTGAAAGAATGAAGACTTCTCTCTTGCTAACTCGGCTTTTTAGCTGGAAGAGTAGAGTCCTCAAAGCTACATTCGGCAAACACTACACTCGGCTTTGTGCTGGAGTTGGTAAGAGCTGAAAGTTGGCAACTTAAACTACAGATTAGGTTTTCTTTATTAACAAAATTAAATTTCTTTCTCAGGGGTTACATTATTGCGAGTTAGGGAATTCTTGAGTCATTAATATTTTGTGATATAATTTAAAGTAGATTTTTTTTTTTTTTTCAATTTCAAGTTAAATATTTATGAATTGTTAAATATTTGCGAATTGTTAAGTGAGAAAGATCACTGTGATAATTATTTAATAAGACTGAATGTTAGATTTAATAGATTTGTTGAATAAATATTTAATTGTTACAGCATAAACTCTTGACTTATTATTGTAGGGACACGCTCTCATCTCTCTAGATAAAAATAAAGAGAATACAATATAAGCTTTGATTAGAAACAACCCCACTCATTAAATCGGCTGGCAAAGAACCTCTCCCTGAAGGTAGCTCATTGCTCTACAAAAAATAGCTAGGGTAACCAAAATAACCAATATTTTGAGTTGGAGTGTTGTAAAATGGCGCCCAACGTAGCAGCCGATTAACCAACGTAGTAACCGTACGGAGTAACCAACATAGAAACTTAATTAAACTAACATACTTTGAATGTCTAGAATCAGATAAATAGGTTTAAAAATAATAATGGAAGACAACACCAGTCAGTATAACTTGCGTTCGAATATCAAACCGAGTAATAAACTATTAGAAAGTAATGAAGCTTTTGAATTTTTAACAAGACGAAATCCAGAGGAAAATCAAACCATCACACAAAAACATAGCGAAATTATAGGTCAGGAAACACACCCAAACTATGAAAATTCAATCCACGATAGTGACAGCACTAGCAGTGAGATCTTACAAATAGAGGGGACAGATGGGACGATAAATAAAACACAAAGAATAACAGAAAAAACACCATCAAACAGAGAAAACGACAGTAAACCATCCCAATCTCAAACTATAACTATGGACAAGATCTTGTTAATACTAAATGAAATGAGAGGCGAAATGAGGGAAACTAGAGATGAGATTAAAAAACTAAATGCAAAAGTAGATGAGACTAAATATGAACTTAGCTTTACCATAGATAGAACAATTGAACTATTAAAGAGACAAGTAGAAAACCAATTGGAAAAGGTAACTTACACAATTGATCAAAAAATAAATTATATTGATGATGATTTAAGGAGGGTAAAATCAGAAGGTGAACTAAGGGAGATAAAAATTATGCGCCGGGTGGAAGAACTTGTAGAATCCCAAAATGCTAACGTAACACAAATGATAGAGACAATAAAAAGTGACTTAATAGGAATCACTAATGACACCATTAGGGAACAAAAATCAAAAGAAAGGTATATTGAGGCTACAAACAGTAAGGAAATAATTATCACATACCAAGGGTCCCCAGAACAGTCGTTAAAACACTTGCAATTTGACGGACGACAAACAAACCCAATGATATTTCTAAACAAACTAAAAGCATACCTTAGTCGTGAAGAGAAAAAACGAACTAACATGATAGGAGTCGAGGATTCTGATCTAAAGGAAGTACTTGAAGGAATTTTTATTGGTACCGCAGCTTCTTGGTGGCAAATCATAAAGGATAGTATATGTAACATTGACGACTTTGAAAAAGCGTTCATAAATAAATACTGGAGTAAGGAGACTCAACGTGGATTAAAACAGAGAATAGAGATGGAAGAGTATAGGCCAGGAGGTAGATTAAGTCGTACCGAATACTTTATGGAAAAGGCGGTTCTTTTACGCTCAATGTCAGCCAATACTTTGGACGAGGAGGAAATAATAAGCTTGTTGTCAGGTCATTTTGGACAAAAGATTCAGGATGCTTGTAGTGTCCAG